TCAAGTGTTTATTAGATAGTTTATAACAAATTTGGTATTGCCAGCTTGCTTGGTTTTGCAATGGTGTTTTTGATGGACTTTGTAGTGAAATAAAATCATCATTTGCTTCAAAAAAAATAAAAAAATTTGTGTGGACACAAGAACACGGATTTAAGAGGTCATGGTCATGCACTAGTTTCTTGATGAGACTTGAGAAGTTTTACCTCAATTGACAATTTCAACGTATGAAAATTTTCTTCTCATTAATAAAATGAAGAATTTTATTCATTCCATGAATAAAATTTCTCATGATAAATATCCATAAATGAGTTGTCTTATTGCATGTCTCATTGTGTCTCTAATAGTTATGTTATATTACCGTAATATTCACGAGTTGTAATATCAATCATGTAAAGTGATGTTGAATTTCATTCTCTACAATATTGAAACATTAGGCATCAAGATATGTTCAATCATTGTCATGCTATTAGATCTAGTCTTATATTTTTTTTGTCTCTGTACACTTTGTGAGAAGTACATCTATTTCGGATCTTGAGCCGGCACAAGATTGTTTTTGGGTTTAGTCTCCCGCTGTGAAGTCGAGGTTTCTTGTTCGGAGGAATGGAGATCGGACCGTCGGAGTGCGACGATCCGAGCCCACGTCTCGCAACTCTGACAGCACGAATGAAACCAGAGACAACACAGTTGAGAATGCAGACATGCTATTCGTCAAGGGATCCGCACCAGCATTCAGAAACTTGAGTTGCATTATATTGCATGTAACATTGTATTCAGCTAGTTTTTCTTCATATTTTGCAGTGTCTTCCTTCCAAATTTCTACTTTGCTCACGCTTTTCGCAGCTGTGTGTTTGCAAGAGTCTGGCTTACTCAGTCTCGGGTGTCCACATGATGACTGGTCTTTGATTGAAGACTGTTTTGCCAGCTCATGTAAGCAAGAGACGCTACAGCTGTTCGTAACAACCCAGAATGTCTCGATCTTAGGAGAATGTACAGATAATAAATACAATGACGGTAAAACCAGTAAGAGGTAAACAAAGCGAAGGCAAAACCAGGCCAAAAGGCTGATGAAACAAATCGTCATGATACTACCAAGATTTTTGATTGATAATAAGAGTGAGGGGAAGCTATCAAAAATAAGAAGAGGCATAGCCCATCAGTTAAAAGCGAGGACAAGTACGATAGTTCTCTTCGGTCACTGTCGTCATTGGTGGACTTCCACAACTGCTGATCACCACCTGTTCGAAGAACAAGGGGTTGAAGTGCGGCAGTCGTATTTTCAGAGCATTGGAGAAGTGGATCTCAATCCATCAAGAGACTTACAAGGATCCAAGTGAGCACATAGCCCCTCCAGACCAAATCCCATCTGAGCTGGCATTCTTATGGACAGATGGAGTAACATGCTGATAGCGTATGACACAGAATATGCAATGATGCACTTTCGTGAGAAGTCTTGACGGATTTGTTGGAATTGGGAAATAGCTTTCTCACTTACCGGAACACATTACACGAAGTGCTCAGTTGGAGGCTAGCCTAGAAATTTGCTGCAAGACAAAGAGAGTCGCTGAACTTGTTATGCAGATCCACGACTGAACATCTGTAAGTACGAAAAGTCCAATTGACCTGCAGCGATGCGCACGGTTCCAAGCATCTTGCTGTAGTTTACTCCTCGTCGAGAGACTACCTAAGTTCGATGTCTTACCTGATCCTCCTTAACATTTGAAGCTCCAGACACATGTTACGCCAAGCAAGGCCCGCATTGTTCAGTGTTTGGGCCAGAACCGATTGATGAACGACTCTTGCAACCTTATCACTGAGTGGACTTGCAGTAGTAGCGCTTGCAACTTTTTCCACCAAAGGCTCGACAGCTGCTCGTGATCAGAAGATGTGGTGGATGAACAGATTACGAGATGCTATATAGTGCAAGTCAGCTGACATGATGATCATATGTACAGCGAATCGCTTCAATGAGCGCATAGCAGATAGATATGTACAGATTATGCACAATTGACTTGTGTTCTTGTGAATTGACTTCGGTCGTTGTTTTATGTCGAGTCTGAACATAAGCTAAAAAATCTTTTCCGCAGTACTTTTTACGAGGATAAGACTCCGAGTGCCCCTGAGTCAGTCTGTGTGATAACTCGAGAGTCAGCTCAAACTCTCGAAAGAAAAAAATGGTAACAGTTAGCCAGGAGTTTCACTAAAACTCTTCATCTATTCCTGATTCAGACACAATGTTCTTAAGAATTGACTTCGGTCGTTGTTTTATGTCGAGTCTGAACATAAGCTAAAAAATCTTTTCCGCAGTACTTTTTACGAGAATAAGACTCCGAGTGCCCCTGAGTCAGTCTGTGTGATAGCTCGAGAGTCAGCTCAAACTCTCGAATAAAAAAAAATGTAACAGATTACAAATGTAAATGATTTCTGGGTGCTTCAAACCCTGACAATGTTTTGACAATCTACAGCCTGGACTACTGACACGGGCGAATCTATAGCCAATGGTCACGCTCGGTAGAGAAGAACAGAAAGTGCATCGTCGGGCTATACACGCTAACGAATTTTGCCGGACCGAATCGTTTATAACGTTTTCCAGACAATATTTTTATTGCAGGCACTGGAAGAACATGATCCATGTCGGTTTCAAAACCTTGTTATTGGCTCTGGTGACACTTGAGACAGTTATTCTCAGTGGGTTAGACCCAATGTTTAAAATGATTTCACTGGTTGTTTGCACTTTAGCGCACAGCGCGTAACCATACATGATTCTCCAGTTATGTATGGGTGTTCGTGTGACATGGTTGACCCACTCGTTCAGTTTGGTGTCTTTTCCTCTTATCTTCGAATTCACAGAACCTGTTTATTGAATCTATCATATAAGCCCCAGTACTTTCACTCATCATCGTGTGTATGTTATCTAAAACCCTTGGAAAATTCCGCAAAGCTGGCACAAATACCGATGCACTGAACTGAGAGCTACTTGGGAGAGCAACATCTTCTAGTTATCAGTCCCATTTGACAATACGAAAGTGGGTGCCATATGTTGAGCAGAATTCAATCCCAGCCTCTACTCAGTGAATCTGGGACGCATCTGATGACTGCTGATTGCTGTTGCGTTCTGGACTTCCAGACAGTCGAGGGGATTAACGAGAGGGCCTTCTGCAGTGGACTTATGTCCTCTAGATATGATAGCTACAGAATGTCACAGAACACACAAAAGATTGAGCTACTGGAAAGTTGACAGATCCCTGATCGTGTCCGTCTTGAATTCGCTCGATGGTCTTATACTGATGGGAGATGCTTGTACAGCTCTATCCCTCCTCAGCTGCAGCAGTTCTGACAAGCAAGAGAAAATGACTTCGTGTACTGCGGCCGCAAAGTCACGGAGTGCCGCATTCTCTGACGCATTCTGGAACGTCAGGGCCGATCAGCAAACATTCTCACTTTTCCGCACTTCACACACAAAATCCAAACCTGGCATTTCTTTTGGCTCTCCTGTTTCGGTCTAGTACGGCATATTTTAGACCGTTAGTCATTGCCATGTTCTGCCATGCTTGGAAGCGCGTGCGACGAGGTATCTGTGGTTCTATCTGACTAGAATCGCACAGCTCTTGTTAATTTCAAATATAACGGGTGCCAAGGAATATGGCAAAAAGTGTCGTAGTACTCATGAAGCATGACAAGAATAAATAAAACAATTGACATCGGGTGGACTCAAATAATAATAGCATTTCAAAAATCATCATCTAACTTAATTAGCCTTCTATCTTTTTACAGTTTGATCCTAACCCATCGAGAAATTATCACACATTCTATCCTAGGTTTGATATCGATAATTATTTATATCATATTTAATAATGATATTTATCATCTCTAAGCTACTATATATTTTTTCCATAGTCCAAGGAATAATAATACAGATCTTCACTATTCATGTCAAACATTAGCAATCTATTAAAATTATGTGTACAAATAATTATTACTAAAAAATGAACAATGAGTTTTATGAGTTGGTGCATTTACATGAGTTACCCATTTTTTCAGAAATTATTAACTGAAAATCAAACCAAATCAAAACGTACAGAATTCACAATCATAATTGATGTGATTTGCAAAACTCTAATGTATTATTGGACCAAAATTTATAAATATGTGACAGTTTTTTTAAAAAAAAAATTATTAATAGAAAATATATGAAATGAATTAAAGAATATATTATTTATAGTTGTATCAGGTAGATACCAAAAATACTATAAGACAGAATAAAATTGGAAAACAAAGGAAAGTAATTTTTTCTAAATTAATATAAATTAAATAATACTATTGGAATATCTCATAGTTTGAAGTTGATGTGAGCAATCAATACAGTGGGATTGTTCGAATGTATTGAATGGCAGATGAGAAATCTCAAATTTTATAAATCAGTCAATTCCATCAACCAAGTATGCATTCCAATGTGTGCAGATTTTTCAACAGCGCCAATAAACATTATGTCAGGAAATCACATGTTACCAAAAAAATAAAATCTTGAAGTTGACTGATATAAATTTAATCTAATAATTAAAAGAAACTTACATCAAGATTATCGACTAAAAGAATTTTCTTTAAGCATATCTTGAAATTGCCTGGCTATGACTGTAAATCATTTTAACTGTTTTATGTATATCATTAGATTCATTACGAAATATTTCTCACTTGGTTGTCTTGTATGCTACCTTTTTCAATTTAGAAATTTTATTTACAAATCAAAACATTTGCATGTTGACTATAGTTTAAAGTATCGATAAACTTTGATATATGGATGTCTCAGCGTAATGCTCCGGGTCGATGCAAACCGAAAATTGTTTCGGTACGGGTCGCAGTACCTAACAGAGGATGGCTAATGGGATTCGGACCTCGAGCTGGTCCGTTCACTTGAGGACGGGCTCTTATCCACCCGCTCCAAAACTCACGGGCACCCTTTATCAAGAACGGGTGCCGGTTGCTCTGCTGAATCCCGGCGCGTCGACTGTCAAGCTCCCCGGGCGGAGAGCTATGGTGAGGGACGAGCGCAGGGCACGGATTTAATGAAGAGAATTCTCCGCGAGAGGATTTGAAAATGCTGTGCACTGAATATATTCTGTCGACCGACCGCCATTGAAGGCCAAATGAATTCGTCGATTGCTTTTCCAAGCAATGCTTGGACGCCGTGTAGAGGACGATGGTCTGGGAACGAGTCGAGGATCAGAAGGACAAGGCAACTAACATGGCTGACTGGTGGCTGGACTCGACGCAGAATTGCTCTTAAGCACAATGTGCATCTTCGGAAATTTGAGCTCCGGGCGAGCGCATCAGCCGAAAATGACCCCGGCGTGCTCAAGGTTGACATTGAACTCTGATCATGATACATTGCTGCATAGCGAATGTATCAAACTGCGCTGGATTTGTATTCTGTATTCTCGCCGATCGAAATTCCCAGCTCCTTCGACAGGAAGAGCCAGGAGCTAGCGATTCTTGGTGTATCTCGCTTGAAACGGCTCAGCTGTACTTACTTTGGCCACCAAAAAATTGTCCACTTCAAATTAAGCTCACCGGTATCTGAGAGACCAGCTCGAGTGCCGCACAATGTGTGGACTTTTTTAAAATTCCAGATTTTTTGCTTGTTAGCAAATGAATTCTTCGTCATTTGACATCTAACTGAAGGCTTCAGCTGATCGTCCAATCTAGAGAGTGAAGGGCTTATATGTGTATCTTGTGTATGCGTCAATCTTTGAGCTCTTTTCCAGGCATGTGTCTTGCAGTTTGTCTAAAGCATTTTGTTCGGTTTTTTTTAAGTTGTTGTGCGGAAGAACGGATCAGTTGTCTTTTCGGGTTCTGAAGGAAAAATTATGCTGGCTGTATGGATAATGGTTATGTATGCAGTTGTTGTAATTTCAGGACGCAATTCAGCAAGTGGAGAAGATGCGAGCTGGTGCAATCAAGGAAGAGCTCACAAGACTAAGTGAGTTCATTTCTTATAGTAGTGTTTTGGTGCAGAATTCCGCCCCCAACACAGAAAAGATTGAGTAAGAAAATAAAAGACTGAGTAGAATATCATCGTGAATTCATTACAAAGTGTGAAGCTGAGTCTTCTGATAAGGATGTTTAATTAATGTGGACGTGATTGAGAGTGCAGGTATTTCCTACGCTGACTGTTTTGAGAAGCAAGAACTTGTCATGCGTCTTGCAAATGCACGGGTTAAAAACTACTCATCGCAGAAGAAGACAATGTCGACTAGCAGCAGGGAATTCAAAACTTTGGCTCGAATGCCTCTCACAAAACTCAAAAGCACGGCTACATCGCCAAAAAATTACATTCTTGTGCCTCTAAAGATCAATGATGAGGGGCCATTCAATTTCATACTCGATACCGGGAGTACAGTCACGCTTATCAGGCCTTCTATTGTTACGGACATCCTAAAGCTTACCCCCAAAGCAGCTAGAGTGTCAATGGCTCTCATGGGAGGAGGGATTTCAAACCAGAACAATATGACCATCAACTTGAAGGACGTTAAGATTGGGGATCATGCGCTGTGCAATGTTTCAGTAAGTGCAATTCCTCCTACTCCAGGCACCCGAATCCCTATACTCAATGTGCATAGCCTTAGTACGGTTTTCTACTCTTCTATTCGCAGCAGATGAGAAAGTCATTGTTTTCGTCTAAGTAATTTTGTTTGCGCAGGCTCTACTGATGGACGAACAAATGTTACGAGGTTGGGAGGCATCTGCAGATGGCTTGCTGGGACTAAATATTCTCTCTCAGTTCGATGTGGAGTTTGACTTTTCCAATGGTGTCTTAGTCTTTTATCCACCAGGTGCTGCTAGTCGAGGGGAGTGTGATATGCAGGACATGGAAAAATTGTCCACCTCCGAAGTGACTCTAGGAATCCTGGGAGTGAAGGTATTTTCTTCTGATTTTTCAGCGATCAAACCCAAATTACTTGTGCATGTCGTTTATTTCAGTTTCAGTTCTCCTTTAATTTGTAAAGCGCTGCTCTGAAACAGGTGGCACTTGGAGGAGCTCCTCCCGAGTTGGCTCTCTTAGATCTTGGATCGTCTCTTTGTGTTGCAAGCCCGGACATAGCCAAATTGGCTGGAGTTTCAGAAAGCGTTCTCGTAAGTCTTCATCTTTTCAAGCATATGCTTTGTCTTCTTCACTTGACTTTTGTTCACATTCTGTTCGTTTTCAACCATTGCAGCAGCAGCAGATGTGGTAATTTCTTGTGTGTCAATTCTGTACGAGAAGATAGGTACCTCCCTGAGACATTTATGTGTGTAAGAGAACGTGTGTGATTTGACATTTATGAGATTCACTTAGTTCTACATCGTGGAATTATTTCTGAGTCATGAAACCTGTTTCTGAGTCATGAAACCTGTTTCTGAGTCATGAACCTGTGACCATATTTCAGCAAGGCAGAGCCCCAGCACTTGGGGGTGGAGGCATGGGACAACCTGGAGCCATGAGATTTGTCAGCGGGTTGATTGACGTTGGTATGGTTTCAGCAACGAGTGATGATGAAGCTGCAAGTAGTCCAGCTTTCACTATCAAAGGAGCTCAGTTTGCCATTGGTGACGTACCTGCTCTGAGAGCGGTTGGTTGCAGAATCCTTCTGGGACTTAATGTCTTCCAAGGTTCGAAACTGATGTTTTGTCAGTCTACGAAGAGTGTTTACCAACAAAGGTCCAACAAATAGTTCATTCAACGCATACACGTATTGCAATACTTGCCCTTGCATGTCATGCAAGGGAAAGATATCATCATTGTTATCCCCAGTCAGACGGAAGGGATTGACCATAGAAAAAAATTCCTGAAGAGGCAACAATAACTCGGGTAGACTAGACCAATTGATAGCAAAGACAGGAAAGCGTTAAATAGGACAGTCTCAAAGTAACAGAAGTGTTCGACAACTACGTTCAATGTCGAAGGAAATGTAAACACTCTGTCTACACGTTGAAATGAGGGCTCCAGGTTGCCGAAGGTTGCTCTGTCACTTCTTTGATGTCTACTCTGTTTTAAACGAATAAGAAACTCTCTCGAGCCGCTGCAAATTTGGAATCACCTTTGAGCTATGTGAAGCACACCTTAGCGCTCAAAACTTGAGGCACAACCTTATCACGCAGCTTGTGGACTCACAGTTAGGAGAGGTGCAGAGATGAGTGACGTTTAAGTTCCTGAATCTGGTCAAGCTCTCATAGACTAACCCCCAATAGATGCTTCTCATTTCAGTCTCTATACGGCCCAGACTGGGCAATCTTCTCACCATTCAGGGGACAAACGTCTCTAGAACAAAGCCTTGCATCAATCACGTCGATTTCAAATGGGTCCGACAAATCTGTCTTGAAGATGGCTCCGGCTCCTTTCACTGCACGAGTCGCTATGACTCTGAATATACTCAAAAAGTTTACGTGGGAGCAATGCAACGCAGGCTAAAGAAACAGGTGGATCTTCCTCATCATAGACCTGTTAATGTTGGCCTCAGGCACAAGGCATCTTGTGGAAACTGGCATGGACGCCGTACCAAGGAGACGACGAAAAGATATTTCGCAGATGTAGAAAACTCACCCAACTAGGGATCTTGTTCTCTTCTCACGTGCTAAGTGTTGCACCAACGTCAAATTTCACTTGTCGACCTTCAATCTTCAGATTCTTTTGCAAAACTGTATCCACCGGGATTCAAGAACTGGTCCCTGGGGAAGAGAATAGCTCAAGAAGTAAAATTCTATACAGATTAGAGAGGGCGAGAGATGAAGGAACGAACGTGGGGTCTTCTACCTTTGACATCGGAGATAGAATCGAATAAATAACTACTTGTGACTATCTCTAGGTCCTTCCTCCGGATGATAAGCCTCAAGGTCGTGGATGAGATACTTCCTTCCAACTGACAATGATATATAATCACAAGACCAGATTTTTCAAATCTTGATCAAATGTTGTAAGTTTATACTCTGATGGAAACCACAAATACGCTAATACATCTGCTGGAATCGCTTCAATCCATCATCAAAAGGGCGGAAGGGAGAAAACAACAACCGCTCTACGCGCGATGGGCGGCAAAAGCGACCATGCTGGGGATCGAACCCAGAATCTCTAGCTCCGTAGGCTAGCGCCTTATCCATTGGGCCACACGGTCTCAGATCGCTAGAAGGAGGGGTCGAACCTCCGACCTTGTGGTTAACAGCCACACGCTCTAACCAACTGAGCTATTCCAGCTGATGAATTCGAAGTCCCACAAATATAATATAATATCTAAGTTCTAATGTCTATTGAGTTAAAGATAATGAAAAACGATGTTTCTATTCTTTTCACGGCGTTTGTATGGACGATGAGATTGCAGAACGTAACCACATGCAGCCGCGTTAAGAGTGCACATTGTATAACAAAGAGGAATCACCCAGCAGGTTGAAGCATTGACTATAAAAGCATTGTACTCAAGGAGATCCAGATTTGCGGACACATCAGAGCGGCCCCTTTTGGCTGGAAGGACGGATAGTACATAGCATTTGAGCCACTTTCCAGGACGTTGAACGCTTTTTGTTCCATCGATATCGCAGTCTGAGAGGCAAATCGGCCTTAAGAGTACACGATGACATTTCAATTTCAGGATTATACAGCCGCACATACTGAACACACAACTGCAACAAACATCACTTTTCACAGCGTTGCCTTGATCCAATATGATGAGAACGTATGCACCTCCAAGGTTGGTCCTGTTCAATCGATGGATGAAACGTGATTTTCCAAAAAAACGAATGTATTTATTGCTGTATTTCAGCGCATCTTTCTGAAATTTGTACATCCAAGTTATTACGCTGGGATTGCACCCTGCTCAAGAACTGCAGAACGACATGTACGCAGAGGATGAATATGTTTGATATCGCCATTTGACATTTTTGTTTGCAATCGAAGGTGGATTGCAATTTTCGGATCTTACAAGTGAAGGCTGTAACGAGACGGGTGATGCTTTTCAAGTGCCAGTAGTGGATCCCTGAATTGAATTGTCCGTTTTATGGACAAGAATAGATGAAGTATCCTTATTTTCTTTAATCAATCTCCTGGAATCTTTTCTTCAGCTGACAAATGTTTGTTATTGAAAAGCCGGAAGTGGAGACCCTGCTAGAAAGTGTTTAAAGAGAGCGAGTGCCCTGCCTGGTTGGCTTGATGGCACGAAGTGGCCAGCATTCCTGACAGTTGTATATGTAAGCCCCTTATAAACCTCCGTATAGCCTCCAACCTGCAAGCCGCACCATTAGACAACATTTAAATTGGAACATTACAACATTCTGATCACCAAGGGTAATACTCTGTTTTCACGATTTTCCATCTCTTCGATTCGTTCGCAGAAACCTAAGGCGCGTCTAGGATCGAAATTTCGTGTGATCCTGAGCTTCAGGAAGCATGGTCTAAACACACAGGGCACAACCTTGACTACTTCGATCTGATTCAGATCGAAGCCCAACACTGAATCAGAGACTTGGACGGTTGTGAGGGCTATGTACGTACCTGCGTTGAATGGTTCCAGGGATACCAGGGAATCTCAACTGTGAGATTCATCGCTTTGATTGAATACTCAGCTGTGGTTGTCGGACATACGGAATCTGTGTCCCCACTGTTCAGTCACATCCACGGTCAGTCTCCAGTGAGGAATTGATTGGGAAACATACACAAAATTGAACGATCCGTCCTATCAGATTTTGCCTCACAAAGAACATGTCACAAAGCACCTCGAGATTGCGGGGTTCGAGTTGAATGATATGATCACAGAGGAGCATGTAGAGGTGACGTTATTTAATCACTCAGAGAATACCTGTAGATCCACATTTTCACATTCTTCTTCATCAATTCAACGTATATAGGCACCATAGATTCCAGAATATCTGCAGTACTGTAGTTTACAAACACCACGTCACTGCAACCCACAGATGAAACGACGTGAGTGAGTTCTTTTCTGGTTCACAGTGTCAGACATGAACTGCTCGTCCTAAACCTTTCAAACCTGAAAGAATTGTACAGCTTTCGGGCAGATATGTGAAAACTTATTCGAGTGCAGTCAAGCCTGGTCACGATCGGCGTACCTGCATGAAGTCCAGTAGATGTCGCTTCTTACATGCAAGGCGTTCTTGACCTCCTCAGAGTTCAAGAATGGTCTCACTGGATCAGGTGTACAGGGATCAGCCGCCGAGCCAGCTCGCAAGACACCCACCTCTTTCTGCAAATGCACAAAACCTTACACCTTTAGAAATCTGTTCATGCTTATCACCTTAGATAATGTGGACTTTTATTGTCTAGGTTAAGAAAGTCTGCAGTCTTTGGCAGATCCGGAGCAAATTCCTCCGGTACATAAGATTTTTATTGCTGCCCGTGAATTCTCCTAGCCAACAGGCTGACCTTGGCTGACTTGAACTTGTAAGGTTTGGGATCATGCTTTGTACCTGCTTTAACTTTTTAGATGTTGAACCATTGAAATCGCGAGGAGTGTTGCAGGTGGGTGTATAGATACTGTAAGCGTCGATGTATGCCAGAGCAGTGTCCGAAGCTTGTACTGCTGCGTTGCACAAAGGATTTTCATCACCATAGTCTACTGGGCGATCACTGGTAAAATCACAGTTGGTGATGATACCTTCGTAAGTGTGAGGAGATATTAATGAATGAGAGTACCACCACTCTGTAGCTCCTAAATTGTTTGCGTAAGCATCGGTCCATGGATTTCCAATCTGAACAGACAAATTCAAGAGGTCATTTAGTCAACTGCCAGGTTGTTCCAGACAGTGATAGCTAGCACAAGCGCTGAAAAGTAGACATTATCTTGTCTGATATAAAAAAATAGGTAAGCAGACAAGTACCGCAAAACCCTTGAAGTTGATGTGTAAGTCGCTGGGTTTCTTATTTTCGTTGTAGTGCACTATCTCCTTTGCTAAGGTCGGGACGTAGTGTCCTGCACGAGTATGCATCAACAATATTCATCAACTCAAATGAACCCTCCTGCCCTCGAAAACCAAGGCCTCAGTCCATAGTCTAGATCTGGGAGAACGTTGTTTCTTCACACCCTGTTTTAGTTACAGCAGATTCGACAAACGTGATGAGTTCCAGAACCAACTTGCCTGCATAGCTTTCCCCTAAAAGGTAGAAGTCGTTCTTCTTGTACTCGGGGTACTTTTCCAACCAGACGAGCAAAAATTGAAGATTGTCCTCAGCTGCATAACCACCCAGGATTGTGAGCTCAACGTACTGCCATGCACTTACTTCCGCTCAAAACACAACCTAAGCGTTTGCATAATGTTAGTTCTAGTGCCTCAACATACGCAAGAGTTTATGCGACAAGGAGTGAAATTTACTTTCAATACATTACAGGATCTGCCAACTGATCACACTATCGAGAATGAAATTTCCACTCCAAGATGCAAACTGCCTGTGATCAGAAGCTAAACCCAATGCTTTGGTTATTCTATCCCCTTGGACGCATTACAGAGTTCCCTCTGTTGTCTTGCTGTAAATAAATCCTAGCCTTCATTCTTCATCACGATGCTTTCTCATATGCCACTGCTCTTGACAGGACCTTTAGCCCGTAACAACACCTTTCGTAAGTACACCCAAACTCGGGGTCCGGAAGAGTAGGTTCGAAAACGATGAGCCAGGTTCAGAGACACGACCAAACCAATAATTATGCATCAAAGTTCAAACCATGAACATTGGTGTCGTCAACATCTCATCAGTAGGGCGTTTCAGGATATGCAGGTATGAATTTATGTTGGGCTTGGAAACTGGAGACCGCTTGTAGATTTACAGTTAATACTCTTGTCCTTTATGACAACTTTCACTACGGCTCTGTCGCAAAATACTGAAATTTAATGGTTCTACTATTTTGCGACTCATAGACAGTAGGAGATTAATAGGTATGATTTCTGGTGCATTACATCAATTCCTGGTGAATCTCAAGTTATGGACAATGATGCCAACTTTAGCGGTGTTTTTTAGATGTGGGACAGCTTCGTGAATAAAGGATTAAATGCATGTATGGTCATAGACAACTAATGCAAATTACTGCTTTTGACGAACTCAATAATTGATTCAAATATAACGACCTAATATGTTAGAATGCAGGGCAGTACCTGTTCTCTTATCGGTGAAAAGCGTGTAGTCGGAGGGAGAGTCTGAGTATGAAAAGCCCACTCCGACTGGAGCTTCCAGAAAAATTATGTTCGCCGCTGTCATCCACAACATGCAGCAGTGAGTAGCGTGCAAACTGCAGTGGCAAAGAGAGAAATACTGACATCTGAGAAATTATCTCGCAGGAGACCTCTTCTTCCAAACTAATTACAATTTCTTCACACACAGAGCGCGGACCTGATGGAATAACGTACCATCAGTCGTACGTCACTTGCAGGATACAAAAACCACTGTGTAGATACGATGTCCGGATTCATCCATACGGCGAGAACCAGTGAGTGTTCAATCACTCGATGACCCTCTCCAGGTTAGGGCGGGTGTGGATCCAGCAAAAAAAAAAAACCAAAAAATATATGCTCACCTTTTATCCAGCTGTAATTGTTGAGCTCCAGTACCGTGCTTCCGTTGCCATCCGAGGTGACGTAGAATGGACCTAACTCTAGCAGCAACCCGTCTCCAACAGATGAACATCCAGGTCCTGAGAGCATCCATCCCGCTTAGACTGATCAGCATTTCTACAAAACGAGCCTTCAAATCGCCCAACAAGAACAAAACCTGACCCACAAAACCATAGCCCTCATGTATGCCGCCGTGTTAAAAAGGAGGACGCATTCTGCAGCTTTGTCGGAAAGGATAAAGAAATTATTGTATTGGTGTAAGTCCAGCGCGAAATGTCAGCTGTACGATTTCAGACTTTCTGTGACAGTGGCGTGTACTTTGCTTGCCAGAAGCCGTGTGAGGCCACAGCACCGAATGTTGTGCATTACGGCAGCTATTCAGCAGTTAGATTGATCATGAGAATCTCTCTTCTTCAAATACAACCAGCTCAGATGCCATGACGGTAGGAAATGCCCGTTACTGGCAGTTTACATCGTTCGTTCGAGTGAGTGACGTGCACATGTCGAACTCTCGTGCTGGAATTGGCACTCAGACGAAAGAGGCCATAGTGATTGCAAATTCCACATAGCCGTCGACCCCCGAGCAACGCACTTCTTCCGAGTAGCTTCTATTCGCGTATCTGATTGTCCCAACTATCAAAATTGCTGATTCGGTTTGTTGGCGAATGATATTTTCAGCTACTTTAGGAATCATGGCGAGACGTGTTGACAGGCGAATTCGGTGGGCATGCAGTCATTGTGAGAGGACATCTTTTCTGTATACAACAGTCGGTGGTCCAAGGCTCCAGTACAGAGTTTATGAAACTTCTCTCAACCGCATTTCTCGTGAGATTGACCAATTCGAGACTTGTTTGCTTGCATGCATGCACAACGCGCTTGGAAATATACTTCAGACCGAGCAAAAGTTTGGTGACAAAGTTGCGCTGGTGTCTTCAGTGTTTGTCAAAGAAAAAAACCTCTGTCGCGCATTTGACATTTCCTTCGGATTCGCCCATAATAACACTACGTGTTGGAGAAATTAATTGCTGTGGGGAGAATGAGAAGAGATGGCTCTTACCTCCATTGAACCAAATGGCCAGTGGTAGCGAGCTGGGGTTTTCATGGTCTGCAGTGAAAAACCAGTAAAATAGATTGCGCCCGGTGGTCTCATTCGCCGTCAAGTAGCCTGCGTACTGCTGGAAATTCACAGGCGGCAGACCAGGCAAATCCTTCACCAAGTGCTCAGGGATCGCTCCGTCGACCACGGATGATAGCAGCTGCAGCACGACAATCACAGCACCAGCTGCCCATCTCTGAACCATCTCCCCTGGTTCTCAAAAATCAGTCAAGAACGCCGAGGAATGGTATCCTCGGTCTCACTGAGGGAACTGCACCTTCGATTACAAATACTCTGTGCTCAGTACAAGTTCCTTTTATATTCTTCCTGCTTAGCAGAGCTGCGCTGCAGCGCAGAACAAAAGAATATCCGTTACCGCTCTGTCTTCTCCTTCTTCTTCAACAGCCTGGATTCTAAAATCCTCTAATCGTATATTACCAGCATTCGAAAATACATCAGCTCTGCACAGCTGCCAGCAGCCTCCCTCCTTTTCTGCCACCTGAAGGTTGTCCTGTTTACAATGTCTCGGTTCGAGAACTGCACAAAAATCCAAACCTCATCCGTTCTCTTGCTTCTGTCTGAGAATCACAGTCTGAGGTCGAATCAGTGAAGGGGTCGGTTAGGAGAACCAAACCAAGAGGAGTCTCTCCCTACCTTGTCATCATCATCTCGCGTACAAGTCCACAGACTCCACACTCAGAGTTGAAAAAGGCAAGTCTGCAGACACCAGACAACTTCGATGAGCAGCTTGCGATCTTCTCTGACATTGTCCGAGATGATGAAGCCCATGGAGTCCAAGATATGTCGATCGGTCAAGACCGGGAATTGCAGCTGAGCTCTGTCAAAATTTTACCTCCTAAAGCTCAGGGCTAGAGGTCGCTCACTCTGATCCCAGACACTGCTGCTACTGCTTCTAGATTCTGTCATCCCCACATACATGTCCCAACCTGTCAAGGACAATAGACCACAGCTTTTCAAAAAGCGAGCCTGTACTTTATATACTAATAAACTCGCTCTGTCTTTGTGCTGTCAACCACCGGTCTCATTTCTGCTTTTTCTTTATGCTATAAACTTTAATTATACTTCAACCTCTACTTCCACTTAAGGCGGGTCTGTTTCTCTTCTACTCCATTCTCTTTCTTGATGATTGTTCACACTGTTGATATGTGTAGTACCGTCCTTGAAACGCTGGCATCCTGTACATAAACTTGCATGGACTGGACTATGACTCGGGATCAGGCTATGTCAGTAATGTAATTCTCAGGCTTATTCTGATCCATAGATCGACTTTTCTATCATCATCTCGTCTTAATATTGATGATTTGCCTCTTGGAAAGTGATGAAGAACATTCGTCAGACAAGTCTGCTGGGAATTCCCACTTGGAAGATAAGTAAGAGAAGGGTCTTAGACTCAGATTGCTAGAACAAGCTGGGGCTGCTCAGCACTGGAGTATCTTTCAGCATGGAACTTGTAGACGAAGACACCTCTATGTATTATGGGTTCTGGTCTAACGTGAGAATCGACGACAGATTTGGAGTCAGAACCTTCAACATTGCCTTGGAGGAACCTCCGTGAACACTAGTAGGTACGTCTAAGGGCCTCAAAACGCATGAATATTGTTGACTAAAAATGCCGATCTCAAATTCATTTTATTCTTAATGAGCATAAACATTCAAGTCTTTCACTACGTGAGAAGGATAGCGTTCTTTAAATTTGCAAACAAATTTCATCATACAGAATGAATGCAGGCAGTGGAATTTCTGATAGTTTCGCGATCATTCTGAGTAGACCCATGGGCTCACCGCGAACTGCGGGGGGAACAAAAACTCTTGACTACTTTCAGTGCAACTCGATGAAGACAAGGAAAAGGAACATTGATGTAGGTACAACCAAAATTCAAAGATGGTCATGATGGTCATCGGAGGAACATACAAAGTGGCGAGAGGCGAACAAGCAATGAAAACTTGAAAAGTCTCATCAACTCCCTGCTACTCCTTTCTAAAGCTGTACTCCCGTATAAGGAGAATATACAAGCCCACAACATCCACAAGAATTTCAACCAGCCCACGATACATAGTAGCTAACAAACAATAATCGCCATCGCAAATTATGTTACCAAATTAGCAGTTACTCACTCAAATACTATCTATTGTTGGATGAAAAATCGCCCATTAATTAAATGGCTAGAGGAACTCCGGTACACATCAACTCCTAGGAGAAGATGGATAAGAAGGTTTGGTCTTCCTAAAGCAAACAGAACAAGGCGGCACGTGTGTTTGGAATTTGACCAGGTATCAATGTACGCGACAATCGTCAGTCTCGATGCCTTGACTCGTCCCATGCTGTAAACGCTGAAATGGAGAGAAAATTAAATCATCTACAGTTTAGGCTAGTTTAGAGAGAGAAAGTGTCGCAGAATGGCAATTGAACAAGTCCCTTGTTTGCCTCTGCCCATGAATCATCAGCTGAGTACCCTACTACCTTTCGTGTATGAAGTAAAGTCTGTCCCGTACCCGTAGTTATTGCGTTACAGAGGGAACAATCGACGAGAACTGGAAATTAAGTTTAATTGTCTACCGACTTAGCTTCACGCTGCGAAGTTGCTTGGAGGTCAATTTGTGATGATGACGCTGCCATCAAATCACGATTAAGAAACCCTGTTACCCTGCGCATTTTGCTATTCTAGTGTGTCAGGAATAAACTTACCACAGTACTTACAGCTGTACAACCCTTTTCAGACGATGATTTGCGCTCTTTATTTTAATATAACATTTCCAATATAGCTCCAATAGCATTGTGATGCTATTGGAGCTATCATCATGTAGAAATTAAAGGGTTTTCTGATCCTTCTTAGATTTGTTTAAAAAAAATTAAGGAACCAAATGATTCAAAATCGATAAGGGGTACCCAAGTCTCATAAAACTTTAAAGTGTTCCACTCATTTCGTGGTATAGCGGCTTCCTTGCTTCCTTATCCACTCTAATCTGTTGAGTAGATTGTAATTTTATTTTGTGATTGGACAATAAGATTCCGGTCATTTATATATTATAAAACTGCAAGAAGGAAGCTCAAACCACTCTAGACACTCTCATCTATTCAAAACCATGATAACGTCACCGTTATCATGTGGTTTTTCAGACGCGTAATTGCACGTCTCGATGCAATTACTCAAAGTTTGAAATATATGTCTGATTTAAATATGTCTATTTTCTAGCCCAAGGCAAAATTGTCAACTTCTAGAAGATTAGCTTCTGACTTGGTTCTAATGATTATTAAATATACAATATTGATTATTAAGTGATTAATTAAAACGTCGGATACACATCTAATCATCCATTGGTATATTGATGACGTCGTTTTCATATCATATGCGATTTGTTCAAATCTGATTGGTGTTGTAACAAACACTACTTTCTGGAAGCGAATCAGATGTTGTGTGATTTTTTAAAACATACTCTATGGAATTTAGCCCTTGCGTTTATTAGCTTATCGATTCTGTACTTGGAATGGTGATAAATTTTCTTGCAAAAACTTGCAACATTTGACAGTTTTGAGGTCACCATCCACGAGAGAATGGTCCTTTTCCTCCGGCAAATTGGAGTTACTTCTCTTCTTTCCAGTTCCTGCACATGTGCTAACATGATGTCAAGACTTGCAGGGAGAGATAATTAATTGGTGGGAATTTGGAAACTCAAATTATTTAATGGAACAGGATTTTCATTTTACGGGATGGCATCCCACTCTAAAGCAAGGAACTCACCGTTTGCAATGTTCCAATAAAAATTCTTATAATCTGAAATTTACGGTATAATGTAGAGAATGTCTTACACTGTAAGACCAAAATGCTTTGGAGACTCGTTTAATGAAAGTAATTTCGCAGCGTGACTCAGGGTAGGGTCTTGCCATAACTGCATCCAAAAAACTGCTGAGAGATTCTACCGGACATATTTTAGTAACATCGCAGACTGGGGCTGAAGGGTCGTCGAGGGAGTCCCATCAAGTTTGTTACGTTTCCTTAGGGTCCCATCAAGTTATTTCCTTGGGCATGGAGGAATTCCAATCGCGAATCGGAAGGAAGACCTGTAGGGAGTCATTGCCCGTGCCAGACACGGAAAAGTAATTCAGGGCCATCCTTCATGTGTCTATTCAACGTGTCGGTCTCCTGCTGAAAGCATTGCCGGTGAGGACTCCATATTACATGCATGAGTTGAACGTCCACATGGTAGCTACTCGCCTTTGAAGGCTCTCAGTTTGTCTCTGTCCTCCGTTTCTAGTCCGACTTCAGCATGCGGAAGAAAATCCACGAGCAAGCTTATGAATGCATGACTAAATTAAGTCGTCGTCCCCGGCCCCAGTCCTGGTGAATCTAAATAATCGTAATAAGTAAGTTTCCAGAGCATTCAAAGGGACACAACCTCGAGCAGCTGACGACAGCGGTCCAAATTCTGAGCGAGCTGCAATTGGATCTCCCACGTTTGGCAACCAGGAAATGTTACACTATATTGACGCATGGAATCGGCACGTAACAGGTTCTCTGCAAGCTCCATGCAGTCAGTCATTGATGTCCAGGCGCGAGAGAAAATCGAATTCCGTGCACTGACGACTCGTCTTATGCTCGATCTGCTTCTTTACCTGCTTTCCGGACAGATCTTTATCCTGTAGTCGTAGGCTGCTCTTGCTCTGCATGCCTTAAACCCTCGAGCATTTGACCGTAAGAATTCATCTCCACCGGCTAACACCTGTATCCACCTCTCACGAGACCCGGTTTTTACCGGGAGAATGCACATGATCATTATTCGGAATGTTAAAGTTTAAAGTCCCCTCCTTTCGTTTCAAAGTTTACTTAGACAAACACACAACCTGTGAGAACAGAACTGGACTCGTAGTGACGGTAACTGCTGAGCTGTCGGTGAGCTTAACCGGCAATCACTCTCGTGACCGGGAATCCATTTCGAGAGTAATGTCAGAGTGGCGAGGAAATTGGCGGTGCAAGTTCACCGGCGGTCGCAATGTTCTTAAGAATGCTCTTCTAGTCAAAGATTTCTTTCCGTGCAATGAAGCATGGCCGGTTCGTGGAGGTTCTAGCCAGAACAAGGGTGTGACTGGGTGTCAAGTAAACGTTGAAAAGAAAACGGGGATCGGGAGTCAAGTAGATCTTTCATTCTAAAGGGATGATGAAGTAACTCGCAAGGATTTATCTTCCGGGAACAGCGGAGGGTCTTGATCGGGAGTCTGGACTCCGCACTGCTGGTCAAGATGGTGACCATCCCTGCGCTTTGACCTGACCTGACTTGACCATGCTGGTCTCGCGCCTTGAGAACCTTGGACCCTCATGTAGCACGTCTCGAGGCTTTCGTAATAGAATGTACCGCATACATTTAGTTAGCACCTCGGGAGAGGAGTCACTCTTATGTTTTTTACTCTTATAGAGTCACTTCATAAGTAGATGCATGTAATGTTCAATAGGAATTAAAAAAATTGGGGTTGCTTTCTTAATGTTTGGGGTTGATTTCCATGTTTCGAACACTGATTGTACATGGTATAGTAGAAGGTAACTTAACCTTTTAAAGTTATTAGTAAAAAATTAGAAATTTGGTTATAGTGTAGGATAAAGGTAGAGTAATTATAAAAAAACAAAAATATGTACACTCTCAAAATTATTTAGAACGTGTAGAATTATAAGTACACATTCTACTTAAAGATCAGATAAATTATATTAAATAGATAAATTATCTTTATCTTTTACACGTAGAGATTATAGGATAACCCGGATCTTTAGAGTAGAGGTAATAGAGCAATTACCGGGTAACACTGATGTAAAAGTAACTTGTAAGAATCCGATCATGTAACCCGGTAATTACCTTGAGATAGACATCTGTATAAGTAGACAATCGTGACACGAGTAAGGTAGAAGCCCATGGCTTACCCCCTTTACCTTGCCAAGGCCTAGTATAGTGACTAAGAGTCTTGTAAGATCAAAGAGAACTAAACTGATCATTGATGAGTTTTCAAGATATACTCTAGCTTTTGGGTAATTTACACATGGAAGTAATAAGATTTACATAGTGAATCCTCTCCATATTATTCTCTCTGCCTTGGTTTATATTTTCAAGCTAATGATCATATTCCCCGATGAAAAATGTGAAATAACATGATCATGTATATAGTATTTTCGTATTTCTAAACATATAAAAATAATCAAAAAAAGAAATTAAAAACCTAGCCACTTCTCCAATCTCATTTATTATATATAAATAAATATAGAAAAAACGTGATAAACTTTTTTCATTTGGCCGATATAATGAAAAAAATATTATATAGCTATTGATGAAATTTCCAAAGGAGAAAAAATGCTATTCGCTTTTGTTCTAGTTGATGTTGAACTCATTCCAAAGCTATTTCAAGAGGTCCTTGTAAATTTCGGCCACAGGTAAAAAGTATGGATGATTTTCATGTAGTTGTGATTCTAGCATTCGTGTACAGATACTCAGTTGATATTAACCATTTAACGTAAACCAATTGATTTGCACCTGGCAAATACAATTATACAGAAATTTTCACTAGACTGGTAACTCTAGAGGTTTTAAGCAATAATTAATCCTCGCAAAATTTTTCAGTACAATGATCAAAATATGTGTTGAGACTTATTTTAGTTTAGAGTATCTTAAACAAGTTCCTCCAAACATGAAGTATCAAATCCACACGCTTCTTCAAGATGTCCATGTGAACGCCGCAAGTTTAAGTAATATACTCTCATTAAACGGATAGTGCTTCATTCGTAGAAGCAAAGTATCAAACTACAGTAGTAACTATTTTAATCATGATTTTGATTTATTTTATCATATATATTACATATCATATTAATATCAATGTATCATATACTATTACATACTTTAAGAAAATCAATATTTTGCATGTTTTTTCAGAAGCACATCTTAACCATTGAGCTCATGTCTTGTCGGTGAGTGGGCACGGCACAAGGAAGGTAAAGAACTATTATCTTTCTGTTTGTCATGACAACCGATGACACTCTTGGATGAGCTTACTTCTATGCTCGTTTGAGTTACATTTGCTCCACTTTGCTTGAACATGAGAATACATGCATCATGCTTATATGAAATAGGTTGTCTCCCTTTCTTACTCCAATTAAACACTTCCGTGTTTATTTCACAAAGTTTTGTGAAATATACATGAAATAACAAATCAGCTATTTTATCATACATTGCTTTCTACATTTGTGAGGAGGATATCACCATATTTATTTGTACTAGTACGGTAGACCTTCTTATCCTTGTTTATGAAAGAGTTTCACATTCATTGGCCTCAAAAAATAATGTCATCTTAGTTGCCCTGAAATTACTCTATCATGTGTCTCAACATACTTCAAGGAAATATTTTTTCTGTGCTCCTTGTTTTGATGCGGATCCAAATAATGTGTCTTTTGGCCCAAACGTCTTCCTTTCATGAGTCAACTAAAAACGATCAGTTGACTCATGAAGTATAGACTTGACTTTTGTGGAACACGTAAGTTGACCTGCATCATTTTCATAACAAATTCATTCTTGTGTTATATTGCTACACAATTCTGTTACTGGTTCAATCACAGGATCCGAATGAAAGGAGATTTTGTCCCTAGCTGTTTGTCTTAAGATAGATGATGAGTCTACTTCATCATTTGACTTTGTCCTTTGTAACTTGCTCTTAGTCTTCAATCCAAAGCTTATTTGACTCTTTGAAGAAACAAATTCTATATTTTGTATTAGTAAAGCATTATCAACAATAACACTTCATTAACAATTGCTAATATCGTTGTTGACATTTCTTATAACTTTTTTTATCGTATAAGGGATAAGTGTAACTTTTTAGTGATATCCTTAAATAGATTGATATAGGTCTAACCGGTCTTCACTAAATCTAATAAGTCCATTGGTAAAATCTACCTCAGAATGTAGATATAGCTTCCTTTCCATAAATCCATATCAATAATAAAAATTTACATATTAATTGTTTTAAAACCTTGAACTTCAGATGATACTTTGATACGTTACTTTCTCTAATGACTTACGAGCTCTCTTGAAGGGCTTAAACTCATTTTAAATATTTTCAATTTCAAAGCCAATCTTCTTGCTATATTTTAAGACCTGATGAAAGCATGTTTTATTTCTTTCTTTGAGAATTCCTAAATTTTAACTTAAAACACCCAAATAATCAACTTAATTCTTACATCCATTTTGACATACCATTGCTCATTCTTTATTTATCATTGAAACCTCTAAATTCAATTTTGAACACTAACATTTAAAATCCATTTGCCGTGATCTAAACTATTTGACACGTGTGAGATAAGTTTTATCTCTGATTAAATTTATTTTGGAACTTATGTATTCTTAAGCTCACTATGTATGCTTATTACCAAATTTTTTTATAAATGTTTAACCGGTATCAACGTTATTTGTGCCTCAATTTTAAAGTGTAGTAACCATCCAGCTCATTTTTATAGTTTATTTTGAACTTTAGTGTTAAAATTCTCTCTTGAGGTTTTTTTTGTCATTTTTGAAACTCAAGTTACTACTTCCATTTATGATCTGTCTTGGGGTCTCTGAATTTTTTATGCAAGCTCATTAGTCGTGGAAAAATCCACTTCAATGCATTTAAAATTATATGCTTCACTCTAATTACCACTGTAAATTTTCAACTAAACTTCAAATTTCACCATTTTACTCACATGTTTCAAACAATTCGAATATCATAAAACATGGTGAATCTGTGTTGAAAATCTCTAAATTCACATTTTGAAAAACTTAATCCTTCAACCTACTTCTTATAATTCATTCTAAACTTCAAACTCTTTATTTCCAATCGTAATGATGTTATTAATCTTGGTTTTAAAGCGTTTGTATTCTTGAATCACTCCTTTAGGCAATTTCAAACTTCAGAAACATATTTTTCACCAGTGATCTAAATAATCAAATAAAATTATATTACATCTTATAAACTTCAATCACAATCGTAATCCTACTTTTTAAAAGTCCATCAATCTTGAAAGTAAATTCAATTGCTAACTACAAAAAGCCACATCCATATAGGGTGTACTCCTCAAGCCAAACTAGCAATAAGACGAATAGGTTATATAACATTATTGCAATTTTGATTTAACTCATTGTGACCTTTTGATTATAATGAAGCAATATTAAAAAACTTGCTCAACATATATTATGATCAATTCAAGTATCTATATAAGTTTCAATCTTTTGAAGTAGAATGAAAGAAATTGAAACTATCAACAAGAATTATTATATTTACATGCCAAAATGGAGTGAAATATAGCAATGTATTATCCTATTTGATAGATTATAACAAAGCATAAATTTGATTGTTAGATAGAAGGACTAAAAAATTAATGGTATAATTTTAAATATAAATTCTTCTTAAATATAACGTATTTCATATTGACATCCATATGTGATTGAAGAGTCAGATATCTGTGAGTTTAATTGAAAAAAATAACTCATTTTTTCTTCATATTAATCAATTTTTATTGTTTTTAGGTGGGTTGTTCATTGATGGAAAAATGGGAAAAAATATATTCAAGAGTAACTGGAAAGGCAAATTGAGAGTGGTTGTATACAATCTCCAAAGGTATTGGAAGAATTTATGAACTGTATGTATTCTTATCAGCCATATCTGAAAATAGGATATTCGATATTTAAAAAAAATGTTGAATGTAAAATATGACAACAATGTAGATGAAGAAATAAATGAAATAAAATCTCTACAGACATCCAATTTGAAAGATGATGCACACGATCAAAGGACTTCGATCGTGTGCTTGAAAAGATATTCATGTATTCTATTCAGGAATATGAATGCAACAAATTATACCATGTCGACTTGTTATTGATTGTAAATTGCATAACATAGTGACGTCTCCACCACTACCTTCAAGTAGTGTACACTATGTATGTCCAATAAAACGCGCAATGTTGTAAAGGGTTTCAACCCTTAAATTCGACATCATTTACACGCTTTAACTAATGCTGTTGAAACTCACGATGACGTGAATTACTTGAGTTACTTCATACCATCATAAAAGAGTGAATCTTAAATAAACCCCGAATGATTAATCTCGGTACAGGCCATGATCTGCTCACCTTATAATGAGAACCTTCGTAGCCATAATTTGATATCTGATCGCTGGTCGCATCAAAAGTACGATAAGCATGATCTACTGATCTACTGTACGCAGTAGGAGTAAAGTACTGTGGTCAGGAGTTCTGCAGGCATGGCAGTGCGCGTTAAGTTAGGGCTAATGTGGGCCCGTTATACTGAAGATCGCAGACGTGAGCTCAACTGCTTCTGTTTGCCACTTCGCGCAAGTGACACTTTTCGAGAGAATATGAATCTTGGATCGATTTGGATCTTTCTGGACGAGAAGTGCGAATTTCCTCCTGTCACTCAGTCTCCAGACTTCCCAGTTTACGAATCTGGGTGCCGCTAAAATTACGGCATGCTGACAGCTTCCGTTCAGTGGCCATTATGCCGTGGAGTCGACTGTTTGTGTCTCTGTCTACTTCCTGCGAAACCAATGCTAGGGAGTTGCGGAACTCTCGGCCCGGAGGCAGCCTCGATCGAGTCATTACGAGTATGATCATCTCCTGTGATGTCTCTGCGGGGTATCATCACGCATGATAGATCTCTGAAGTGGCTGGGTTTGTCTGGTTTTCTGTAGGGAGGAAATTGAAACGGAGGAAGGCTTCGATTCCAAGCTTTGTTTAAAAGCGATCGGTGTAGTTTGACCTAAGTAGACTTGCAGAGACGAGTATGATTCAGCCATTCTGCCTCTCCAATGTCACCAACTCTGCCTCTTCTACAATAGCCCACAAACAATCGTTAAGAATTGACACCAACAAGCAGGTTCAATGCATGGAAATCGTTGTCAGGCAAATTCTGTTAAGTGGAGATTTTTTTTGCTGGGAGAAGTGATATACGTACGCGAATTTCGTTTTTTTTCGTAGTTAGAATCTAAAGCTCAACTGCTACAACGGCAGGTGCAAATTTCACAAAGCAGTCCCCAATTTTTTCCCGTGATAGAGCTGAGACACTGAACTGCCCGGCAGGCCTTTTGCAGCCTGCGATGTGGTGAGTGATTTATACGCCGAACCGTGCTTGAGATCGCACGATGGCCACGGAAGACAAGCAGTCCACTGCGAGACGCAATGTGTACTTCGAGGCAGGTCTCAAAGAGGAGGGCCAGAAATCTTCGTGGGCCGAATCACGTCCGAAAACTCCTTTGAAGGTGTACGCAAGCGATTTAGATAACGAGAGCTTATGGCTGTCGAATTCCGTCATGAGGACCCGCAGTTTAGAGAGCTCGAGAGCAGTCACTCCCCGGAGCCAGATATCCAGCCAGGGCCAGGTCCAGGTCCAGGGCCAGAGCAATTGCAGCCCTCTTCCTCTGGCATTTCTTTTTCGGCATCTCTCGGGCATGAAAAGTTCTATTGGAGAGGCTATGGCATTAGCCAAAACGACTGCCTCCACAACATCGTCATCCTCCGAATTCTCGACCCCCACTGTGAAACTCCATTCATACACCAAAGTAAAACATAGAAGGACCAAAAATTCGGCCCTGAGAGCCATGAATTATCCGGCCATTGTGGCGTCTTTCCTCTTACAGCACGAAAATCTCACAGAGCTGACGATTCCAGAGGATGAAGAAATGGATGTTTCCCTTCCACCTCTGAAAAAAAACCCTGCTCCAACTCTTTTTGGGTCCAGACTTCGGGACCCGAGCAGACGCTACCACGTAAAGAAAGGAAGGCCTGGCCACTTAAGCCGGGCACTGAAACCACGAGACTGGAAGCATGGTAAAAGGAGCATGAAGAGTGGGGGTGCACGAAACAGCGCTTTCGATCACAGAAGGCAAAAGCAGCTGCTCAAAAGTCGTTCTGCTCGAATTCTGAAGAAATGGGACGTGCAAACTGCTCTAGGACCTCTTCTTCAGCAGGGTGATCAGTCTAGACTCAGTGACCTTAAGGCTCCCATCGTAGCCGAGTCTTTGAGTTATTGTTGGGACGGAACATGGAGGTGGAAAAGCTGTCTTGTCGTGGGATATGACAGCAACTGTGGGATGTACCGTGCGTTATGTGATGAAAATATCGAAGATAGATGGTGTGCGTTGAGAAGCTCTTCCCAACAGGGAGCTTCCTCAGGTGCTGACTCTGCCGCTGGAATCTCCGGAGACAAGGGCAAGAATTCTTGGGAGTTCAATGCAGTTTCAGGTTGCTGGGAGAGAATGATCAACGGGGACCAGCACCTCCCGACTCGATTGGTTGCTCGCCTGAATCTCCGTATTCCACCGGTAGGGCGATGTTGTTATGCATCCTGTGATTCACATTAAGGTGTCTCTTCTTAAATTTCATTAATCAGAAGAAGCGTAAGAAAATATGAACCTCTCTGTAATGTAGTCAAAGAACCATCTTATACGCCTTCTTGAGAAGGTCAATGTCGATTGAGATCATTATATCTACTTGATTTGAGAAGAATATGGAATATCAGCCTGCCTAATGTTGGTAGTCCTGGTTCTTAGTCTCTCAAGTATGAAAGTAGGGATCAATCGGATATTTCGACAAACTGGACTTCGAACTAAACAAGAGGCTTTTCTCTGCAATCTCCATTCCATCATAGACACATGACCTTTCCATCTCATGACTCGAATCTCTATGAAAGAGACGTTTCAAAACGTAGCAGCAATGCCCATCAGTTCATGTGCTATGTTTCAATCTCGGGGTGAATTAAAGAAACATTGTACGATGTGGGAACAGGAGCTAGAAACACAACTCTGCACGCCAGATATAAACTGTACATTCGGTTACTTGTTGGTAAGGATCATCTGAGTTTGACTGGAGAACTAGGATCTAGATACTGAGAAGTAATGTGATGGCTGCCTAAATTCATGTGCAGGAACCTAGAGCTCAATCGAGCAATAAAGCTGAGCGTGATAGCACGTGTCAAGCAACCGTTGCTATACCTACACCGAGTGTTGGGCCGCTCAGTGCTGAGTCGCCTTCTACAAACCCTTCATTTAGCTGGAAGGTCAATTCGAAACTCAAAAGTGAAGGTTTACTTTCTTCAGGAGGCACCCAAGGGATAGCGAGACTTGGACAAGAATTGGAATACAACCCACCTTCTTCTTCGGAAGGAAGCTTGAGGCAAGGACATGAAGTGTCTGAAGCTAGTGCCTTCAATCTGAGAAATGCGTGGAAGCCTTTGTATGGCGTAGAATCTAGACTTGGAGTTGGACTGAGCAGTGGAGCAAGTGAAAAAAGCTTCTCCTTCAAAAGGTTGTCGGTCTCAGGGAAAAGCAATGCCTTCACGCAGCCTGGAGAATTTCACTCAGGTTTCAGTGAGGAATCTGAAGGATTACTGAGCTGGAGAAAGAAAGAACGTCCTGAAAGTGCAAGGTGCATAATATATGATGTCTTTCCATTATTATCAGAACTTGCAAGGGAGTTTGAGCATGAAGCAAACATTATGGAGAGCAATGACATAACTAGCTTGAGGAAAGCTGGTATGCTCTTTCTAGACAGGTTAATATCTGACTTCTGTCATTTAGTTGGCAATATATGTTTGCAAGCAGTTGTTCCTCTGTGTGTAATATCTCGATAATAAATAGGCGCTTTCTAAATCCGTATTCAGCTAGAATCTGAACTAGCAGGTTCTATTTTCATTTCATTTGTTTATCCTGCTACTTCTCTGAATTGTCATCTCGAAGTTTGTTGATTCTACTACCGCTCACTTTAAGCCTTTGGTGAGGCCGATCACTACCGTTATCGTTTTCTATACAGTTGACTCAAAGACCTGTTTCTTGCTGCCAGGTATGAATTATATACTTAAAGGTCCCAGGCCGGTTAGAGTTGACGGAGACTCCTTCGCACTCCACTCTTCTAGTTTAGCTGCTTCTTCAGCACTTCTGCGACCTGGTCTTCAGGCGGCTATGTTGTTGGTTGTCGACTCAGTCAAGCTTGTTGAAAGTACACGGTTCCTCGCTATCTCAGTACCCTGTGTATCTATTGCTAAGGCAGTAATTTTGCAGGTACGTTAAGAGGGCCTGTGATGGGGTGCTTAAATGAGTTAACTTTATTTGCTGTTTTTCGTTAATTTGACACTATCATGTCATTATTTAACACGGCTGTACTGTCGATCCTGATGAAATGTATGTTTGTCCACAGATAAACAACATTGAGGAAAGTACCGATTACATCCGAAAAGTTGTACTCGCGGATGCCAGGGATGCTCTGAACACTGCTTTGGTTCGAGATGAGGTGTTTAGCAGTTCACACATTCATGTAGTCTATTTCTTTGTCGGTTTTACAGCTAGTGACCAGCTGCGTTATGTCCATGCATGCTTCAGTGCTTGCAAGTATTGAGTAAAACAGGAAAATATGGTGATTCCATGAAAAATGACTTCATACTTTGTTCATGTTGGCATGCTCTTACCCGCTTTCTCATCGTTCTGATAGGAGCTGACAACTATGAAGAACGGATCGAAATTTTATATTCGAATAGCAAGGTAAGGGAGTCTGTTGGAAAATATCGTAGAGGTTCACTGATGGAACTACTGGTTTTGTGCGGGTGTTTTGTTGAAAACTTTGCACATTTCTATGTGAAGTTTAAAGCGATCAAGGACTGTAGATAACCGCAATGAAAGCTCTTACCTGCTATTTTACAGATGGGCAAACCTTCTCACTGAAGCTGCACTAGCAAAGGCTCTCGAAGGAACTCTCGACGCCTATGCGTCAAGGTTTGATGGAAAACAATCACCATTGTACAAGGCCGAGGGTTACCAGCAAATCACATGTCCTTTATTCACGGTGAAGCTTACTGTAGTCGGCGATAACAGCCTTGACTACCGAACACCCTTGTCGAAGCTGAGTGTGTTTTCCGGCAAATTGGTTGGTACTCAATCTTTCTTTCACGTTTGTCTTTTTCTTGAGATCAAAATTCTGGATTTTCATATACTTTTCGAGTGGAACCTTTTCCCGTTGCTTGCCATGTAATTTGCCCATCAGAATCTATGAATTTTGATGTTGACGGCATACTAGGTTAGATATCTTGATGAATCTGCAACAAATCCATTGGTATGTCTGGTACCTTCTCATCCTTATCGTTCAATTTGCATACACAGTTGGATGACGTTTTGGGAGCACTTCTGTCTTTGCCTTTCATGGATACGAAGGACTCTGTTCAGAGTAAGGTAACGTACCCACAAATTTTGACTTCAGGTCTTCTTTCTCATCACCATCAATCAAGCTGTGGTCTACCCCGGAATCAGGTCGTAATCTTTTTTGTGAAATATGTGACAACGAGAAGAACTCTTTTCTTGAACAATACGTGGTTGGGTTGAGAGTAATAAAAGCTATGCAGGTTGAACGCGATGTTTTGCGCAGGGCAGCAGATGATGCTTTGCCTCTTTGCCGTTTACGAGTAGCTCAAGCAGTTGCCGATGCTACCGAAGCTATGCAAATTTTGCAAGCTAAACTTTCGGATATATGGACTGATCTCACATTTTTTAAAAGAAGTGCTGATGCGAAAGCTGAAGATCTGATCCCCACGTATCAAAAGTACTTGAACTCTGTAGCAATGAGCTGCCACATAGCCGAGATTGCATGTCGTGAAGAGTCAGCCGACAATCCGAAGGACAAAACGGAGAATGTAGGGAAAAGAAGCAGCTTCTCTGATCATGTTGAAGATTATGTGTCCGTGGTACGTATCACATTGCGAAAACAGAGGGAACTGCAGACCATCTTTGCCGAGAATCATGGCAAGGTTGTAGGAACTCTTCTCAGACTCGATTGTGATGAGATGTTGATGCATACATCTTCCCTCGGAACAGATTGTAAGCAAATGGCTGCAGATACGCTTCAAGAGATTCTTCGTCCGACAATGAAGCAACTGAATCAGAAACTTGCTGCAGATGAGACCATTCTTGCAACATCTTTATCTGCATTGAGCCCTGAGAAGTTTGCTGCCATAGAATCCGTCGTCAAAAGCTACCAGTTGGACCCTGATCCTATTTACAGATACTTAGAGGTTCTGAAAGCGTGTCATTCTGCTCTTGAAACTCTGTCCTTGGAACTGGACGACGAGGATGTTAAAGCGTACTGGTCGTTGTACGGAAGAACACATTCTATGTTAGTCTCGGTCAGGTCCAAGGAAAAGTTTTTGAGAGACGGAAAATCAATCGTCATCGCAAGCATTCGTACGGAACAGGTGATTTCCTGTGCGGCTAGAGTCTATCTTCTAAGATTGATGCGAAGCCTATATTCTTATGAGAGCATAGTTTAATGATCTTTCTAGATATAATTCTGACACTTGAATCAAGCACGGGGTGGAAAAGCTCATCTGCGGTGAACAAACTCGCCTGCATTTCATCTGTTGGTGAGCGCTACAGAAATATGTAGTTACAGAAGATGATTAAATCCAAGGTAATTTTAACACGTAATGAATCTATGTACTAGATTATGAAGACCATTTTGCTTGGACTTTAATAGACTTTGATAGAATTGGACTATCATGTCTTCTTCGCTTGGTAGCCGACGACAATTTGCCATCAGGTTTGTGCTCCATTCGTTCCCTCCGTCCACTGAAACATGCAAGGTTTGCCTTTACTCCAGTCCACTAGAGTAAAGTTCGACGTTGCCCACTTTTCTAAATGAAGTCATATACGTGTGCAGGCAACAAACTTCATCACAGCAACAGAAGTTATTGGATCTATAGTCTATTTAGAATCCTTGAAAGATATCAAGGAAGCATTCGACAACGAGTTTTTGGTGCAAAGAAAGCTAGATTCTTTGAATCAGTTGCGGGCTGAGATTGAGAGGCTGAAGAAGAAAGAGAGGTTGTTGAATATCAGTGAGAATGAAGAGTGCATTCTCATGATTACTCCTGCGGCGATTAGAGTAGAACACTTGATGTTCTTGTGGTCAACAGTTGCCGACTGGATAAGGAATAAAGACCAGTGGATGCAGCAACGCTTTCAAAGACTCAACGTGGAACATATGTTTGTAATGGTAAATTTCTGTCAAGAAAGATCCCAAGGCATACAAACGTTCCTATTTCTAAGACACTTGGGGAAAATGGGATTAGTTGATGCAAACAAGCCCCCGGGTTCATGTTCCATTTTGATGATAAATGGGGACAGTAATCTGTAAAAACTACCTTCATCAGGTACAAACGTTTGGAGAGAAATTGACGAAGCTGGTTGCTGACACCAAGTCAAGCTCGAGTCAGAACGTCATCCTTTCTGTGGCTGATGAGGTTTGTCTAAACTCTGCAGTTCATTATCTAGTTTTGACAGCTATAGAACCACAATCAGATATCAGTTGGTCGGTCAAAGATTACTTTTACTTTTTATTTTTCGTGTTTGCTCGTATTCCATTGGTTCCATTGAGTAAGTTTACTACATTCAGATTCCTCTTTGTATAATGTAACGTCGGGTTGAATTGAGATTTCCATTGGCACATGCAAGACACTAACTTGGGGCCTTATTTCACTTGGCAAGAAAGCAAAAGAAGATGTTTTAAGGCCTGTCATATAATTCTAAAGCTATATCCGGCCATAGCTTTAGATGCATATAGCTCAAGCGTTTAGAAAGACTCATCAGTAGCAACAATTAAAAGTTACAGGACTCCTCTTAGATGGAAAACGATACAACGGAGTAAGTTTCTGGAGGTAATCACTAAAGTTCAGAGCTTGAAGAAACAGGTTGATACGCAGATGATTTACCTCCTTCATTGACACAGGATGAGCAGTAACATTGAGATCAGAACTTTCTATATAGAACTCCCCACACTTGAACCGAGACCAAATGTGAAGTCAGCTAAACTACACCTCCACTTCTTGACAATCTATTATATACAGATGAGGTCACTAATTGAGGAAGTGATATGTACTAAGATTTTGGTTGGTTCACTGACAGAACAGCAATACATGTAGTTTTCAGCTTCAGTTTTGAGCCTGTACACACAAATCCGAAACTCTAAAACTGAGGAATTAAATACTTTGCTTTTCATAACTGACCTGAATTCAAATTTACATTTTACTGTTTCGGAGTTATTGCTGTGATCTGACTCTGAGATTCAGAAACATTCATTCCTTGGTCGTCGTGCCTTGACCCTTTGACCACAACATTTGGCGCTGAAGTTTCGTTTGGTGCACATGAATCAGTCTTACACTTGGCAGTTCCATGTTCTTTAGTCAGAACCGCCTTGAGCAATATGTTATCTGAGATAGACATGAGTGGAAAATGTAAGAATTTGCAAGAGCTCAGACTTTTCATTGGTCCTGGATATGATAGATCAAACATATTCCCAACCCTTCAGTTAAGAAGAGGCACCATGCTTTACCTGTAACACCTTGCATCTACGTTCTTATGAAAGCAGGTAAATGATATGCTCACAAAATTACCACTTTTGGTGAGACTTCGTCACCCTGGCGTCCGTAGAGTACATTGGATTGAGCTGGCATCAAAGACTGGGTGCATGGCGTTCTTAGATGCTGGTGAGGTGTTGAATCTCAAATCCGTGCTGGAACTGCCTCTATTCTCCTCACATCAAGAGATAATTTGGACAGTTCTGGAACGAGCTGCAGAAGAATACAACCAGGAGGTAAGCCTCAGAGTCCTCTATGGCCAACATGGAGTTCGTAAGAGCTGGTAAAGTTTCTTCTTCTTATTTATATGGTCGAGAGGTGGTTATAGCTTTAGATATACAACTTAAGGTTTTTGTTTTGCCCACCATTTTCTGTGCCCGACTTGAATCCAGGTTTGCTTGGAGAAGATGGAGGAGGAAATGAGAGGAATAGTGCTTGAACTCAGTCCAAGAAACGAAAGAGGTGACAGACAGATGCTCCAGGGAAGTGAGAAGATACTGGAGCTCCTCGATGACCAACTTGTTGCAGCTGGCTGTATGCTTCGCAGTCCTTTTGCTAAAGCTTTGGAAGGATCTGTTCGAGCATGGCGGGACAAATTGAACATGCTCCTTCATTTGCTTGAAGGATTGCTCAGTTTCCAAAAGTGGTTTGAGGTGAGCTTCGTACCTACAAATGTAACGTCTTCAGACCTGTTTAAATTTATTGTGCTTTCATTCACATTCCTGTCACATAGACTTCCGTTTGGATGTTGAAAGATTGCTTTGTTATAGATTGCCTTCATTGTCAACTGTTAGTCTTGACAAGTTAGAGAACTATTCTGGTCAGATTCTCAGACCAATCTTCAGTTCAAGCAATATTCGACAGCAATTAGCTGATGAATCAGGGAGATTTGCACAACTTGATCACCTATGGCAACAAGTTCTTGATACTGTTGTTCAAAGAAGGCTTTTTTTGCACGTTTGCGAGTCAAATCTCATCTTCGAAGACGTGCCTAAGAGGATCAAGACAATGGAGGGGATAATGTGCAGCCTGATCACCCTTCTTGAGAGGAAAAGGTCCAAGTTTCCTAGGTTCTACTTTTTGTCGAATGACGAGCTTTTACAGGTACTCGTCTCGCATGATTGATTTGTCGGTTAGTGATGATTTTGTTTTCGTATTTGACTTCTTTCAGCAAGCTCTCAAAATCTATCAAGAGTAGCGACATTGATCACAAGTAGTGCTCATTATTTCTCTGTTTCCAGGTTTTGTCTCATGAACAGAATCCAAATGAGCTCCAGTATTACCTTTGCAAATGCTTTTGCGGTATCCACGCTATAGAATTTTCTAAAGAGGGTATAGTGACAGGCTTATGGGTTGAGAAATCAGAGTACCTGCCATTCTTCGACCCTGTGCACACATTCAATAGGCCGGTGGAAGAGTGGATGGTCGCTGTAGAGCATGAAATGAGAGAGACGGTGATGCAGGCCATTCTCGAAAGAATACGAGAGTTGCACCTCACGCCGAACTCCGACGAGGTAGACAAAGGGTTGCATGTGATGACGCTGATTCCATCACCCAGATCTGCGATACGGAGATTTAATTTTGCACCAAGGTCATTAGAAGTTAAACCAAGAGGCAATACAGATCGAACCAGTCGTGAGGAGCATTTTGTTCTCTTTAGCTCTATTGGTCAGGTACTTGTAGTCGCAGCTTACGTTACCTTTTGTTCTCAAGTTGAAAAGATTATATCTGTTGAAGGGGAAGATCCGGTGAAAGGGCTTCTCCTTTTATCCACCAATCTCTCGGAGGAGGTTGAAGAATGCATTTTTGCAATCAAGTCATCAGAACTAGCACACAGACAAGGGATGTACAAAAGCCTCATTCTTTTGTTCGTGTATTTCCGTGAAATTATAAACCGTTTAATATGTGGTACCGTAGCAGGAGTCGAGTCGTTCGAGTGGCAGCGTAGCTTGCGTTACTATTGTCATCCGAATGGTGACTGCCAAGTGGGTATTATGAACCAGGAACACGTTTATGGTTGTGATTTAATCGACTCTCACAACCGGCTGGTGATGACATCTTTAACAGAGAAGTGTTTTCTTGGGATGTTGTATTCTTTCTCTCTCGGTCTTGGATGCAATGTCACTGGGAGTTCTGGTGTCGGTAAAACAGAAACTATTAAAGATTGTGCAAAGGCTCTGGGAAAGCATTGTACTGTTATTAGTTGCTCAGAGGAGTTCGACCATCATGCTATCGGAAATGTACTCAAGGTGCTTCAGACATCTTACGACCTTCTACTTGAACGTTTTCGTTATCTAATCTAAATTTTAAGCCAGAGAGCATTTGTAGTTCAAATATATCTGTGTTGAACATGTATCTTAGATTTTGGCCAGTTAAAGAAGAGGACATGTTTTACCTTCGAACGTTGATATACAATTTTGGTGAGTTCTGTGAGGATTTGTAAACTTGCATTTGTTTTGTTACTTCAAAATTAAAAATACTTACTTTACAGTTACTGTATAGTAAGTAACAGTATTACCTTTTGCTTTGGCCAAGACAATTATTTGAATGTGCAGGGTATGGCTAGCGGTGGATTATGGCTTTGCCTAACCAAGTTTGAGCGCTTGAAGCCAGAGGTCGTGTCTATCTTAACTCAGCAGCTGCTCACGATACAACAGGCGGTTGCTTCTAAAGCGCAAAGATACAACTATGAGGGTTGTGGGTTTCAACTGAATCCTAGATTCGCAATATGCACAACAACAGAGCTCAAAAGCAGTGGTGGTTATTACGGATATCTCCACAAGACAAGATCGTCATTCCGCACAGTTTCTATGATATTGCCTGACTGCAACACGATTGTACATTGTCTTATGACTGCAGAGGGAATACCTAATGCAGCAGGTGTAGCGCAGAAACTGACATTGTGTTTTAGAATGGCTGCTGAACAGCTGAGCTTTGAAGAGAATCACTGTGACTTTGGACTGAGAGCCATGAAGGCTGTTGTAAAGTGGATGAGTGTTCTTAATTCGACCCCTGGGGAGCAATCTGCATCTTTAACTCCAGCCGTCCAAGGTGACATTATTCTCTGCAAGACCTTGCAGCAGTACTGCTTACCTCGTTTGGTAGGCGATGGGTATACTGTCTTTTCCGGACTTCTCTCGGATCTCTTTCCCAACTTACAAGCCCCTACGCTGCGAGAAAAACTCTTGGAAGCATCGATAATTTCAAGTCTGGTTGAGCGTGGCTTGAGTCCCCATCAGCCGCTGATTCAGAAGTGTATGCAACTACACGGTGCAATGAAAGTTCATCGAGGGGTTCTGATAGTAGGGGCTTCTGGTACGGGGAAAACTCAATGTTATTCTACTCTCTCAGACGCTTTGAACTTGATGGCTAGTAAAGACATCCTTATTCAGAATCAGAAGAGCAGATATCATACACAAGGTCAATCTGTTAATTTAGCCATTGTGAACCCGAGTGCCGTTTCTACAAGTCATTTGTTTGGCTGCGCAAATTTGAAAACTAGGAGCTGGCAAGAGGGTATTGTTCCGAGTATCTTACGAGAAGCTGAGGAAAGGGTTAAGAACAGAGGCTCAACATGGATGATTCTGGATGGCGATATGGATTCCATTTGGCTGGAGCATATAAGCACAATGCTCGACGACAATGGAATACTTTGTTTAAGTAACAGTAAGCGTATACTGCTGCCCCGTATTGAACATTTTAGCGTGTTGTTTGAAGTGGAGAGCCTGAAGAGTGTATCCCCGGGAACTGTCTCTCGGTGTGGTATCATATTGATGGATCCAGAAGACGAGGGCTGGAAGCCTTTGCTGCTATCTTGGGTTCAACGATTTTCGTCTTCAGAGATGAAGTCCTGTCTGGAGAAACTCTTTGACGTATTTTTGGCACCATGCCTCAAAGCTGCTCTGAGATATCCTGATGCACCAGTGGTTGCAGCAGGCCTGGTAACCAATCTCCTCAGCTTCCTAGAAGCTGCCTTTAAGCAGGCAGGGCCTAGCTATACAATGGAATCAAGAGAAAAACAGTGTGCGTCAGACTTGCAGGAAGAAAGGTTAAAGCCCAAATGCGAAGTGAAGAGCAATAAAATTCCTGCAAAGTCATCGATAGAAAAGTTGGGGCGGGTGAAGCAGATTATAAACGAAAGGCAGAAGCAAGTTCGTGATGCAGTGAACTGGAGGCGATTACACCATCGAAAATTTACAAGCTCTTACGAAGTATTTCAGAAAGACAGTATTGTCGACGAGGCCACCAAAGGTGGGTACTCCTTCGAAGCGATGGGTACTTCCCACGAAGCTTCAGACTATTCTGGAGAGAACACCGGAAAAATGCACACTTCAGAGATCCCCATCGTAGAAGGAAGTTTAGGATGTCTCTTTGTCTTCGGACTCTTGTGGTCAATCGGTGGCCATCTCCATGGCTCAAATGCTGCGGAGCAGTTCGAAAAGGTGTTGAGGGATGTCAGTGGTCTTTACAAGGGGGAAATGGCACCATTACCTAAGGGATCTCTGTATGATTATTACTACGACATGACTTTCAACACTTGGAAAACCTGGGAACATTTACTGGACCAGGTCCATTCTGTTTCAGGGTCCAGCATCAATGTGCTTCCTTACTCTCATCAGAGTTTGAAAAGTGGTTTGCAGCTGAGCTATGGCTTGAAGCATGGATTATTGTACGTTCCGACCGTGGAGACGGTAAGAACTCAGTTTTTGGCACAAACTTTATTCCAACAAAGAAGACCTGTTCTGTTGTCTGGTGGAATGGGTACTGGGAAGTCCGTAGTTTCTTCCCAGATCTTGCATGCGTTTTCTGCAAGTGCGAAATGTCAAGTCGTTGGTGTGACACTTAACAGCACCAGTTGTGGATCAACACTCTATGATGTCCTTAGACCGAAGTTGGCCATCTGGAGGAGGAGGTGCCTCATGCCTGCAGTTCATGGCAAGATGGTGTTATTTGTGGATGATTTGAATATTTCACAGCTTCACGTCAAACCCGAGGCTCCTGCAATTCAGTTTCTGAGGTTTCTGATCGAGCAGAAAGGATGGTATGGGCTACCAATGGATGCTACCTTCACTGCCGTAGAGGGTCTTGTCCATTTAGCCGCGATGAGTAAGCTGGGTTCTAGTGTTATACCACCCTTGGCCAGACTTTTGAGACATTTTTTTGTAATCCATAGTTCTGATTACTGTTCTAGATCTCTGTGCTCGGTCTTTTCGGCAGCTCTTATGAATCACTGTCATAAACACTCTCAAAGCTTAGAAGTTACCCATAATGTGAAACTTATTTGTGAGGCATCTATAGATTTGTTTCTCCGATTAAGATCGAAACTATCATCTCTGGCCGATCAACTACCAGCACTTGTAGGTCTACATGACCTATTTCGCGTGCAAAGAAAACTGTTGCTGGGCTGTTCGCAAAGTATCACATCTGTTCAAGGCTTCTTTCGCATCTGGGCATACGAGTTTACCAGAGTGTTCTGTGATCGACTCAGAAACGAAGCTCACAGAAAACTTGTGATATCTGAAATTTATGCCACAACTGAAGAAATTTTGAAGTTGGGTGGTGATGAAACTAGACAATTTTTGGCATCTCTTATTGACGAAGAAAAACAACCACTTTTTGGTGTATTTTACCGGGAAGAGAAGCAAGGGACAGTGCAGTCCTGGTCGAGATATGAGGAAGTTTCGTGTAGAGTGGAATGGGAGCAGTCAATGTCAGCATTTTTGGCCTCCTATTCAATGGAAGAGGGTTCTCAGACTCCCATCGTGCTCTTCCCCGGAGCCGTAAGTCATCTGTCAAGACTGCTGAACATATTAAGAATGTCAGAAGATCATGCTGTACTTCTGGGGTATTGTGGAAGTGGAAGGAGCTCTCTTGCGAGACTAGCTACTTACATTTTGGGATACACTTTGTTTGAGGTACGGAAATGAGTACCATGTCCTGTAGCTATAGACTGGAGCATGGATCGATGGATATTACCATTACTAGTTCAAAAATTTATCATAATTTGTAGTCCTGTTGATTTGTTCTAGGGAGCCAATCGTCCACCACCAACTCTTTGCTCGTGGAGTTTGATCTATCTATACGATCACTATCGTAGGCTGGTGGGTTGAGAAAATATTGGAGACCAATGCTTTGTTCTGGAACCGTTGAGGGCGTTGCAGGTGCAAGTGAATGGCAGCTACAACCTTGAAATGTGGACAGCAGATCTCAGATATTTGCTAAAAACTTGCAGTTTGAAAGCTACACCAACCGTCTTCCTCATAATATTGGAGCCCGACGCTAACGTACAGATTCAAATCATGGAAGATCTTAACTTGATCGTTCACTGCGGAGAGGTCCAACCTGAAACCTCCAACCACCAAATTTAACCTCACAATATTCCATACAGTAAATATCTTCAAAATATTGATCACTTTAATTTTCATTTTGATTACAATAATTGCATGGTGAGTCTGAAAATTATTATCGAAATCCTTGTTTAAATTGAAATTGCCGGGATTAGCAAGATATGAAACTGTATTATTTGTAAAATAAAGATAAATTTTATGAAAATCAATCAAATTAGTAATTATTTGAAAAAAATCTGAAGATTACTTTGTTAGTACCAACTATGATATAACATGCAATTTTTGAACAAATACGTTACATATTTTGTATAAATAAATAAAAATCAATAAAAAAAGAATTTTTCCTAAAGCATGTAGATATAGATCTTATCCAAAAATTAAAACTTCCAAGATTTGATTAACGATTTGGATTACTTTACTGTTGGATTGGATGTATTATTGGAAGGAAAAAAAATCTGCTATTGATGAATGTTTACTAATTTTAAGAACATGTGTATTGTTCATTCTTGGCTTTGCTATCATCTAAGTAGATGATATGTTGATTCTAATGTTCACTTGTAATATTTAATAGCGGACTTTGACACTGTATATTATTGCTAATTCCAAAGAGCTTCTCATACTAAGTTTTATCTTCTTGACTTTTGAAGTATCATGATGATTTGATTTGATTTGATTTGACGATGCATGGTGAGCTAGAATTTCAAATTTCATAGTTAGTAATACTATGTGTTCCAATTGCAATTGCTCAATTAGATTTGAGCTTGAATATTTATTGCAACAAAAAAGTATGTAGATTTGTAATAGTTTTTTGAGAAAATGACATATGTCATATTTGACATGTTTCAATACCATGTTTGATGATGGAAATGTTTTTGATGCAATTTATTTTTCTTCTTATCATCTCAATGTGGCGTCAACATGATACTCGCCGATAGCGATAGCTTTATTTTTCACCGGAAGTAACTATGTCGTACTACTTTTTTGCAGCAACTTTCGTGAACTCTTGCATGATAATGTAATCATGATAAGCTCTCCTGTTTGCTTGACCTAAACCATCCCACTTCCTCCTCTTCTTCTTTTATCTTGCCGTCCCGACAATCTAATCATGATTAGCTCCCCCGTTCGCTTGACCTAAAGCATCTCACTTCCTACTCTTCTTTTTTCGTGCCGTCCTCACAAACTAGGTTGACATGATATTTGCCGATATTCTTGTTCTCTTCACCAAGAGTAACTACCTTGTCTTCCTCTTTTGCAGCAACTTCCACGACCTTCTGCATATCATCTTATCATCGTCAGCTTCCTCCTTTTCTTCTTTCCTTTTGCCATCTCAATGATTGCGACGTCAACACGATATTTGCCGTCAAACTTTTTCTCTTCATCAAAAAGAACTACGTTCTTTTACTCTTTTGCAACAACTTTCACAACCTAATGCATGAAACCCTGATCACCATCAGTTTCTTTGTGTGCTCCACCACAACCATCTTGCTTTGTTTACTTTTTTTTTCTTCTCGTCATACTCACATGAACTCATGCATGATATTCTGATCATCATCAACCTCCTTGTTTGCTCCACTAGAATCATCTTGCTTCGTTAACTTTTTTTTTTCTTCTCGCAATACTCACATGAACTCATGCATGATATTCTGATCACCATCAACCTTCTTGTTTGCTCCACTAGATTCATCTTGCTTCGTTTCCTTCTTTTTTCTTCTCGCCAATATTCAGTTACTGCGCTGTCAACATGGTTCTTGTCATTAGTCTTTTTTCACTTCATCGAGAGTAATTAGGTTCTCCTCATCATTTGCACCAACTTCAAGGACCTCTTGCATGACATCCTGATCACGATGAACTTCTAGTTTGCTTGACAAGATTAATCTCAATTCCTCTTCTTCTTCTTTCTTCTTGTGATCTTCATTGACTGCGACGTTAGCATGATACTTGCTATGATCTTTTTTCTCTTCAACGTGAATAATTACTTCCTTGTTCTCTTTTGTTGCAACCTTCAAGAGTTTTTGCATAAGATACCTATCATCATTATAACTTATGATTTACTAGTTTGCTTGAAGAGATTAATTTTGAGTACTACTTTTCTTCTTTTTTCTTGCCATCCTCATTGACTATGACGTCAACATGATACTCGCTGGAAGATTTTTTCACTTCATTGGGATTAACTACTTTCTTGTACTCTTTTGCTGCAGCTTCCACGACTTCTTGAATGACATCCTTATCATATCAACTTCCAAATTTGCTTGACTTGAATTATCTTGTTTCTGACTTTTTGTTGTTTTTTTCACCACTTTTAGTGATGAGAGCGTCAAATTAATTCTCGCCATTAGTATTTTTTTTCTTCATCAAGAAGAATTTCTTTTGTAGCAACTTCCACGACCTTTTGAATGACATCTTGATCTTCATCAGCTCTCATCACTTTTAATGATGAAATCAAAGCAATTATTGCCGTTAGTATATTTTTTCTCACGAGGAAGAACTACGTTTTTCTTCTCTTTTGCAGCAACTTCCACGAACTCTTGAATGACAGTCATAATCCATCAGCTTACTTGTTTGCTCAATGATAATCATCTTTATTCCCTCTCCTTTTTTTCTTGCCATCCTCACTTATGACGACGTCAACATGATACTTGTTGTCAACCGTTATCTCGTACCAAAAATAACTACATTTTCTTTTTCTTTTGTAGCAACTTTCACAATCTCTTGCATGAAATACTGATCATCATCAGCTACTTAGTTTGCTCAATCAAAACCATCTTGCTATCTTCTTTTATTCTTAACATAATCACAAATTGCAACGTTAATATAGTAGTTTACCATCATACTTTTTTACTTCACCTGATTACATATATTCTCCATAACTTTTGCACCGACTTCCACGAACTCTTGCATGACATCATGATCATCATCAACTCCCAAGTTTGCTTGAACATAATCATCTCACTTCTTTTTCTTCTTGTCATACTCATTGACTTGATGTAACACTATGGTTTAGAGAGAAGTTCACTCGAAGATAGAAATGTAAACTCTGAAGATGAGAGATATCAACAATGGTTCTACTCTCCCTTATATAGCTCTCACCAACAAGTATAAGGAGATAAGATGTTATACCTACTATACATTCTACTCTTAGTGGATGGATGACGTGGCAGATAACCCTAACAAGCACACGGATCGTTGACGTGGTGCCGTCAACTAGCACACATACTCTCTACCTACCAAGCGCGTAGATCGTTGACGCGGCAGCTACGACTAATGTACTCCAAAGTATCTATATCAACATTTAGAGTAACCTCTACTTTAGTTCTTACTAACTAAAGACGGTTACACTTGAACATCAACATGGAACTTGTCGTGAGACTTATTCTTTTCACCCGCATGAACTACTTTTTACTCTTTTGCAACAATCTCCACTCCCTCTTGCATTACATCTTGATCATCATTAGCTTCTTAGTTTGCTCGACTTGAACCATCTCACTTTCTTCACTTTTTTCTTCTTCTTGCCATCCTCAGTGATCTCGGCGTCAACATGGTTCTCGTCATCATACTTTTTTTCTTCAGTGGGATTAACTACTTTCTACTTCTCTTGTGGAACAACTTTCACAAGCTCTTGCATGATAATCTATCTGCATCAGATTTCATGTTATTTTGAACATAATCATACCGCTTTCTCTTTTTTCTTCTTGCCATCTCACAAACTAAGATGTCAACATGGTATTTGCCGTAAGACTTTTTTTCTTCATTGGGAGTAACGGAGTTCTCCTCATCTTTTGTAATAACTTCTACAATCTATTGCATTGATCACCATGGGCTTCCAAGTTTCTTTCATTAGAATCATCTCACCTGATACTCTTCTTTTTTCTTCTTGCCATTTGCATTGACTATGACTTCAACATGGTACTCTATGTTAGTCTTCTTCTCTTCACCAGAATTAATTACTTTATGCTCTTTTGCAACAACTTCCACAACCATTAACATGACACCTTGATCATCATCAGCTTCCTAGTTTGCTTCATTAGTAACATCTTGCTATCTACTCTTTCACTTTTTTTCTTGCCATCTGTAATGACTACGATGTCAACATGCTTTTTGCCATCAACCTTTTTCTATTTACCGAAAGAAAGTAGATTCTTCTTTGCTTTCGCAACAACTTTCATGAGCTCTTGTATGACATCATGATCACCATTAGCTCTCCACTTTCACAAGAACTTTCATGAGCTCTTGTATGACATCCTGATCATCATTAGCTCCTTGGTTTGCTCAACCGGAAACATCTCACTTTCTTGGCTTATTTTTTCTTCTTTCCATCCTCAATGACAGCGACGTCAACATGGTTCTCGCAGTTAGATTTGTTCACTTCACCAAAAGTATTAGGTTATTCTCATCTTTGCACCAACTTCTAGTACCTCTTGCATGACATCTTGATCACAATCAACTTCTTAGTTTGCTTGAAAATTATCTCGCGTCCTCTTATTCTTGTTTCTTCCCACCATTCTAATTGACTGCGACGTCAGCATGGTACTCGCCGTCAACTTTTTTCACTTCATTGGGAGTAAGTACGTTCTCCTCATCTTTTACATTAACTTCTACGACTTTTTGCATGAGACCTTGATCACGATCAACTTTCTAGTTTGCTTGACAAGAATCATCTTGCTTACTTTTTTTTTTATAACTTTTCATTGACATCTCACTAGTAATTGCCGTTAGCCTTTTTCTCTTTTTCAAAAATTATTCTTCTTCCTTCTCATTTGTTGCAACTTCCACAACTTCTGGCATGACATCCATATCACATTAGTTTTAAAGTTTGCTTGATCAAAACTTTCTTGCTTTATGCTATTTCTTTTTCTTCTTGTCTTTTCAGTGACTGCGGCGTGAACATGTTTCTTGCCGTAAGACTTGTTCTCTTTATTATGACGAACTACGTATATCTCCTCTTTTCAGAAACTTCCACTATCTCTTGAATGATATCTCGATCACCATTAGATTTCTTATTTAATCGATCAATACTATCTCACTTCCTTCCTTTTTTCCTTCTTCTTGCCATCTCATTGATTGTGGAGTCAACATGATATTTGGCATCAATTTTTTTCTATTCATCGTGGTAACTACTATTTACTTCTCTCTTGTTATAATTTCCATGACTTTTTTCATGGCATTTTTATCACATCAACTTCCAAGTTTTTTTAAACAGAACCATCTTGCTTTTTTCTCTTTTTTTGTGTGCTTCTTGCCATTCTTTGTGATTGCAACGTCAACATGAATTTTGGCATCAGCTTTTTCTTCTTCACTGAAAATAATTACTTTCTTATACTCTTTTGCTACAAATTTCACAATTTTTTGCATGTCACCCTTATCTCATTAGCTTCTAAGTTAGCTCAATCCATATCATTATGCATTTTACTTCTTTTTTTTTGCTTCTTGCCATTTTCCGTGATTGCGACGTCAACATGATTTTTGGTGCCAGTTTTTTTTTCTTCACTGAAAGTATTTACTTTCTTATCCTCTTTTGCTACAATTTACATAATTTTTTGCATGACACCCTTATCACATTAGCTTCTAAATTTGCTCAACCAATATCATTATGCTTCCTCCTATTTTTTTTCTTCTTGTCTTGTTGTGATTGAGGGATCAACATGGTTCTTGCCAAGAGACTTTTTTTCTTATCCAAGAAGAACCATGTTCTCTTCCTGTTTTGCAACAACTTCCACGACCCGTTGAATGAAACCTTGATCACCATTAGTCTTTTATTTGTTCAACATGAACCAATCTTGCTTGCTCTTCTTCTTCTTTCTTCACGCCATCTTGAATGACTATGATGTCAAAATGATTCTTGCCGAGATCAATTACGATCTTTTTTTCTTTTGCATCAATTTTTTCTTCTTCTTACTTTAGGCTATCTTGCTTGACCGTGTGTTAAGATGATTCTTGCCGTAAGCTTTTTTCTTTTCATCGGAAGAAACTACAATCTCTTACTCTTTTGCAACAACTTTTGCAATCTCTTGAATGACATCCTCATCATCTTGATGTCTCCTCTTCTTTATTTTTCTTATCATACTCACAAACTATTACGTCAACATGATATTCACCATCAGACTTCTTCTCTTCACTAGAAGAAATTACATTCTACTCATCTTTTGCAGCAAATTTCACGACATCTTGATCACCATTAGCTCTATAGTCTACTTGACTAGAATCATCTTGTTTTTCTACTTTTCTTCTTTCTTCTTGTCATTCTCACAAACTACAACATCAACATGCTAATCTTCGTTAGGCTATTTCACCAAAAGTAACTACATTATTCTCATCTTTTGCAGCAACTTTCACGATCTCTTGCATAACATCCTGATCACCATCAGCTCTATAGTTTGCTCGATTAGAATCATTTTACTTGCTCCCTTTTTTTTCTTCTTCTTGTCATTCTCATTGACTACAAAGTAAACATGGAATCAATGGTAGTATTTTACTCTTCATCATGATTGACTACTTTAAACTCTTTCGCATCAACTTCCACAAACTCTTGTATGACATATTGATCATCACCTTCCATGTTTTCTAGACTAGAAAACATCACACTTTCTACTCTTCTTTTTTCTTCTCGCCATTTTTAGCGACGTTAACATGGTTTTTACCGTCGGTCTTTATCTCTTCATCAGAAATAACTATGTCTCCTACTCTTTCGCAACAATTTCCACGATCTCTATCTCTTGAATGACACTTTGATCACCATATGCTCCCTCGTTTGCTCGACCAAAACAATCTCACTTTTTGCTCTTTTTCTTTCTTCTTGTTATGTTCACTGTGTCGTCAACATTATACTTGATGCGAGCCTAATTTTCTTCACCGGAAATGACTGTTCCCTCCTACTCTCTTGCAACAACTTTCACCACCTCTTGCATGTAGGGTTGGAGGCACAGCAAAATATTTTGAGGCATGTCTATGCCCCATTTCACGGTCAAAAGGCATGCACGTATTGAAATATATACATTTGACGTATTTGAAAATGTACATATATGAGAATAAAGCATTTTTAGAAGTAGAATTGTTGAAAAGTTCTAAGAAATACGTATTAATTTCTTTGTACATACAGCATGCCTGTATGAAAGAACCCAAAAAGGCATGCCCCCGCGCACTCGCCCCGGGTCATGCCCCTTGAGGCTGTGCCTCCAACCCTCCTTGCATGACACCTGCTCACTATCAGCTCTACACCTGCACGATCTTAAGCATCTCACTTTCTCTTTTCTTCTTTCTTCTTGTCATCCTCAATGATTACAACTTTACCATGGTGCTTGCCATCAGCCTTTTTCTCTTCACCGGAAGTAACTACGTTTTTCTACTCTTTCTAAGCAACTTTCACGAACTCTTGCATTACACTCTGATCACCATCAACTCCCAAGTCGGCTTGACAAGAATCATCTTGCTATATCTCATTGTCATGGCATGATCCATTGTGACAATAGTGCTCACGATGTAGTCAACAACATTCATTGTCTCCTCTATAGCCATAGTCACAACCTGCATTCCCGCCACTTTTTTTTAGAATCTAAAAATCTTGAAATTTGAAGAAGATTTTTGGACTTAAATAATAATAATTTGACATTGTAGCATCCTGCTCCTGATATTAGAACTTCTAGTTAAGGTGACATTGTGTTGCATTTTTTTTATGTTTAATTATCTAAGTTGTGTGATTTTCAGCATGACAATCTTGCATGCTAGTATGCTACATCTATCTACATGACATACTTATGCTATGTAGTTTTTTATGCTTGGAGTGGTGGTATGATAACATGGAGTAGCAAATCGCAAAGCTTTGTAGCTTTGTCCTCAATAGAATCAGAATACAGATTCTACGTGGAGAAGTATGTGACCTTGCTTGGATAAGAAGTCTTCTTCTTTCCTCTTCTTTATAGCTTGTAAAATAAAATAGTTTAAATCAGTGATATAATTAGGTTAATTTAATTTTGAATTTGTTTCAGGATTCCTTCACAAGGCTCTGAGCTATTTATATATTTATTCATTCTCGTCATTGAATATTCTTTTGAGTTCTAATGTCTGCTTGTGACCGGAGAGTACATATATAGCTCCATCTTGCTCATGGTTGATGGTTTCCACATGATAATAGGCCCTTGAGCTTCTTGGAGAAGAAGAGAAGTATTATATTCAGCAAGAGCTCCATCGTATGGAGGAGGCATCTCAAATGTCGACGTTTGATTCTACTTTAGGAAGTGATAGGGAACAATATCTGAACCAATGTTTTGCAAATCGACTGAAGGAGAATCTTCGTTTGGTAAGCACACATCATCTTCCTATGAAATAATTTGAGATTGTGAATCTAGTTTAAGCCAGGAAAGTGAAGAAAACAATTCGAGACCTTACAGTAAAGCATTTGTGTACCACATGGAATCTTATATTTTGTTACAGTAAGCCCAACAAGGAAGATGGTGGTGTCTTCAATTTGAATCCCTAAGAAGCCGTTTGCTCTGCTTTCTGTTAGCCCAAATCTTGCTCCTGGAGAGAATCCAAGATCCCAGCCCATGTTGCACATCTTAAGGTCGTCAATGATGTTTTGCTTTGATTTACTCTCGATATTGATTTTTGAAGGTTCGTTAGAAAGTCGTAAACGAGGTTCCAAGCGAAGTTCGAATCCATTTTGTAGAACTGGAAAGAATGTCATGAGCATCTATGTCGAAGTTTTCATTGGCTCTAAATAGTTTTTGATTTGTCACTGTAGGTGATCTGTACTGAAACTCCATCGAACAGAGACACGAGCAATAGCAGTACCTTTGCCTCAGCGTTAATAACCCGGCATTTTTCAGTAGATTACTACGACAAGTGGACACCTGTAGCACTTCAGGCAGTTGCCAGAGTCACACTCGTTAAGCTTGAGCATGTGAAGAAACTTCCAAGCTTGCAGTTGGAGCTCTTAACCAAAACATGCTCGATGATCCATACCACCAGCAACGTTATAGCTTCATCGTCACCTTTGGTAAGTAGCCTCTGATTTCTACGAAGATTCACATCCCTCTCTTCTTTTGCAAACGCATCTACTTTCTCATTACTAGGATCCTTTTATATCCCTTGCAAGGTCACTCTCCCTTTGTCCGGATCCATGAGATTGGAAGATAATGTTGTTAGGCAAGACATTGCACATACGAATTATCTCAAGAAAGTAATCTTACCAACAGTATGTAAATATGTACATTCGTGTAAAGCAACTAGCCAACCTTATTGCGTATAAGACAGTACTTAGCATATACTGATACTATAAGACAAAGACTAGTTGAGACAGTGTTTTACACCAAGACTCTCCTCATATATAACACTTGCTTCCAAGCTCGAGATATGTTTTAAAAAACTTGGCTATCTCAGGATATCGCACGCAAATTCTCTGGCTATGTTGTAAAATTAGTTAGAGGATACCCGCCCTCATCTTGACATCAATCAATCTGACCGTAAACACATGTAAATAGAGAGCATTAGCATTGCACCGAAATCCTAATTGGGACAAAAGTTGTTGTAAAAGTATGAAATTAAGGAAAAATTACGAAAGTGAATGACACTTAAGGATCTAATAGAGCTGAGTGTTATCCCCAGCTCCAAAGCAAAATTTTGAAGCTTATCATGTGAAGAAGTCTTGACGAAAACTTTTGCAGCTCCTCTCAGGAAAATAGAAGATGAAGAAAATTTAATGATGGTTTCTAATTTTTTTCCAGTTTGATACCAATCTTAAAGTCTCCGGTTTTTGTTTTGAAGCACGCAATTCTTGTTATCACACGTCAGAGGGATGACCTGTTGACGAGATCCAAGCTCATGATGAAATTGTGTTCGTTATGTGCCTTAGCATGCTGCTAAAATTGATGTCATGACCTTCAGTGGTGTGGTTGACATAAACACAAGTTTCTGTTTCTTCGAATAGTCAGTGTCATTCCAAATCAATTCTTTTCCACTCAATACATAAATACATCCACTGGAACTCTTACGGTTACCAGCATATTCTCCCTGTCTCGGATTAGATCATATTGGTAAACTCTTTCAGCCTTTTATGCTCCATTTCAACACCCTATGATGAACTCATGTCCTCTCATGTCCAACCTCTTCTTCTTCTGTACTTAACCAAAGGTAACCTTCCGATATTTTTGGTCTATTCGAAGCGTCCCTCGCACGCAATCTCCAAATGATACAGATGTATAGTAATGAAGCTCTATAATGACTTGATTTTTCCAGCTGTAATCGTATGACCAGCGTCCACTTTGTAAACCATGGGCACAAACGCAGACATTAGGATAGAAAAACTCAAGGACTCTGTCAGTCCATAATCTCATATTCATCTTGAACCGAGATGGAGCAACTCTAAACGAGTAAAGTCATGAATCATTATTTCATTGTTCAGACATTCTTACGTACATAGTGCATTCAAAGTATGCAAATCTCGGAACGAAATACAGTTTCAATCATATGTAACATCCTTGAAATCTTGCAGAAGGGATCTTGGAGACTTGTTGGAATGCCCAGCTACCACGAGATGCTACATGTTTTTGGAAGATTATTGGCAAGAAAAGGACAGGAGGTGGATAGTCTTCTCAAAAGATTAGAGACGGGCCTTCAGAAGCTTCAGTCTACACGAGTCCTTGTGGAGGATATGCAGTATGATCTGCAGGAACTACTCAGACGCAAAGAGCACACTAATTCTGACATGGACCAGCTTCTTCTGTCCATATCTGACGAACAAGTCCAGATGGACAAGTCGTTGGAAGAAGTTGCTCATGATGAAAGAATAGCTGCTGGTGAGGCAGAGACTTGCAAGAAGCTGGCTCAAGACGCCCAAAATCAAGTTCAAGAGGTTGCTCCAGAGGTAACAAGGAGAACATATTATCCTCACAGCTGTAATCAAACTATGATACAGCACCAGCTTTTAGTTGAATTAATCACCGGATAATCATAATTCTAACTAGCTTCTCTATCACAAATATTTCAACAATAGGCGCGCGCGCGATAACAACAACAATACGTGAATTCCTAGATTTTCAAACTGAAGAAACAACCGTTATTAAGGTTGCTCTAATCCGCTAAAATTATGATAGAAAAGCTTGTGTAGAAGAAGAATATTTTGGAGTTAAAAAATTACTGCTTGGGAGGAAAAAAACACCGAGAATAATCGAACAGGATCCTCGACTTGTCAACATTACAGCTATGTCGAGTAAGTTATGTAACGTGGTTTTTGGTGCACACATTCTCCTTTCAGGTGCTAACGGCCATCAAGCAGCTGAGTCAACTGAATAAGAAAGACATATCAGAACTGAAGTCTTTTACTCAACCTCCTCCTCGTCTACTCACAGTCTTGGAGGCTCTGTGTGTCATTCTGAAAAAAGAACCCAAGCATATGAAGCATCCTCCCAGCAGTAACAGCATGGAATCCGTGAACAGCTATTGGCCTGTTGCCCGTGAGCTTCTATCACAGGTTTGATATCTTTCAATGAAAAGTACCGAGCTCAGTATATCTAGTGGTATAATTTATTTCAGAATCTGCATAGCGCTTCTAAAAAGGTACAAGAGATGAAGTTTACAATCTGACTGTCGTGTTAACAACTCTGTTGATTGCTTTATTACCTCATTGTCAATTTATCAGAGGCAAAAGTTTGTAGGTATGGAGATATATGAGGTTGGTTGTATCATACATCCCAATACATATTCAGGTAGATAGTTCACCTGATTGCAAGTGCACTTGTTTCCAGGTTGATTTCGTTAAAATGCTTTTAAGCTTCAACAAGGACGCTATGGAGAACTGCACAATGGAGAAATTAAAACCTTACATGGAGAATCCCCTGTTCAAGCCGGAGAAAGTTCGTAGAATATCCGTAGCCTGCAGGTCGATATGTATTTGGATTCGAGCGATGTATAACTATCACTACGCAAAGACTGTGAAGATGGAACCAAGAATCGAAAAGTTGAAGGTAAGAATTCCTGTGTCTGTCTCTTCCTCACTCAGTAGGGTCATGACTCAGTTGGGTCATGACGAGATTCCTTGGGTTTCGTTTTGAGTGAAGACAAAATCCCAAGGGGTCTCGTTCGAATTGTATAAATTCAGAAAGATGCGAAACAGAGAAATGTGCAGTTTCGTGGATGCTACAATCCCACCAGACTGGAACCATGCGAACCTGGAAGCATTCCTTGACTTTCTATTGTGAAGAATAGACTCGAGTATGAACTCCATATTTTACTCCCCTTGCCATCTGGATTGCTCAGGAAAGGCAAAAACTTACCCCACTTTCATGTAGATTGCCAATCATAATCTGGAAACCTGCAAAGAGACATTGGAGGAAGCTAGACGCCGGCTTGCAATAGCAGAAGATAATCTGAAAAATCTTAAAGCCAGGTCTGCTTTTACACATCATAGGGGTTGAAAGATAGAGCTTGTCACAATCATATAGAGCTTCAGTTGTCTCATTCTACTCGGGAAAGCTCTCTTTGTTTAGAGAATATATGCACCAAGAATACAAATTGTTGTTTTCAAAGCATTCTTTTTAATGTGAATGCATGAAAGAAGCTCTTTTTATTTTCGCCTTAAGAGTCTACACCGGCTGTCGGTCATGTCCATATTTGTTCGTATTAGTTCGATCGTTGAATCCAGTAATGGAGAGGAAGTGTATCATAGGTATGAAGATGCAAGTCGGACGAAGGATGGCCTTGCGAAAAAAGCTGAGGATTCGGAACTCAAGCTTCGAAGGGCTAGACGACTTATAGGGCGTCTGGATGGCGAGTGTCAGCGGTGGAGGGCTCGAGTTGATGACCTGAAAACCAAGCGAAAAAACGTCGTTGGAGATGCAATCCTCGCTGCTGGCCTCGTTGCATATTTGGGATCTTTCCCTGCTAGTTTTCGGTCGAGGTTTATATCTGAATGGCAAACAAGAATGCAAAATATTGGTTTGGCCTACTCTTCCGATTTTTCTCTAGTGACATTTTACTCAAGCCCTCAAGACATCAAAGCATGGGCAGCGGCAGGTCTGCCTACTGATGATCATTCTCTAGAGAATGGCATCATTGTCTGCAATACTTCTCGACCTATGCTCATACTTGACCCGCAGAAGCAAGTGAGCAGATGGATTTGCAGCATCGAAGATCCTGCCAATATTGTTCTGCTGGACATAAATTCTCCACGGATTCTAGGAGAAGCCCAGTCTTGTACTTTGTCAAATAATCTACTCATGGTCGAAAACATTGGGAATCAGGTTCCTCCTGGTCTCATAAAGAAAGTCACTGCTTTGCTCAAAGTGAATCCGTTGACTCACACGAACGTTCAACCAGACCCAGCGAAAAAGAGATTTCTTCATTGTGGATGCATTCTTCTTACTTACGAGCAAGTATTCAACTACTCTGATGAGGTCAGTATATTGGAAACACGGGTATTCATTTCACCGTTTTTGTAACATTCCGTCCACTTCCATTCCACATTCCGTTCACCGTAAGGATTAATATTTCACCTATTCTTTACGAGTAAACATCACTTGCAGGTCTGCAAGATATTGACTTTCGTCTTTGACTTCATTACAGGTGAATGTATGTGTGAGCTTGAACGTGGTGGACTTCTCGATAACCTTCCATGGTCTTTGCAGTCAACTGCTGTCAATCGGTATGTACGAAATGTTAGCCTTGCCTATAGTGAAATAGTATGCTACATTCATTACCAGCAAAATCAAAGTTTCTTCTGTTTTGTTGATATCTTTCTACTTTCATATCGAAATGGCCATACTTGTCTTGTACGCTTGTCCCTCACTTACTATACTGTCATTATGGTTAAACTCTGAAATTAGCAATCATTTGCTAGGCCCTTTCATCAGAGGTGGCAGGATTGATATTGACCATCTGCCTACATCAAGATCAAATTAAAACCACGGAAATATTTCTGGAAGTTGTTAGAGATTCATTTCTTCAAATAAACAAAATCGAAAATATGTATTTTGTCTTCCAAATGCTGAATGGATCTGAGAGCTGATCAGATTCTCTTCAGAACTACAATAAAACTAAAAGCATCAGAAAAAAATCTTATGCTTCTTCATCTCAGCCGCCGAGAAAGAAAGATTGGACCTTGAGGAGGAGCGGAACCATTTGCTTCACCAGAGACTTCTCTTGAATTGTCGGTTGCAAGAGATAGAAGACCACATATTAACTCTTCTTCAAGGTGTAATGGTGAGTAGATCAGTTCGATTTAAATTCTAAACCTGCACTAGATTCGATTTCGGTGAGAGCACAACGTAGCTGACGTTTCCTCGTGATCCAGTTGTAACCATGTCTCACATATCCTATCCTGTCCTTGCAAAGGTCACCATTCTTGATGATGAACTTCTGGAAGAGGCTCTCTCGAAAGCAACTACTTTATACGCTGACATCCAGGTAACCGACTTGATCCCTTACGTGGAAAAGATGATTATCTTTTGATAGAAACTTGGGACAATACATATCTCGCACCCTATATACTCTGCTCAAGTTCTTTTCAAGTGACCTTTTTAGCATGGAATGAGGCATATCATACGTACTGCAGTCAATTAATAAAGTTGAGATTGATCTCTACTGTAAGATTATGTTTGGACCTCAAGTAGTATCTACCTGACGTGACAGATGTCCAAGAAAACCTTGGTACTTTCCAGGTCAATCCTGTGTTCAAATATATTCCCTTGCTTGTACATCGTCTTGAATTTTCACATGGATCTGTTCAAGGGGTTGAAGCTTTCAATCTGTCGTGGTACAGGCCAAACTGGAAAGAGCTGTTATCACGGAGGCAGCCGTGGAGCTCACCAGGAAGCGCCACCTGCCAGTGGCGGAGAGAGCAGCCATATTGTATTCTTGTATTGCTGATGTCTCGAAGGTTAGCTATGTTTCTTCCACTTTACCATTATGAGCAAAAGTGAATCCCTTCACGTCAATGTTTTAAGGAACTTATCATGATCAGCAGACAACTTATTGAATATATTGCTTGTAAAAATTGTTTCATGTTTAGTGAACATTGACGCTATTGAATGTCAATGTTCATGACACCTTGAATAGCTCTACATATTGTTTCCCCCTCATCATAATCTGTAATTCTGTTTAAAATCTCAAGCGATTGTTATTTTGCAGCTAGAGTCTGTATATCAGTGGACTCTGCCCTGGTTCAAAAATGTGTACAGTACAAGCATGCAGCGAACAACAGCCTTGAATCCTGTTGATTTCGACACAAGGCTTGATTATTTGATCAGCAAGATCACTATCGCTGTCTACAGGAAGATATGTTGTGGACTTCTCACAAAGCACCAATTCTTGTTCGGCTTGCTTGTTGTTTTCAGGTATCAGGTCCCCAGTATGAACTTTGTCCAGAAAACACTTGTATTGCTTAAATTTGATAACTATAAGACAGACACAGCAAAAACTCTAAGTCTCTGTACGTTCGCTGCTAAGATTCTGTCTGCAAGCCATCTATTTCTGTTGCTTTCCGCAGACAATGTTGGTATTATACAAAGTAAATTTAGAGAAAGGAGTTGCTTGCCAGGTTTTAAATATGTTGAATGGATGTCAATTTTTTACTTGGATATACGATCGTCGATATATCGCAGATTAGCACAGACCAGGCACGACGTGGAGCAGGAAGAGTGGTTGTTCTTACTGCAAGGAGACACAGGAACGCAGTCTGGATGTTCAGACAACCCGTGTCCGTCCTGGCTGGAACCCACTTCGAAGGAGTGGAGACAGCTCTCAATTCTCTCTACTTTTCCCCGGTAACTAGAAACAAAGAAGACACGAAAACCTTTAGAAGAAAGGCATGAGATCTCCTAGTAACAGTTCAATTCACAAAATATAAGAAATATTTCTGACCTATTTTAATTTTTGTTGAATGATAATGTCATAAACTTCAAGCAGACTAACTAGTATACTCTTGATAAAGCTTGGCTCCTAATGTTGATCTGTCCCATTAACGCCCCTTTCCACATGGAATTTCACAACTTTCTTTCTGTATGCGAAAGTGAATTTATGAGTAAAATGTATGGGAACCTCGAAAATCATATACTAAAACTCAATCATTTGATAGTTCTTAAGGCCTTTCGTTCAGCTGTAGAAATTTCTTAAGACTGGAATTGGTGAGGAAACCAATCCTTTGTGTCTGGTGATCGTTATCAGATTCGAGGGTTTGATTGAGGATCTGGAGAGAAAATGTTGGCAAGAGTTTTTCCAAAGCAGTCAGACCTGCATTCTTCCGGCACCTTGGCCTCAAAGACTTGGTCCTTTCAGGTCCTTACTTGTTCTGCGCTGTCTTCGACTGGATATGGTATGATACTTTTCCTTCATGGACATCACTCTATTCGGTATGCTAGCTTTATGCCTCTCTGCTCGGTCTTCACCATGCTGATACGCAATGCAAGCAATGCATGGATGTAATGTCCCTCACAGCTTGCGTAGTGTATTTCGCTGAGACAGCTCATTATGTCGTTCTCTCTCTACATATAAGAGAAGTCAGAAGAGAGTGCACTTCCATGTGCTCTAAAACAAGAACTCCACAATCACCTTCTTCTTTGCATTAATGGACTAGGTGATGGATGCTGTCAATCAGCTAGTCAAAAGTCAGTTGAGATTGAGAAAGGAGGATCTTGCGGAGTTATCAGTGGAAGATGCCTGTGACGAGTCTAATCCAGAAACTCCAGTTACGTGCATCTTTCAAGGTGTTGCAACACCCCTAGACGAGGTAAGCCTCCTCATTAAACTTCTGACCATGTGCATTCACCTAGGTACAGCTCAGGCCTTACAGGATATGATACTAACAGCTGGGACAGCAGATGAGTTTTTATCAGGTGACGAACAAATAGAGCATAAGATAAGTAAGATTGAGAATATTTTCACACTCGTCCTCCAGATTATGACTTGCGCAAAGCGTAAGAACATGCTGAAGCGACTTCGAGTGTTTTCTCTTGACCAGTGCCAGGTATGTACATCTAGTATGTACATCATCATGCCAAGTGCTTCAATTTGAGCCTGCAGCAAAATTCATTGAACTTGTTGTCTTAACATGCTTTCGGCTTCTACTGATCTCCACTAATTGTCACAGGGACCCAAACTTCTGGATGCGGTAAAGGAAGCTGCAACTTGGGGAAAGTGCGTGATTCCCATAGCTTTGTCTCACTTTTCCTCCTTCATACGACCGGCGTTCAAGATTCAGTGCACAGGATATTTTTTGTTTTTCAGTGACTCCAAGATTAAAGTTTTTGTAATAGATCAAGCTGATAAAAAATTTTGAACTGCTTGATCTGCTTGGGAAGATGGGTAGTGCTCCAGAATTGCCATGCAAATATTCCCTGGATAAATAACTCCCTGCGAGTTGTTCTCGAAGAAGTGAAGCTAAAGCCTATACATGAGAGCTTTCGACTCTGGCTTACAATGGTGCCTACCAATGGGCGACCACCGTATCTGCTTTCAGAAAGGCAAATGTCCTCTTAACCTTAATAAGATTTACGTCAGTTGGTGCCAGGCAGGTGCAGAAAGTCAATCATACATTCAATTCTAGCGAGGCTCTTCAAGGATTCAAGTATGAACCACCAGAGTTGTACACCCTGACCCTGCAATGCGTTCTATACGTCATTAAATATGATCTGATTCAAATTCTCTCCTGATGAAACAGCGTGAAGATAGTGGTGGAACCTCCAAAAGGAGTCAAATGCAAAATTTTAAAGATTCTGAGAACCCAACAAGCTGACGAGATATATTTTGTGAGTGCCAACTTAGATAACCCAAATCCAACAAGCAGGTCGAGTTTGATTCTGCTATAGAGAGAAGGGACAAGCCTAAAAGTAGAAAAGCAATTCACAGTTTGAAAATTTATTGATACCATGACATCGATTACAATATCTTCCTATCAGAAGATTCATTACTCCTGGTAATGATATATTGCAGCTCTTGATGGATCTGAAATGCTTCTGTTCACAAACCGTAGCACTTATGATGCTGACTTGTACTCTTGTAGGGGAAAAGAACGATGAGGATAGATGGTCATGTTGTAAAACATCCCCGAGCATTTTTTCAGCTTGCGCTGTTTCACTCTCTAGTGCAAGAACGCGCCTCTTTTGGAGCTATTGGGTAATTCGAATTTATACCTCTTACATTGACCCCAAGAGATGTCGTCAAAGTTTGCCAGTCCGATGATTAATTGCAGACCTGATCATTAAAGACTGCCGCTTTAGAAGACTTACGGCCGCAGTGATTTTTATTTGCCATCAAGCGTAGTGACCCTAAGCACGAAGTGAAATGGTTCTTCTTATATTCAGGTGGAACATAGCCATGCAGCTGGATCATACGGTTTTCAATCTTGCCAAGGCAGAACTAGAGAAACTCACTGAAGGTCCTGATGGCGACATCGGTGCTGCGTCGAAGAAAGGATTGAGAGCGAGCGAGAAAGAACTTGCGTGGGAGAGAAACAAAATGGATTGTTTGCAGCACATAATTACGAAGGTTATCTATGGAGGATATGTCATCGATACTTGGGACGAGCATTCTTTGAACCAGCTCTTCAAACACTGTTTCAGCTCAAGTAAGTTTGTATCGGGTTCCTTTTGGAAATCAGAAGGCTTTGGTCCTAATGAGGAGACTAATTACTTTTGCTCAATTCTCTCTTCGAGACACTGCTTAACTGTGTGAATCTTCTCCGAAAATAATGATGTTTGGTTACAGATTTCAATACGGATTTTAGAAGTTCTATGAGACTTTACCTACCGAAGAACAGGGGAACAATCGATGACTTTTTGAAGCATGCAAATGACTTGCCAGAACCGGATGATCCTGAGGTTCTTCTCGTCTCTAGCATGGCCTTCTATACTAATGAAGGCCATCTCTTGGCTTGCTGGCAGTTCGGAAATCAACAGAATTGCAATCTAGATTTCTTGGGCTAGGGAACTTGGCTCCCTTGGCTCTTCTCCAAATAATATTCTCTGTCGCTAGCCGCTGGAGTATGCATGCGATCTCACAAATGCTGATTGGTGAATCCAGGTCATGGGCTTACAAAAAGATGCCATTCTCAGCTGTGCTGAGAGAGACACTCAACAACTCTTCACCGAAGCCCTGACTTTGGAAACGGGCAAGGAGTCTTTTCTGGCCCCTCTGAACTGTATATTCGAAACTAAGGTTCGACCCTCCACCTGTTCTTGTTTGGATTGATGCCAGTACAAGCACAAATATTCCTCCTTTCATTCTGATGAAAAGGCAACAAAAGGAGTCATGGAATTCTGAGTAGGTATTTCCCTCGTGTCAGTTCTTTCAATTGGAAAACATGATCCGACCACGGGCGTCAGACTATACTCAGAGGAGACTGCAGTACACTGATAATGGTGAATGTGAACGCAGAAAGTCGTCGTTGTTCAGTGCCTGTCTGAGCTACGAGTTGTTGTGTCGGCAACATTGGATGAATCTCAGTTGCGAGCTGAAACTCAACAAACAGCCGAACCCGTTTCTCTTCTTCTGCTTCAGGTTGGTTGCTTGCTTGAAGTTGATGCTCCCATTGCTCTGAGGTACTTGGTCATGACTGTACAGTAATTAGTGGTCCGCGGTAATAGTCAATGAATGTACATGGTTGGCTGCTGCAGGAGGTGAAGCGCTACAACCGGCTTATTCTCGTCATGAGAACGTCCATTGTAGAAGCTTTGAAGGTTCACTCTCAAAACTCATGAATCCACTCATGTTATCACATGAACTCACGTTCGAGGTTTCTCACTAGTCTGAACTTTTAACGAATATTCCATGGAAGTTTAGGCTCATCTGAGCTAACTGGAACCAAAATGTTGTCTAACGGATCTACATTGTGGCCTGCTTAATTTCTCAGGATAAGAAGCGGTTGTAAGAATATGAGCTCATATGAACATGAGCTGAGCGAATGTATCATTCCATGTCCATGTAATCTTTGACTCCTATCTGTCACGTAACGCAGGAGATTGAGACACCTGGAGATATGACACCAGAAATTGAAAGTTTATGTAGTAGCATTATTGCTGGACAGGTATGAATTATCTGTTAAACACAGAACACATCAAAAGTTCAAGTGTATTTTATTTTTCACGTCAAAGTCCAAGTGTATCTTCTCAGAAGGGTTATTATGCGATCCAACAGTGATATCTGAATTCTGGTATGCATTTTGGCAAAATAGTGGGAAGATAATATCAATGACGCATGGGATCATTGTTGTTATTAAACGGTTTCAACATAACATTTTTTCGCCAATAGTTGTAATTTGCATGATCCTTAAACAGGTGCCTGACCTATGGTTGAGAAATGCGTATGCAAGCCTCAAGTCACTGCCGAGTTGGATTAAGGACTTTCACAAGCGTATGGAATACATTAAGACATGGATCAAAAACAGTCATCCACGAGCAATTTGGATCTCCAGTTTGTTTTTTCCACAGGTGACTGCAATTCGAGAATTCAAATCCGGCCTTTAGCGAGAAACAAACTTACCCAACCCAACCAGAAAGAAGGGCAAGCTAAAACTCCTTAAAGTTGGTCACACTGTCTAAAGTGGATGGACTGTGACAAGAAAAGGAGGACAAGTAGGAGATCCTCATATAGTACACATGCTGGTTTTCCAACATCACATAATTGATTCAACTACTAAAAGGATCCTCCTTGTTGCATTACATCTCCAGGCACTTTTTGCTGCAACGCTTCAGAAGTACGCAAGGGCTAAAAACATCCCCCTGAGCACCGTTCACTTAGATGTGATTATGATCGACAAAAAGGAAGACGCAGTAAGCCCTAAATCTGCATTTCAACGTGTTTAAAACATCTGTCCTAAAGGTCTCATTAGTTCTACAACGAGCATGGATCTGCTTACCGCCGATCAACGAATAAAAACAATTGAGATTCTTAAACAGCTTAGAACCAACGAAGAGATGGTTTCATGTCTCAAATGTATCTGGATGACTCCGATAGACTTACAACCTGCTTAAAAGTACAAGGAAGGCTGCAAAAGAACCTTAGACCTTTACACCTATACAAAGTGGGAGCTGACCGATGTCTGCACTGCAGATTCTTGAGGAACCAGAAGAGGGTTGCTACATCACGGGCCTCCATCTGGAGGGTGCGAGATGGGACGCTGAGACCAGAGCGCTAGCAGAAGCTGAACCCAAGCATTTTCTGGGCAGTATGAGCAGTATGTGCAGTCTGTTCTTACGGCCTCGTACAACTGATCTTGTGGACGGAGCAGGAAAGTGCGACGACACCTCCAAACACTACTGCTGCCCAATATACACAACTCCAGCTAGAAACGGTATCTCAATACCTCTCTCCCTGCCTCCCTCCCTGCCTATCCTGTAGAATCCTCAGTATCACACGACCCCATAAACTCGTGTTCACTATAGATGAAATTCCATCCTCGTGAGGGTCGAGGGCAGGGTTAACAGTTTCTCAAGTTTGCCAAGTGATGAAGGAATTAACCTCCAAACACTGCTGCGCATGGGGAACTGCTCTCGGAGCATGTAGCCACGATCATGGGTCGTGGCTACATGGGCCCTCAAGAAGAACCCACGATGCCACGACCCTGCGGCATGGCTGAGACTGTGCAGTTTGTGATTTCCATTGGTGGGGGGTTTCATTCGGCGAATGTACCGTACGTTCTCCATGTTGATTCCTACACTTGCTGTCAGAAGGGTGCAAGGAATTAGGGCGAAGTCGGTTGAAGTGGACTCCGGTATTTTGGCTAAGGGTGCTAACTTCGAGTTTCCGCGGGATGTGTATCTGATCTCAACAGGACTCCGACCATGCAGAGGTTGTAACTACGTGGGGACAATAAACCTACCGGTGGGTGCAAGGTCGTCCATGCATTGGGCTCTTCAAGGGGTGGCCCTTCTGTGCAGTTCCAGAGATTGATCTGATTTCTTAACAAGTCCTGCTGAAATTCCCTCGAGTGAATGAGTCAACAGGGAAACTTCAGTCGCTACCTACTGCCCGCTTGCAGATAGCCAACATGTGCAGTGGGAATCGTTGAGTTAGTAGATCACGTTGCGCAGTAGATGCATTTGCAGTTGGAGCTATCTCTTTACCCACTTACAAATATGTATCGTGTTGTCCAATGGAAGTTGTAATAAATGCAAAGTAACAAATCTGTAGTAAACAGGATGGAAAACTCATTCATTAATCACATGGATAAAACCAACGAAGTAAGACTGGGCTATGAACTACTAGCTTTACATCCAAAACATGTTCCTCCCCTACTACCGAGGTCAAAAGGGTCTGATGGGTCGAACCACCTCGTTGACATCCCAAGAATTTTTGTGAAGAATCAATATTGATGAAGAACCTTCACATAGTGGTTGAGAGATTCAACAGATATGCGTTGTTCTATGCGGTAGATCATTAGGGAACCAGTTGGCCACCTGCACGTCCATCAATTCCGTTTACATCAACATCGGTTGCAATGTTATACGCTGCACTTCGTCTTTCTAAACCCAGTTGTGCAGGACCGTGCACACTACATATCTCCTAGAAAATTCTAAACGTCCTGGCAAGTTAAAGGATCCATATGCCCTTGCAACTGTTCACGCAATTCGTGGGAGGAAATCGGTTTTCGACATAAAGTAACGGGGAAGGGATCTAAGCATTTTCTATAGAAATATAACTCCAGAGTCCAGCTCACTGTGTGGCCTCCAATTCTTCTGGATAGAGACTTATGGACATAGAAGTGAAACAAAAACCCTGCTGTGTCATCCACGTGCCAGCCCACATATATAGTAGACGTGCATATATAATACTGTTTTAGAATATGAAATACGAGGTAAGAAGAAACAGTGCCGCTTTCCCCTTAGTAGGCTTTTTTCAATTTTTAAAAGTACTCAGCATTTTACGAAGTCAGCCCACAGACATGGTAGACGCGCACAAATAATATGAGGATGAAATAAGGGTTACGGAAAAGACTCAGAATTGAGTGCTTTGATTTCAAATAGTTGGCGCGACCAAAGTATAAGTGTCGCAGATTCATGGAAGGCAATTGTGAGAGCAATCATTCAACATTTGATTTGACAAACATTGCCTTGAAAAAAGATTTTGCCCACATCATGACATTCTAACTTAAAAGTTGTGAATCATGACCCGACGTGCTGCAATTTGAAACGTATGGTCGTGGAGAGACAAAGTTGGCGTGGACTTCCTCTGCATACGTTGATAGTTACAGTGGAGTATTGTACATATTTCCTAAATATCTTCTGGAAAATCCTTCAGAAGGAGATAATTACACTTAGACAAAACTCCGACCGCTTTGCCCTTTTAATCCTGTAAAGAATGCTGAGTCAGACAGAATCTGCAGACCCATGAACGCTGCATTGCGTTGACTACGTTCTGATGTCGGGAATTCCTGCCCGCAGGCTTGATTCAAAGGATTCGACATTCTGTGTCTTGAACTTCGCAGCTTCTCCTAGTTCTTGGACGGATGTGACAACATACTTCATCTTCGCAACTATTTCAATCAGCAAAGACGCAAACTTTACCAGGGATAAGGCAGATATTCTTTCTTCAGCCCCATCGTAATCGGTGCCTAAATTTGACCTTCTGCTCTTGAAAGTATGCTTCCAACTTGTTTGTTGGAGCTTTTCCGAACCACGCATCTTCGTCTTAACTTTGGTTTGGGGTTTCGGAGCCTCTCCGACTCCTGAACCATCATCTACCTGTATATTTTCTGGTAAACTTTGTGAGTGTTGTCTTCTCTCATCGGACAACCCTCTTGACAATCCTCCTCGAGGAAATACGTCCACTGTTTCTCCGGAGCCATTCCGACTAAGCTGTGTCGAGTTACACCTCGACAAGTGCGGACTATCTTGCCACGATGACAAAACTGCGTGCTCTGTCTCGTACCGATTGTCGAGGGAGATGTAGTCTTCTCCCAATCTCGTATCATGGCCATTTTGTGTAGGAACTACTAACGGTGCTGATTCTTCATCACCATTCTCTATTTCCTTGCTCCTTGTCCTTGCAGATGCAAAATTCTCCCTATCTTCATAGGACTGAAATTGTTCTGCCTCGCTAGTAGCCCATGGATCGTTGGGATCATAGACCCTCTGAACAACGTCAGAAGCGTCCCGTTGTTCGGCGTCCGGATTCCCATAGCATGACGCAAGATATAACCCATACCTCGGTGACTCTGCAGCTCCTTTTCCCAACAAAAGATGCGTGTGGATGTAGATCTTGTTTTGTAATTCGATGGCTGCTTCCTCAGCTCTACACAGGAGATCCTCCGAACCTACTTTCGTCATATTTCTCATGCTCTCACCTAAAAGGCCTAACACCTTCGAACACTCCTCTGCAATCTCCTTCATTTCCTGTGACAGGAAAGCAGTAATATTTTAAGTGTTTTCCATAGAAAGACGACGATTTGAAGTCGTGCAGCAATAGAAATCTGTCACTGCGCACGGTATAAGTGACGAAACTGAAATGATCCGGTGAGGACTTACTGCTCTCATGCGACAAACATACTTATGGTTGTCTCAATGCAATAAGCTTCAACGGACAGCTAAAAGTGAGCTTCACAATGCACCCACAAAAAACAACGAGCCACGTCACCACACCTGGGTGAAAAGATCCCGCAAATTTTTCGGAGCTTGGATGCTTGCCCTTAAACACGAATCCAGAGCTATGACATCATACAAGGTGTATCGTAGATAATCCGTTATATCGTCGTATAGATGCCAAGGATAACCATTAAAGAATGCACCGTGACAAGGTTCCCAGAGAACTGCACCCAGCTGCAACACAAAATGTTCAAAGCATCAGATTCAAAAGTCTTCACTCCTCTCGACTTTTGCTGGATCTGTGACGCACAACTAAATTGACATCCGTGTTGTTAGCAACGTGTTGTCACCCCTTCAGTCAGTCAGTACAAAGTCATTGAGTATAGAGGCTAGCACGTGTGCAAGCCACTAAACGTGCGATAATCGTTAAAGCGGTATACCCTCTAAAAATCGACTGAAGTTACAGTCAGCATCGTATTTAAAGATTTCCCAGGGGCTACAGAAAGTGCTACCACCTTATAACCTTATAACCGTGAATAAGAAAGGATATGCTGTATAAATTATGGGAAATGATACGATCGAGATGAGTTAGGTGTAATAGCAAAGACTCACCAACTTGTCTATATCTGAATCTGACATGACAATCTCGTGATAGCTCTGATGAATTTTGTCATCTTCTGAGCAACCACTCAAAATATCGGGAACGTGATCCAGCATTGTATAGTTGCTGTACTCTGTCACACACCTGCAAGATTTAAAAAACTGGACAAATGAATCCAGATCGGCGAGTGCGTTCTTCTTAAAATATGCCACGTCACGTCATCTCCGCGACATGCTTCAGAACACGATACACAACAGGAGTAATAAATTATGTGTAATCAGTCGACAGGATAGTTGGAAAACTAACCTTAGTAGTATAGCACCGGCTGCATCAAAGTTCTTCGCCACCAATGAGTGAAGTGTATCTCCAGCATAAACTGGCATAAAGGACAGATTGATGATCGATGCTAAGAAGAATCCTAACAGAATCATGGAGAACCTCAAAATAGGCAGCGTGACCTTCTCTGGCTGCAAATACGAACTAAGCAGAAGGATGTGAAACGCAATGGTTGCCACGGTAAAAGCATAGCCCCACTGGTCTTTGAGAGGAGGAATCCCTTTCAGATAACGGAATACGAATCCTCCTAAGAAAACCCAAAATACCTGTACATCGGCATTACAGCAAAGTGAAGTTTATTAGCATGCACCGCAGGCCACGCAAATCTGGAAAAATTAATCCGCAGATTTCTCTTGACAGATTTGGTTGGTCCATTACTGGAGGCATACATAAAAACCCTTGCAGAGTAGGCATTCGGTATGGTGGGGGTAATTCCTACCGCAGTTAACATAGTCACTCAATACTACTCTTGTACATAGAGCACATTCATTTCTGATCGGTTTACTGATTATCCGTCAACCCTCAATACCCTACAAACAAGATAAACTCATGAGTATAGCAACAGAGTTACTCTACTCGGAGTAGAATTAAAGGGATGTTCACATAAACGAGGTCAAATAACATCACTCCACTGACTTACGATACAACATGCAACGAAAAATGGGCTGACATATCTCACAACGCGACGTGGTCTTATGATGGTGTCTTACCGTGTAGTATGGGTACAGATGCTCCGGAACATCTGGCCCCAGCTGGGTCAAACAAACAGCAGCAGTACCAGCACATAGAGTTCCTGCTACTCTGTTCACACCCTTCATAAGAGAAAGTCCAATATTTCCCTCGTACAGAATGTCAATTGTGACTACAGCCCATATGGCTATAGAAGACAACTCATCATACGGAGGCGGAAAGTGCACGACACATATAATGGATACTAAACCGGCGGCAATGCCTGCACAAAAGAAAAGAGGCAACTTCAGGAACTTGAAATCGGCCATGCTGCATATAAAGACGTAGAGGGATCTCCTGTCTTTGGGAACAATGGGACCTAGTTCTAAACTCTAGAGATGTTTGCCTGCTGCCTGAAGAATGTACTCGCAGTTCTTAATAGGACACGCAAAATTTATGACATAGCTATCATGCAGAATCGATTATGCTTGTGACGCAGCCTTAAATTCCGCAATTCCCGCTAGGGAAACGTAAATTTAATGCACGATGGATGACAGTAGGATCCTGAATCTCGAGGACTATAGACCTCTATCTATTCAAATCTAAAGCACAGATAACCAAGGAAACTGAAAAATGAAAACGAACCATGATCTTTCGGAGACTTCGAGATTTCTACACATAGATTCAAAACAGAGACGATTTCGAAGCTGTTCTCAAAGTAGAATGATTGGTTACAGGCAAGCAAACTTATGAAGATCATGAAAAAGCTTCAGTAGCCATAAACTAAAGACGGGGCAAGAGATTCCCGTGAATATATGTGGAGTTGTTGAACCAACCTGATTTCAAAGATATTACGGTCAGATTCTTTTGTGACGCCATTGAATTCCATGCCCACTTTGGCCACAGCAGTATACCCCGTATCACATTTTTCAAAAAATAAATGGGATCATTTGAAGCTGAATGAGCTGCTTGCTTCATGAGCGATTTGGGATTCCGAAGACTTCTTCTTCTTTTCGACCGTAGCGCCTTCTGTTTCGGGTCCACGCGCTTTTTGACATGCTCACCTTCGATACCATCGCTAGAATCATCACCGATAGTATCTCTGGAAACTCCGGCCGATGAGGATCTGAAGTGCCCAGGAGTAGTACAAGGGGCGTACGGGCCATTGTTCAAAGACTCTCCTTGAAAGGTCTTGCTATCAAAGACAGATCCTGTGTATTCTCCGACATCCACAGTCACGGATTGACTATTCGGCAGCGAAGAAGGAAACGTGAAGCTCTCGTCCCTTTCAACCAGCAAAGGCTGTTTCATTTGAATGCTCCGATCTTCTCTCCCAGCTGCCATTGCTCATACACATGACAGCTTACAAACCAGGCCTCTCCCCGTATGCACAACTGAACACTGAAAGGGAGACACAAGCATCACAAGACACACAGAATCGGACAGACCCCTCGGCCCTTCACTTCTGTCAATTGCTCACTCCCTTTCCTTTCCTTCGCTTCTCTTCACTTCACTTCACTTCACGCACTCGCCCCCAATTTCTCCACCACGACACTCCGAACAGCAAACGATCCAGTCTTCCTCCTCGGAAACACCACTCAATTCCGCTGCCAACGAGTACAATCCTCCTCGTACGGTCTCTTCAACGACGATGCAACACGTCGGAAGACGAGTCGTCCATTCTCCAACTTCCACAGCAGCAGCGCAACACTTCATCCATCTATCTACTCCGCCCCTCCGGCACAGCGGAAATTCGCCACAGTCCAAATTTCCGCAAGCGATAACGACCACAGGCGCGACCCCACAAAGACGACGACGACGATGCGCCTGCGACCCTCGATTGAAAGCCTCTCAAATCGAGCCAGATGTAATCATGTATCGGGTCCGCGCTCGAGCAGGCAGTCGAGAGCAACGACAGACAGAGCAAGAAGCTGTGGCCCCGGCTCCGAATAGAATGGCCCGAGCTCGAATTTAGACTCCGGCCCGCCCCGAAGCTGACGGTGACCGCTACTCTGTGCCTCCTCCCTTCTTGCCAGATATTCGAACGTCAGGCGCGGGCCTCGGTTGGTGTTGCATGGCCGCGCCCGCCAACGGTTCCGGCACGCTCCCGCCTTACCCACCTGCGACGAGGACGACCACGGTGGATGCGACGACCGTGATGACGACGACGGCCACGACGCGGACGACGACGGACGGATCCGTCGGCCAATCGCTTTCGGAGATACGCATGTCGCCGCCCGGGCCCGGCCACCTCGGCTCCGCATTTTTCGACACGTGGCGTTGGCGGAACGTACCACCTGCTTTCACCGCAGTCAGAAACTCAACGCACGGACATCTAATTTTGTTCCTGCGGAATTGCCGTGGTCGCTGTCCGTGGCGGTAACCCGTTAACGTCGTCAGTCAGCGAGGACTGCGTACCGCGTCTCCTTTATTACGTGGTTGCATTGAAGCTTCTGGCCTACTGCTGGCCCGAGGAGCTTGTAGGGGTTCTCGCGTTCGGTCGCTTTCGGGCCTCGAGGCTTGAGGCTCGAGCACGATCACGAAGCTCTGGTCGCCGTCGTCAAAAGCTTTAATGGCGAGTGATGGGCGGGGCTCTGCAAGGAGCTCGGGTACAGACTGGCCTCGTACTGCCTCGGACAAGCGTCCAGACCAGGGCTCTGCCCAGTGTTGTAGCCTTGCATCTTCTGGCGACGAATTTGCACGAGAAATCGTAGTGATCTAGAGCTTGCAGGCATCTTGCCAGGTCTGGTGTATCTGGACGTCGTGTCCTTGACTTCTGTCCGTGATTGCTGTTGCGATACGAGGGAGGGACCCAGATAAAAGGAGGTCAAAAGGACTTCGTACCAGACATGGACTACCTCTCGCTATCTCCCCGAGTCTCGGTCTTGGCTTGTAGTGCTGCAGTCCTACTGGAGGAAAGGATGGTGGACGATAGGATTCATCCTTCAAGTAAAGAATCTATGATGATGCTGTGTCTCGTGTTCGTTGAAGATTTCGAACCTTATTCTCCAAAGCTTCGACTCCGTGTGGTCGATTGTGGCCATCGAACCATTAACTCATTGTTGACATATTGTACAAATGTCTATCGCTTGACCTCGCTGACAGCCATGGCTTCGTTTTCGTACCACGTCTCCCTTTGCCATTCATGACCAGGTCTGCATGTTTGCCGAATTTTGCCGTACTTTGAATCGTAGTTCACACCAACTGTGTCTTGAAGAACATGAATTCTTGAAGATACAAGATATCCTCTTTGGGCTTGTGTGCCTGGAAACAGGTACTGTGCACGGTAAAGCTCTCCCATATATTCTTTTCTTGCAGGATAAATCTTATCTTATGAACGATTTAAGTAACATCTCTTGTGGGGTCCTCTTGCTAGCTTCTTCTTTATTACCATTCCCGCCTCCTCCTCTTCCATGTTGACAAGTCATCAATGATGACTCATCATTAAACCGATTGTGCGGACAATGTGCAGGTTTGGATTTAGACCACTTGAAGGAGGAGAAGAAGTCCCGAATTGAAGAAATGACCAGCAAAACAAGTGTTCCACGATTCGCACGTTACTAGTCCTGAATGAGAGGAAAATGCTCGCGTTTTTTCTCCTCTATCCTTAACCTTTCGCTTCTTTCCATGCCCATAATCAACAAATTCCTTGCCTTGCAGACAAACTTCAGATTGCAACCGTTTCAGGATGATAGAAACAACGCTTCTCTGATTATTGTTATACTGAATCTAAGCTCCAATTTCAAATTGCCTACTTCTTAGAACGAGCGTGGATTAGAATAGAGGAGAAAGAAGCGAAAGGTCAAGTTATAGAGAAAACCAGCAATGATTTGCAAGACGATAAGCACAACGACAAACAAGGTGAAGTGGGCATGGATTAATCGATATATGTTTATATACAGGCTAAAAAATTGACCGACTTGTATGAATCAAAAGTGCCATAGTGGACATAGCCGGACTTTTTCACGCTGTCCAATTAATGATTTTCGTAGGTCGTAACTTTTCTAGAAAACTATAGTAAAGTTCCTTGCCAGCGAGGGATGTAGGAAAATTACTTTTGAGGAGATCACAAATCTTTATCCTGAGATTATGCATTTTTTTTTCTAAAGAATATAATCTTAGAAAATAAAGTGCGTCTTATCTATTGTGCTTTCAGAAGTCTCTTAGTTATGGTAAGTAGATCAAGCCCATGGGACCCAAAGGGTCAAAAGGCTAAAAAAGTTTTGAACGAAGACTTTTTGAGATGAAAAGAGATGATGAAAAGAGATGACATCAGATGAAAAACCTTGTTTCTCTAGAAGTACGTGCAAACGATATCTAAGTTGAATTTTTGTAAATTAGTTCAAAACTTTAATATGGTTTATCTTGGAATCTGATTCTAGAAAAGCATATGGAATAATTTAGAGCCAGATTCCTGAAGCTTCAGGCTCAATATTCGAGACCGGAAAGTTGATTTTTTCCGCACTCTATGTCTTTTCGTTCTGTTTTGGTACTTTCACCGTCCTTTTCTCGAATTCGACAGATGCCATATTCCTACGAAGACAAAAGGTCGGACCGTTAGAGAACGTGGCGTCCCCACGAGATTCGAGAGAGGCAATCTTTTATAAAGTGACAAACTAAAGTTTGTCACAACCTGAAGTGAAGATAGTAATCTTCTACAAAGAGATTTTTGTCAATATGCTAACTCATTTCTTATGACACTAAAGTAACGCAGTAGTGATCTATAATCCATGTCGACATGAATTTATTCAGATCCACCGTCACCACAAGTGTTTTAGTACATGTCATTGTTAAAGGACGAAGCATCTCCGCATCTTCTACTTTGGACTCACACTCGGGGCCAAAGTTTCGAGATTTGACTTTACAACACTCTAGTGATGCATCCTTTTCATCATTGACACCTTTGTATCAAATGCATGGTAATGGTAATAGATCAAGCCGGGAACGAGGTGTCAAAACGCTAAAAAGAACACAACACAATCAACCTGTCGTTACCCAGGGGAGAAACCTTGTAAACAATCCTATGAGAATTTCTATATCAATATATCTAAAACAAGTAAGAAACACATGCTCTTCGTCCTCTATAATCCTGCTCTCACATACACCGCAGAAACATTCACTTTTGTCAATGTGATGTCATAGTACTTTCTCAATATGTAAACGGTGAGATCCACTTCTATGTCGTGCAATAATATGACGTAAAAAAATAGAAGTCCCAACAAGAAGATATTCTTGTTGACCGTGAACAAGCATAGGGTTTTCATGAAGTCTGTAGAACTCCATTTTTGTGCCAAGTCTACTCCAAAGAATGTTGAGAGCTTTTTCTTGTAGACGATGGCAAAGTGTCAATGCTTGCATGCGCCAGTGTTGTTCCTCCACATTACATCTTGAGTACCAAGCCATCACATATGAAAGCCATTCTTCGGAACGTGTGTCTTGTAAAGCTTGATGAGTAAATCGAGAAGAAATAAGAATTTATCCGTGCAATGTAATTGATGGTCAAATATAGAGCTTCAACTTCAAAAGTAGGATACATGTTTCTGCCATTATGATGGCATAGTAGGTTTGGTTTTTCATCTTGAATTCTTCCGAATCTTCTCCCATATTGTCTTCTTACTACCAGTACCCCATACTTGGATCCCGTATAAAATCATTGGCAACACTAGAATCTTGAATAAAAACTTCCGAAGTTAGCAAGATACAAGATAGGCTCTTCTACATCTATTTAAGAATGAATAGAGAGCTTTGTAACCACCTTTTACTTTCTTTTGCACACAATGTGCCCAACTGTAATCATGAGAAAAATCAATACCTAAATATTTGTAAACCTTCACTTGTTCTAACTATATGTTATTTAACTAAAGAAAAATTGGATCTAGTGCCGACTATGATGGTTTTTGATTTTTCCAAGTTGACCTTTATTTCATTATCATTACAGAAGTTTGCTATCGTGTCAAGATGTTTTTGTAAACTAATAGTATCATGTGCTAATAAGACGATATCATCTGCATACAATAGAGCTTTGATAATAAAGTCTTCAAGCTTGACATCTTCATTCTCACTTTCGTCTAATCACCTTTCTATATCATCTATGAAAATCTCAAATAAAGTTGGAGAGAGAGTACAACCTTGAATGACTACAATGGTACTCAGGTTTTTTGTTGGTTGCGAAGCGTTGATCTTGGCCCGAACTTAGTTACATAACATGATCACTGGTCCCAAGAGATTAAGCGGTACTCCTATATCTTGTAACCTTTCTCATGAAAGCTTGCGAGACACCGTGTCAAAAACTTTCTTGAAATCTATGAAGGCACAAAATAGAGCTTTTCCGTTGCCCTTAGATTTTTCCCATAATACACGTAGAATCAAGATAGTTTGACAACATTGAGCAAAAACCGGCTTGAACTCTTGGTCTCTTCTACAAACACTCAGTTCATGTATTCAACTTTGATTCCAACAACCTTCCAAATAACCTCGCAAAAACGATTTCCACCATGATAGTTCAATAGAGTGTCGCCTCGTCTTTACTACCTGATTTGTGGATAGGAACAATCTTTCGAAATGACCAAGTTCGAGGAAACCTATTGACAGAGTCATCTTCAAAAGCTTTGGTGAAGAATGGTACCATAGAGTATACTCTCCACTTGAGAAATTCAACGGACAAACCATCCAAATCTTCACTTTTGCCATTTGCTAAACTTCTAACTAGAGTCTTCAACTCTTATCCAAAGAATAAATAAACCAGAATCTGCTTTGCATTTCGGCATAGAGCTAGCTTCCGAAAAGAAGTAAAGCTTTTTGGCAAAAGCTAACAAGGATTCGGGATCCAGTGAGGCTTTTGCAGATGGTAGAGCTAATTTTCTCCAAAAAAAACTTAGGATCTTGCATTAGCTATATGGTTAGAAATTCCTGCTTTCGTCTCAAGAAAGCTCGTTTCTTGGACTTCACCAGCTGTTCGTATATCCTTGTCAAAAAAAACCGACTTTAGAGATTCAAAAACATATCAACTGCTCTCGCCCTTACTAGCTTGCAGTCAAAATCAAAACCACCCGTTACAAGTCAATACCCTAGTCTTTTTGTTGCTATGTCATAGAAAGAACTTAGACACAAAGTTTTAGAGAAGTTTTTATGAATTGCAAACTAGCTATATATGAGTCTTGGCTCCAATTAGTGTGTTTCAGGAACTATTGTAAATGTGTAGCATAAAAATATTTTTTACAAGGTAATAAACGGAAACTGGTACAGATAGAAGAGGTTTGTTGATTGAGGGAGTAATCGTTTTTGATATTGATAAACAAGTGAACAAAAAAGGTGCATGATCGAACTCGGGTTGAGGGTTAAGAACTTTGAAAGTATAGATAAGAGAACTACTAATTGAGAAAGATAGAAGAAAATCTATCGTGCTAGCACATGAAGAAAAGAAATATGTATTGGATTGATAGTTGAGAAAGCGGGAGATTCCATTAAGTACTTTCAAGTTACAAGTGGCTCCAAGAATCAGAATATGTTCTGTCAAAGAGTTTGTAGAAGGATCGAAAGAAAGTCTAGACTATTGACTATAGTCAATTTCTTTCAAAGCAGAAGAGTTAAAAAAGTTACATAATTGAGTAAGTTAAGTACATCGTATGCGAGAGCATTGAAGTCCTCAGCTAGGAAAACATCTCCTTTGCTCTGATATTTGAGTACATCTCTAATGAGCCGATGAAATGGTTGGCTCCAGTTGGAAAAACGTGTGGAGTGGATAGACATGGATAATGGCGCAAAGTAACAGATTGCCAAATAGCAATGAAATATTCCAAGCACAAGACGAAACCAATGATATTGAACTCCGATATCTTGAGTATCTAAATGAATGATAGATAAAAATTTAGATCTGATGAAAGTGGCAATACCTTCATGTCCCCTTCCTGTGTGTTTTCTTGTTTGGTTCAATGTTAATTCCACCAAAGTGAATCCTTGCAGCTCAACAATAGTGTTATTTTTGTGTTCCCAAGTTTCCACGATGTTGATGACGTCTCCCTTCTCCCATATTGAATATGCATTCACGTACTTTGATGATGAGAATACTTGAATATTTCACACCAACACACTCAACTTCTTGGATTGTTTTGTAGATGACTTTCTTCTCTTCTGTGTTACAATCGCTCTATCATCGCGCAAATAAACAACAAAACCTGACATTTGAACCTCCTTAAACTTTTCAAGTTACTTCCTTCTAGCTTCTCCTTGCAATGAAGTAAGGTCGGTATCCAATCTTATTCTCTGTACTTTTTGAGACTAGATCTGTTGACCATGGCTGTATCACGTTGAGACTGGTTGACAAACTTAACAAGAATGGTCTGAGGTTGTGTGCCAATTTTTCCAATCCGAGAAGCCTAGGCCAAATCTGGATTGTGAACATGTAGTGTGTCAACTAATAATTTAGTGACAACACTCTTCACATCTTCATTTTCTGATTTTGGTAAACCAAGTTACCTAACATTCTTTCTACGGTAATATTGATTTGCATTTTTTATCTTTTGTTCTTGACAGAAAGAAATATGTGCAACTTTAGTAGCCTCGGCATACGACTTGAGTTTCAATTTTAAGAAGTCTACCACTTTGTGTAATCCTGGGCTATTGGAAACATGTGCTAATGATGTGATCTTAGTCTGGACAACCGTGAGGGTTTAGGAAATATGAAGCATCACACTTGAATTCTCTTGCAATTCTATCCTCATGGCTTCTTGTGAAGGTTTCAACTCACGTATCATGGAGTCAAGCAAGCACTCTGGCTGAAAGTTTTTAGTTTCTTCTGGTTCAAGGCGGTAAAATTTTAAAAAAAGAATTTGTGATGCCAAGCATCTACCTAGATCAAATTGTATCTTTGCATCCAAAATTCGATCTGAATATTTGACTAAGGATTGTAACTTGAGGATTTTTATTGAGATATCGGGTAAATGCAAAACCTTCGTGATTGCAACAAGGGAGTCTATTCATTAGAGAGAGCCTATGCACTGATCTTTTATTCTTGGGCTTGATATGGCAACCTCATGGATCTATCTGGTCCACGTTCTCGAAAGAACTGTAATTCTATCGCTGCTCTTTGGAGAGCTGTAAGGTTACTAGAGCTTATTATGAATAGATACCTCTCGCCTTGTACCCTGATAGAAGCAAAAGAATTCCTATACCCAAAATAAAATAAAATTTGTTCTACCCCTTCTGGAGAAGTTGAAGCGAGTGAGATTTCTTTGAAGTTTACACTTGAAGAGGATGAGCTGCACTGTAGAGCCCAATTTTGGGTGCCCATGCCCATGGGTTTTGGGTGACATTATTTCTCCTGGGTGGGCACAAGTAATGCAATGGGTAGTGTTTGTCAGATCCAACCAAGAATTGGTATAATCGGGTAATACACATAACACACTTGAAGTAAAATGTTGGCCTCTGCTGCACCGGAAACGTACTATATTTTGCTTACGGGGTGCTGAAACTTTTTAAACGAATACATGTGCCGTGATAAATGGGTACTGCAATTATCCGCTGATTGCAGTTAGAAAGTCCAGAGTGCTAGGCAGGCATTGCTCAGTGATTTTTTCTGTCAATGGCGGGAAGTCAGCATCTGCGCTACTACTGCACCATTGGTAAACTTGTCGAAAAAGAAATTCACTGCAAATATTTCATCACGAAATATCCTCCTTTACACTAGTCTAATTATACATTTTCCGTGTATTTTTGGGTAAAATCTTCGAGGTCGAACTCAATCTTACACAGTGTTGATTTGATGGTATGCAGATGATATAAAAATAGTGCTTGCATCAGAATGTGACCAGTGTCTCAAGTGCCAGGCTTTTGGTCGGAGGCATAACGGAATAGTGCAGTAAATGTTCCGTGTTTAACCTGAAAAGCACCAAAATGTCATACTCAAGCCAACCAACACAAATATCGAAGGCTCATCTAGAGTAGATGTGCTGGAGATGCCTCAAAGGATACCAAGGTTGATGATGAGCAGCAGAACCATTGGTACCTTCGGTGGGGTCTGCTGAGATAGCACCAGATGCAAATAAACACTTCTATACACTTCAGGTGCTAAGATATTTTGAGAAAATCACATCCATACTTCGTTATTTATCCAGAAAATTTCACATTATTTTTCTCTCTTGTACTGGAAGCATAGAGATGTGGAAAAAAATTTCGTCTTTCGAGATAAACAATAAACTCGATACTTACGACTATGTTGTAATTACATATAAGCCAGAAATGCCACAATAAGTTTGATAATTTATTTTGAAGAACGTGTAGCTTTTTATGGTGTATCAATATCATCACATCCGTTGCTACAAAACATTCTCAAGAATATTCATGTCGTTTACATTGATTTGAGCAGTTTACTGACTCTGCTGTAGCTCTTGGCAGGGTTAGTACGAGTCTTCAACCCCAAGAAATCTAATGTAGGAGCAAGGTTCTCAACTATGTACAGTCTGTAGCTCAGGTCTTATGGTTTACCTTCCGGTTTTCGTGGTCTCTGCCATTCAAATCCTGTCGGGCTTGTGATCATCCCCTTGCTTTTCATGAGCACCACAATTCAGACCTCACACCACCACAAGCATCAAAAACTTACCCAGATAAAACAAAAAGGAGAAACCTACTTTCCCATCTATCGTCGAATAAACTTCACGTAGGAGGTCAAATTACTGTGCTTACATATTGTCTTGTCACACAATTAGCTCAATGCTTCAACTTTTGTTTTCCAAAATAACTACCCCGGCCGTGGCGTTTAGCAGGTCACCTCCAGACATTCTGTAAGCTACAGCATTCTTTAAGAAATGAATATGGACAAGAGTCGGATTAATTTCTTAAACAAACAGTGATCCTGATTTGACACCTCTGTTATTTTGATGCCAGCTTCATTAGACTCAGTTTCATGTTTTGTCTCGGTGACATGGCTGCAATCATTCATCTGTTCGTTTCCTGTTATACGGGCAAGAGAGAACATGACAGTTGAAAGTGTGTCCTCGGAACCTTTTCAGGACTAATTTGTAGTGGAGTGGACCCTTCGGACAGATGTTCTTTTCCCTGAAAGGACGAGCTAGATCCCCGATTGAGCTGAATCTTCCACGTTACCGAATTGACACTGTGTGCATCTCCTGCATGTGCATGAGTCGTAAACTCTGCATGTGGTCTCCCTCTTCATCCTAGTCCTCGAACACGGTTAGAGATCAATCCCATGAACGTATTGGGTGGATGTCCACTTCGTTCATGGAGACGAGTGCAGTGCTGGAGGAAAGGGAAGGAGACGATTGTCGAGAATATAAGCTACTCGGAAGTGTTGAGGACAAGATTCTTCTCCTGAGCAACTTCGAGGAATGACGGACTGACTCGCAGGGCAGCCTACGGCAGAAAAAGAACGGTGGCACATTATTATAACTTTCCTTACATGGATCGCTGTCAAATTCAGCTCGCATAGTAGCTTCCTCTTGTAGCTTTCACATGAGTGTACGTTAACCCTTCAGTTTCTACACGTAAAAACTACCGTAACTACAAGAAAGGCGTACTTCTACCACTTGCAAAGCAAGCGATGCAAGAGAAGAGAAGAACACCTATCCCAATAGACTTGGTTCACACTCTGTACGTTCAGCTTTCAATGACACTCCAACCCGCATGGATGTTGAATCGGTCTAACCTTTGCAGAAGGTGCTGTGCAGAAGGATCTCTCACCGTTTCTGCTACGGATCCTAATGCTCGAAGTTAAGTTTTTCTCTTCTCGTTGTGGTTTGGGTGGAACAACTTGCCTCATATACTTCGGAACCTGAATCCAGACCACCACATCGCCCAAGTTTGCCGGATTGGTTTTCCTCTGTTTCCCGACCAAAGTGCAAGGTTCGTTGTTTCAATGTTCACTGCTCAATCATCAGTTTTTGTCCTTAGTACATTCTTTCCTACGGGGAGGAGCCTTCTGAGTCTCCTAATTTCCAAATTTAAGAAAGAGTCTGTTTTACAGCTAAGTTTATCTTGTCCCAGCTGCTCGAATGGACCTCGTTCAAGGTTTTGACCATCATACTTCGTGAAGCAACTAAGCTCCTACAAGCATTCCATCCTCTGAACTGCCGTGCTCGGCAGCAACCGTATCTCATCTGCTCGAATGAACATTGTCCAGATCAAAGTGCTTCACGCGGTCCTTTCATTCTAATGTCAAAGGGCACTCGTCACCAGGTTTATATTACTAAGATCGACCCAATCGACAGAAGAGATCACAATCTACACGGGATTATAGTGACATGAGAATTATGGAAAATACCGAGCTTCAGGTTCATTGACGTCGGCAGAAGCCACTTACTGCAAAATCTGTGTTCTGTCAGTAAGCCCATTTATCTGGGTCTGAAACCTTGTTATTCCAGTATCGTCGGTCACACTGTATGCTTCCATTGCCTCACCTGTTTCTGCTGCTGCCAATGGCATCTTAACCTGAAAATCGGATTGCTTCGCTACTGTTGGGGCCTTTCGCTGATCATGTTGCCAGAGTGTGTGTTCCTAATCTCCTAAACTGCTCAGCTACGAATAGTGCCCCGCATCTTTGTTCCTTCCAACGATCGTATCCGTGGTCGTGACGTCATATGAAAGGATTTGCAATGTTTTGATGCAAGAGGAATCTTCGATTGATGATATAGCTAACCGGGCTAAAGAAAGATCAAAAATATGGACAAGCTGTCAGGATTCGGGTGTCCATAATGGCAGAAGTGCAACTGGAACTGGCACATGGAGGGACCTCGAAGGACTCAAAGATTCTCAGCAGGAGACAGATCCACCTCCGAGAGCTTCAAAGAGGTGAGGCCGAGACCTTTACCAGTTCATCGGACAAACGATCCTCCCAGGACATCGGTCCATCTCTTCAAGACTCCGGGGAGCTTCACCGGATCCTTAAATCGACGCTCTCCCTCTCTCTGCAGCTCGATGACTCTTATCAAACACCCCACGAGTTAGAAATCAGAGGATAGAATAAAGTCAATCGTCGGATTAAAAATTCAACAGGATCGTCGCAGGCTAGGTGTGCAGAAATGGGCGAAGAGCGAGAAAGAGCATTGCTAATGAAGATGGCAGCAATGTTGTCGTTGCTGCTGTCAGTCGTCGTTGCCGATGCCTACTATTCGGAGAGTGACGAGGCCGAGACGCTGACATACTTCGTCCACTGCACGGACGAGGTGGCGATTGTGGCAGGCCCGGGGAAGGACACGCGCGACATGAACAAACTGGCATTCGGGAGCACTCTCATCTACGACAACGATGTCACCGAAGGACCAGAACTGACCTCCAGGCACATCGGCAGGCGGCAAGGCATGGCGGTCATGGACAACTTCGCAGGCCAGAACTACTACCTCCTCTTCACGGTCATCTTCGAGCAGCACGACAAGTACCAGGGCACTCTGCAGGTCCAGGGGACGGAGATCGGCCATGGACCCCGCGAGATTTCCATCGTCGGGGGCACGGGTGATTTCCGAGGCGCCAGAGGCTACTCCACATTCTACCTGCACACCGCCATTCCCTACCCCATTATCAAGCAGAGCTTCCACATCTACAAGAGCTCCTTCAACTACAAGCCCTCGATGATGCAGGCATCTGAATGAGCCGACTGGCTACAAACGCACACGGTGGAACTCTTCGGATCGGTGGATCTGAGAACACTGTAATCGACACGAGGTCGCTCTTGATCGTAGATAGTAAATGCGCCCGCTTCTTCGGTCTTGCAAGTTCTGTATCGGTGTTCGAAGATAGAGCGGGAGGAGATCCTAGTCAGGGCAGCACATTTTTACGCTTCTCTACGAGATTGCTTCTTTATTCTTCAAAAAAGAAATAAATTTGGCACATGCTCTTCTTCGGGCGTCTGTTGATGGGAGTCAATGATGAGTTTTCGTATTTCAAATGCCACCATGCACCTTGCATACCTCTAGCGATGTGCTTGATTTTGTGGTTTTCTATGGTACCATAACAAGATAAAGAATACGAGTTATTTTCAAGAATGTGGAAATGGAGGAAGTGTTTTATGTGAGTACACTCTTTATTTTTGTTGCAATGCAGTTAACGGTTGGAATAATATTAACATGGCTCCAGAAAAATTACAAAGGAGCTTATACAGTATAAATATGTTCATGAGGGAAATTGGTAAATGGTAATGGTAAATGGTAGAAAGTTCAAGAATATTGTCGGCTATCTAAGTAACTTATATGATCAAAGCAAAGTTTAAACAGAGCTTATATTCAAGATGACGTGATATATTAGAGTGGCATGCAAATGCTTCAATTGTGAGTAGCATCTGGTATCTTCGTTGAGTTCAATTTTTAGCATAATATGAATGCCACTTTGAAAGATGTTTTCAAATTATAAATGATGAGTTGTCCACTTCAGAATATTGAAATTGATATTATAATTCAATTTAGAAATTGACTATATAGATTGACTTTATTTGATTTAGACAGTATCAACAAAAATTTGTCAATTAACTTAACTCAGATAAACAGCTAAAAAAAAAAAATTCAACTAACGGAATTCAATGAGTAATATTGTGAAACTGACTTTAGATTTTAATATTATACATTTCACTAACACACTTTCCACATTTCAAAATTGAATCATACAAAATAGTCTGAGAAAATAATAATATGATCTTTTGGGTCCTAAGATTGTTATGGTACATAAACACATGCAATTTATCTTGTGATACAATGTATGATTAAAAAATTTCTCACAGAGATTTGGAGAATAAAAACATGATATCTTTCAAATCACAACAAGATCGTAGAAGACTGAATCGTGAAACTCTGAAAAATGTGTAGGATCTGTTACTTGAATATTATAACTTTCAATTGTTGGAGTTCTATCACAGGGACGAGAGATAGGAAAGAATAGTATGTCACCGGAAAGTTTTAAATAACAAATTGTCAGTCATTCTAATAGAAAAGCAATGTCCATGAGACATATAAATAATTAACGTGAAATCTAAAACAGTCCTCATGTAATTATGCGAGGCATTGCATCTAAACAATACAATAGATCACAGAAGGTTTTGGGGCAATGCCTCGCAGCTAAACCTTTGTTGATTTATTCTAGTCTAGGAAAGAGGTAACTACCAGAAGTGGTTGTTTTCTTCTTCTCTGCCCAATTGTAACCACAAGGGCGAATGACAAACCGATTCGTGATTATCTCATTCGATTTTTTCTGAAGATCGTGGGTTCCTGAGGTCTGGACAGAGTGTGTTTTCTGGTGCCTATCGTAGTAGGCTGCACAGAAGCATATGAGACTCTAACACTCGCAAACTAATCGTGGACGAATGTAATCTATACACAGTGGCTCAGAGCTAAAAAGTCTCAAGATAGATATATCATGGCAATCATTTTGAGTTTCTTAGAGGACAGAAGGAGCTCTTTCTATCCTTGTAGCCAGTGAAGGACTCAAAACAACGCCAACCAAAACAAACAAACAAACAAAACATTGGGACTTGCGTTGAATGAAACTCGTAGCTGGAGCGATATAACCAAGCACTGTATGTAATCCGCGAGCTACGAGATCGGAGCTACCCTTGAAACCCAATCAGATATGTGAGAAGTACTGTACATCATTTGCTCCATGCGGTATGAACACAGAGACAAGCGCTCGTTCAATTCTCTCCACCACATCCATCGACGTCACAGTCACAGTTGTTCGACAAACAGTCGACTTGGCAGGTGCATGGGTTTTGCCACTATCGGTTGGGCTTGCATCTCCTTCTACTTACGCCATGAGGTGATGATTCCTACAAGAATCATTGTACAAATGATGCAGCGGGTCCCTAACCGATGGAACTGATCTTCGATTCTAAAGCCGTGCAAGAGAACTTGCCCCTGAAAACGTCGACCCTCCCCGCAAAGTGCCACACGTTCACCTCGGACGCCCGAAATTGGAACGAGTATGTCCTCGATAATTTGCATTGCCCGTCCAATCTCCAACGGAGAGTGGCAAGAACCGATGACAACTACTGGAGTGGTGGGTATTAAGAGACAAGTAATCATCAAGTGCCGAGTTTACACGAAGGGACCAATCTCAAATCAAGAGTCAGTTTGACCATCATGTCTACACTCCAACAGGGCCCAAACATGTGTGATCGGTTCATAAAGGGCAATGAACAGCATAGAAACAATGGCCGACTTCTAAACCTCGTTCCAAACCGTCTCATGGAAAATCACAAACCGAGAAAATATGAATAATTGTAATGTTTTAATGTTGATGAAGCAAGATACATTTGTATTTAGTGAACTAAAAATTGATGATAACAGTAAGGCCTGTCCATGCTCTTGGTTTAAAGAATGCATCCTTCAGGATCTGGATTCATAAGGACTTTTTAATTCACATTAGCTACTATTTCTACGTTAATGAGCTTACATCTTGGCTCAACTTACCCACATTCAGCTTCATTATTCAACTCTTAATGAAATAATCATTTAGTAGTAACATCCTCCAAATGACTTATTGTTTGGTTAGAGAAAAAAAATAAAATTCCTAATGTTCTTAGGGATGATATATTTTGGAAATCTAAATTAAACTTGCATTGAATATGATCATTTGCAGGCCTCTCTAAATACGGCATATACGGAACTTGAGGGCCAAAGTGCCGTATTTCGTTTTCAGAAAGTTACTTATTTCCAACCAAAAGTATTTGTTGTCTAGGTGTAGAACCTACCAGAGTCACGTAACTAAAATTTGGGGTGGTAATTTTTGACAAATCTTTGTTGATGTAGGTAGTTTTACTAGAGAAACTTACGCAAATATTCAGCTAAATCTTTGCCGTGATCGTTTCTGGCAATTTCTTTGTTCATTACCGTTACTTTACTAGAGAAACTAACTGAGTACTTGACTAAAACTTTGCGGTGACACCTGATGAGCTCAACCAAGTTCTCATATTTTGTTTCCTTGGTTATCTCATTCACTTGTAATTTTGAAAACACAAAAATTTATTCAATTATTCTAAAATATCAAATAAGTCTCAAAATTTCTCGAAAACAAAAATACAAAGATAAAATAGTGAACCCAGAACATCACGAAGTCGATGTTCTAGCTATTGACTGAAAAGTTTGATTCCAGGTTTTAAAAATAGATTCCTTCAACATGGAGTTTTTCGTAGTATTAGTTTCACCATATCCAAACACTTCAACGGTGTGAAGAGTGATTTCTCCTTGCTAAAATGGGAAAAGTATATTTAGAGATGAAAGATAACACCCATTTCTCTCGAGGTTGTATTACATTGCCGAAAAATTCGGTCGAAAATTTGGAATTTTAGGTCAAAATTCGGCCGAAAACTATAGAGTTCCTTATTTCGATTTGAAAATTATCCTTATTTTGTTGAGATACGGAACATAAGGAATCCGCCCTATATAGAGAGTCCTGATCATTTGTATTGATCCTATCGGGGTAAGACTTATCTTAACAGCTTGTTTCACCCTTCAGCAAATTATAAGGGATAATCCCGCCAATTTCCGTTATCAGTGGGTTTTCGCAAATAGAAACCTCGAGAGATAAAGCCGCGCATCGAAATTGGGTTCGATTTACGTGGAAAGGCATGGGGAAGGGAACGAGTTCGAGTTAGTTGTTGAAGGGCACGGAATTTTAGGGAAGGACCATCGACATAGGACGAGATCGGAACGGAGATATCGTCGCAACTCCGCTTGGATTCGTGCGCGAGGTCCGTGCCACCGAACGGAATGGCTGGCGGTGCTCATTCTTCGACCCTCGCCTCTCCCGGACATAATGACACATTTACGGCCACAATTCACTGCGCACGAAACTTGGAAGTTGGAGCCATGATCACCCTTTCTCAGAAACACAGTCCAATCGATCGTTCTGAGATCAGCAGACGGTCTTCGCGGGCGCTTTTCCTTCCTTCCTTCCTTCCTTCATAAAAGCTCCTACTCCGTCTCGGAGTTGTCCACGAGAGCTGCTTCCCGTCCGCTCCCAGAGGCTCCGCTCTACTCGGAGCCAACATCGACGCTTCCCGATCACTGCAAATCTCCTGAACCAAAAGCGAGCAATGATTCGAGCTGTGAAGCCCATGCTCACTTGTCTTTTCTCGAACACCCTTCTGCGCTTCCGAACAGCATAATCCCAATGGGACCTAAGATGCTGCCCCAAAATAACCCCATTACTCAGTAAACTAACTCCGTAGTAAATTATGAGGACTCTACCCTTCAACATAGTATCAAAAGGTTTTCGGAAATTATTTTACTTTCTAAATAATGCTAAGAAGAAATTTAAAACTATAATAATCATAGCTGTGATATTATAATTACAGTTTGATATTATCTGCTGTAGGCAAATATTACAGTTCAATAAACGTGATGTCAATGATGATCACGTCATAATTAACTTGCTTGAGAACATACCACATCATGCACATGGTCAAAGAAGGTGATTGGCCATTTACGGTCCACCTTTGCAATAAATATATTATTTTTCCAGAAGTCAAGGCTACAGCAAAAGTCTACAGCACATGGTGTAGGGGAGTGGATACTCGGCTACCCGTGGAGGACGTATAGTATAAGATAAAGGGGACTCGGGAGGTGAGGATATTAGACCCCCTCAACTGATAAAACGGCCAGCGGAAAGAAGGTTCATCGCCGTACGACTTGAAGCTCGTCCCGTCCTTTCTGCCACATTTCACAATTTCCTTTTTCGTGCACTCATTGCTTCCACCGAGTGAAATTTTCCACGAGATGGCGGAGAGAGACTCGGCCTCCTGATTTCTGTGGACCCTTCCCAGATGGGAGGGGGAGAGAGAGAAAGTCAGGAACAGATTCGGCGAGAGGTGGAAATTCTGCTGGTCAGAAGGATTCATCGAAGATGAACTCAGTTGCGTGCTAAGCGGGGTTCTATGTGGGGTCCAACACGCGCTTTGGGTGATCGATGGCTTGAAAATGGATAGACCGTTTGAGTGTAATCGTGATCGATGATCTTGCGGAGCCAGTTGTGTCACATGTCGGGCAGAAATGTGTATCGAGAACTGGTCTGGGAAAAACTCGACCGAGGATCCAAGGAACTGCTGTAATGAAGGACAGCGAAGAATCAGGACCTAACCACGCGCTCATACAAAAAGCTCTGCCGACAGGAAAGGACACAATTGTTTATACAACATGCACACAACGTAGCCGAGTCTAATTTTTAACTACAGTTGGTAAGTACTTTCACGTCGTATGTTGAAGCCTTTACAAACGACCCAGATTCGAAATCTAAGGGGACGCCATATCGGAGACCGGGAAATTTTCCTGATGCGCAAGGTTAAAGTGCCGCCATTTTATGTTCACTCGAGTCGTTTCAGGTTTTGATCTTCAGGCAGAGACTATTGCATTTGTGAAAATTTGACTCCAAGTCTTATAAACCGAAAGAATCTGAGAAAAAGGGATAGTAGTTACAGTTCAACATTTCCGAGTGTACTGAAATGTCCAAAAAGTTCATTCAGCAACATTTTGAAATTTAATGGAACTTTGATTACCGTCAACCAAAAGTCTAACATGTTCCTCTTTCGGAGCATTTCTTTTTCATCTTTCATTTTCATATGCTATTATATGGAGACATAACTAAGCTACTGTCCAAAATGACCGGAATAAATCGACAATATCTCCGTAACGAAAGTGCCATAATCTCAAGCTCCTGAAGCTCTGCCAAAATTAATGATTCCCGGATACCAGCTAGACCATCGACGAATGCAGATTTGAGAAAGCAACAACTCATAACTTGTTTACGTAAAAGCTTTGTTCAAGAGGTGGTGCAAGTTCTGGTTACAGCTTTTATTCTTTTGGTTTGCAATGAACCTCTAGGGCGAAAACTGCCCAAACTGCCCAATCTCCTTCACTAGTTCGGCTCGTGCCGTGGCGCCTGGCATCCTCCTTCACCTGCTCCTGTCATGAACTCGTAGTCTTCAAAGTTTGTACAGTGGCATGCGATCCTGAGGTGGCGCTCTGAAAGAGACATCAGCAGCTAACAGCATACCATGGCTTCAACAAATATCGTGGCACAGCAAGATGACTTGTTTTGTGCAAATTTTATCGCCAGTATGCTGTTGAAGAGATAGCATAAAGTTTGTTTGTTAGACAGACTATGATTTTCTAAATCTGAGTTTTGCTAGCATCATTTTGTACAAGTAAGAACACATTTTCCAAGATTTAATGTTGAAATTAAAATGGGCGTGGGCAGTGTATAGAAGCTTCCAAGGACGGATTCTGAAAGAGATATTTCTAACCTTAATTACCAGTACACTAATGCAGCATCCATACCTGTGTGCTCTTTCACATCAATAAATAGATAAAATTGCGGAGTGACCATGACCTGGCATTTGGGTTGTCTTTGCTTTTTGTGACCTTGAGTATTCTCTTAGTCGATGGTTCACTTCTTTAATTGCATGCTTAACCATTGCCATACTCTTGAGCTTCCAAACATAATCAAATGCAAAGATGATTTTTGCTGTTCTAAGTAAAGTGTGAATAATATAGCACAAAATTTAGGCAGACCCTTTCAAGTAGTAAAAGGAAAAAAATCAAGTAGGTATGGTGGGGCTAGGCTCAAATGATATCGAAATGAAAAATTGCACAATTATCCAACCTATCTATATCAAAAAATGTATATAAAACTAGTCATTTCAAAAAAATACAAGTCAGCGTTCTTAATAGAGAAATCGATGAAAGCTTAAAATAGTCGCTACACAATGTGATAAAGCTGGTGGTTCTAGTGCATAATCTTCCATATCAAAACTCAACTTCCGTACAAATAAATATATACTAACTTTGCATAAATTTATTCTTCCCATTCCAAATTCCGCTATCCAAATAATGGTAATTACCAGTTTTCAAAAATACATCGTATAATATGTACCAATTATCAATCAAAACCTGTGTTTTAAACAAGTAGAGTTCCATCTTAATGTAAATCAACTATCTTCTAGTGAGATGTGTTTACTCATTTGCAATGTCAAATGTATAAATCATCTCATCATCTCTGTAATGAGGATAAAATGGCTAAGTCAATGTATAGCATTTATATTTGATATGTAAGAAAATGTTCTATATTTTTCATCACCATAGGAGACCCTAGGAAGAAACTTCAAATTTAGAGCTAACTAGAAAATTAATAAATATCAATATAACATTCTTGTATTACAAGATTAAGATTGAATATCAATTGTAATCAATTTAAGTATAAATATAAAATATGAGACTCCGGTTCAACCTACCGAAAGATATTAAAACTTCCATTCTGAGAAAAACCTGAATTATATTGTGACTGAACCTCAGTAATACCTCTTTTTGCTGTTGTAGACTATATTGCAATGTAACCAAATTTTAGTCTAGAATTCTCATTTGATCTTGAACAACCCCCACACCCTGCAACACGTAAACACATAAATTTGTCTAGGTGGACTGTGTACATCATATATGCACTCGCTATATGGAATGTTCCCTTGTCAACCAAAATAAAAAATTCAAAAAATTGCACATTCCCTCTTAATCTTAGGGAAAATACACTTCACAATGACCGGGAAAGTCCTCGACTTTTCAATTCTATCCCCTTGTCTCTCCACAACCCACAGTCTCAGCGCTGACCTCCGGAAAAGTTGGGCAGTGTAGCTTGAAATTTTCGTAATGAAAGCGCTACACATATTTAACGGTGGGGCGGGGGCAAGTTCAAAGGTTCTTTTCTGAGCTGCGGTTTCTTTCTTCCCGCCTCGAGCTCTATAGTCTCTTTGCTAGACTAGTATGCTCATGGCTTCGTACGTGGTCGACAAATCGAAGATCTCATGGATGAAACAAGATCCAGGAGTCTTGTCCCTTCCGGACTGTGAGTGCAACCGGACACGAAATCATTTGATGTTCGCACCTCGCACTCTTGGGAAGCTTCTTCGCCCTCGGAGATATCCGCAGTGGATGCAGGCTCTTCTATAAAATGTACTATTAATTGGGACAGGAAACCCAGGGACAGGAATCCTAGCATGCGAAATCAAATCGAGCTCGAAACCTCAGAACTTGTTTAACAACTTTGATGATGACATAACGACCTAACTGACTAGCCTAGATTTCGACATACACATCGAGTAAACAAATTTGTATCAAGACGAGCTCGTTCATCCGGCGAAAATTATCCCAACTTAACAATATCAAGATGGACCGACATCTCCGAGCACACTCCAGTCCAGAGCTGCAAATCAGACCAGTACAAAGTCTCTTCAACCACCAGCGAACCAAAATTCGCCTGCAGAAAATGAACAGAGTGTACACCACATCAAGATCCATGGAAGACAGTTCCAGCGGCCGGAGTATGGTAACCCTGAAGCGACCAATACCATCACAAATCTCCGGTGCAGAACCTTACAGTACAGTCTTTCGGCCGAAGTACTACTGCGTCTGAAACCACCGTACTGATCCCATGCCAGAGCCCAAAGGAGGTGGACACATGTGTACTTGGTACGAGTTACTACGTAATTACAGTGTTGACCATCACTAGCGAGCCTCTCGTGGCGTGTGCAAGCCTCGACTTAACACGCAATCTGACAGGATCTCATCATACTGTCTCGCCAGGGTCTGTTCTCTCCCGGCAGTCCCTAAGATTGAATGCATTCAAATCTTCGATCAATTTCGATCAATGCTCCTGCGATGTGCAGCGCAGCTTGATGCAGGCAGAGGCTGCTGTGGTCTGTTGCTGGGATGAACTGGAGCTACGGGAGAGTAAGAGAGGCAGTAGGTGTGCTAAGCTGTATGCCGGAGGTGTTAGGTGTTGGTAGAATATATGACCTGGCTGGCAATATGCTGCAGGAGGGAGGAGGTGACTTTGACTTGCTGTAACAAGACTGTAAGTATTCTGCTTGCTCGGTGCTGCACCGAGGAAGCAGGCGGAATCTTTTAGGATGACAAAGTATGATCTCCAACATAGTGACGAAGAGAATTTCAAAAGGTCACCTCCCGGACTCATTGGACTACCCAAAGTAGACTGCAGTAGACTGCTGCTACACTCACATACGGCTCCCTGGACCTAGTCCTCTTGTGACAGCTACGCGGCCTTCAGTTGTAATTCTATCAGCTATCATTACATTCAGATTCAACAGGGTCAATCATGGACGATCCCGAAGAGAGAGGGGATGATCTCGTTTGGTGCCCCGAGGAATTGTCGTCGATCAGCCCTACTGAAGCAAAAGGTGGATGGTTCCTTTAGCACTTCGCATTTCAGCGTCGATGTATTACATAACCAACACATCAATTCAACAAGAAAGATGGAATAAAGTATAACACCCAAAGTGATGGTCGATTTGACACTCGAAACTCAAGCACGACGATGTGTGATTCTGGCAAGGTGAACCAGCTGACGCAATACAAGGAAAGAAATTTCTATACATTGTCTCTCTACAACTGACAAAAAGTTCGAGTTCCGAACGAGACGTTCTCACTAAAGAATGCCTCGGGAGTCTTGCGGATCTGAAGAGCCCTAAGCCTAGAGTAATGTAAACCATGCGCCCGTCCAGTTATGGGGCACGGTGAGTATTTGTGGAAGTTCCGACGGCTTCTGCAAGCCCTGTCTGTTTGTCTGTCTACGGCCGAGGCTCGGTGCGCAGAGCTCTCTGGTCGACCAGCCGCACCGCAGAAAAATGCGCGTGCAATTCGAAGGATGGATGTTGTTCGATGTTGTTCGATAAGTGCCCCTAATTAAGCAGAAAGCTTGAACTGTACAGATCGTCAGGTGCGCTGGAAAATGGGAGCTCTGCGCCTCGCTCGCAATCCCCGGATCATCTAAAATTCGAGAGTCGATGACATGCCCGACTTGGCTAGAAGTTGGCCGTCGGAGTTGCTGTCACTGCCGCCGACGTCCTTATAGTACATGGGATTCACGTACATTTCCATGTATTTCGAAGAGACCCGCTGCATGAACTTGGCTTGGGCCGGAGGGACGGGGCCGGAGATCAGGGATAGCAGCACCTGGACGACATCGTTCATGGTCGGGCGATTGCTGGAGCATCTGTCGGTGCACAGCTTGGCCAGCTGCAGGACTTTCTCGATGGGCTTGATGTTGGTGCAAGAGCGACGGATCTCCGCGGAGATGGTGCTGAGCGCGGTGTTGTTGGCGAGGTGCATGTTCATCCAGGTGAGGAGATTGCCGTCGCTGTTGACGGCCTTCTTGTCGGTGAGCAGCTCGAGCAGCACGATGCCGTAGCTGTAGACGTCGGACTTCTCGTTGGACTTGGAGGTCCGGGCGTACTCGGGATCGATGTACCCGATGGTGCCGACGACGTACGTCGACACATGATTGTTGGCCAGCTGCACATTGCGGGCGATGCCGAAATCGGCGATGTGCGCGTCCAAGTTGGCGTCGAGCAGGATGTTGCAGGTCTTGATGTCGCGGTGCACGATGCGGGGCTCGCAGTCGTGGTGCAGGTAGGCCAGGCCCTGGGCGGCGCCGAGCGCGATGTTGAGCCGCGTGCTCCAGTCGAGCTTGATCTTCTTCACCGGCCCGTGCAGCACGTCGTAGAGGCTGCCGTTCTCCATGTAATCGTACAGCAGGAAGTGGCCGAGCGACGAGAGCGAGTAGCCGCGCAGCGTGACGAGGTTGCGGTGCTTGACGCGCTCCAGCATCTGCAGCTCGTTCTCGAACTCCGTCAGGTTCTGCGGGTGGTGGTTGTAGAGCTTCTTGATGGCGATGGCGTGCCCGCTCTTGAGCACACACTTGTACACCTTGCTGGACGCGCCCTGCCCGACCACCGCGTCCTCGTTCAGATTGTCCGTGATGCGCAGCAGCTCGTCGTACGACTGGATGACGAGCCCCATGTGGTACACGATCACGCGCGGCGGCCCTTCGGGGCTCACGTTGCGCGCCTTGCCCGGGCGCTTGGGCTGCGCCGCGCGGAACACGGCGAAGATGAGCAGCGCCACCAGGCAGATGGCCACGGCGGTGACGGACCAGATGCTGGAGGCGCCCAGCGAGCTCGAGGCCTTGGCCTGGTCCCAGCTACAGACTCGCTTGATCTTCGCGCCGCACAGATTCGGGTTGCCCAGGAATGCCGAGGCCGGGAATTTGGCGAAATTCTCGCCCTGCGGGATGCTGCCGTGCAGCGCATTGTAGGACACATTGAGCACCTGCAGGCTGAAGCACTTGGCCAGATCCGGGGCCAGAATTCCCGACAGATTGTTGTGGTCCAGCAGCAGCGCGTTCAGCTGCTGCAGCTGTCCGAGCTCGACCGGGATGCTGCCGCTCAGATCGTTGCGCGACAGGTCCAAATTCAGCAGGCTCGAGAGGTTGCCCAGGCTGCGCGGGATGGCGCCGCTCAGCATGTTGCCCTGCAGCGAAAGCACCAGCAGATGCTCGAGCCGGCCGACCGAGTGCGGGATGTCGCCGTTCAGGTTATTGTAGGACAGGTCCAGCGTGTCGAGGTTCACGACCCTGCCGAGCTCTTCCGGGATGCTCCCGGACAGGAAATTGGACGAGAGATTCAGGTGCGTCAGATTGTCGAGCATGTCGTACTCCGGGGGAATGGACCCCGTGAACAGATTACCATGGAGGTCGAGCTTGTTGAGCGAAGTGCACGCGCTGAGATTGGTCGGTAGCGCGCCGTCCAATCTGTTCCCCGACAGCCGCAGGTCGAACAGCTGCAGCCTCCCGAACTCGGAGGGCACGGGGCCCGTGAGCTGGTTGTCGTGCATGAACAGATACTGCAGGCTCGTCATATTCCCGAAGCTCGCGGGGATGGGCCCCGACAGTCGGTTCCCATGCAGATAAAGCTTGTTGAGGTACGTGAGATTGCCCAGCCTCGGGGGAATGGGCCCGTCAAACAGGTTGTTGCTCAGGTCCAGAATCAGCAGCGCTCTCATGAGCCCGATCACCTCCGGAATGCTGCCGGACAAGAAGTTGTTCTCCAGCGACAGCGTGCTCACTTGCATGAACCCGATGTTGTAGGGGATCTCGCCGCGCAGCTGGTTGTAGCCCAGGTCCATGATTTCAAAGCTGGTGCAATTGCCGATGTTGCTCGGGATGCCGCCCGACAGATTGTTCTCGCGCACATTGAAGTACCAGACGCTGGTCAGCTCGCAGATGTCCGGGGAAATTGTGCCCGTCAGCTGGTTGCCCCGCACCATGAAGATCTCCATCACCTGGCTCCAGTACAGCAGTGACGGGATCTCGCCCGTCAGGTGATTGTAGGCCAGGTTCAAGGTCTTGAGTCGGGGCAGCTCCGAGAGCGTGGCGGGAATGGGGCCCCCGATCCCATTGTTCTGCAGCGAGAGCTCCTCCAGGTGCTCGAGGAAGCCGATGGTGTAGGGAATTTCGCCGCCCAGCACATTGCCCGACAGGCGGAGGATTCGCAAGCTCTTGCACTGGCCGATTTCCGCCGGGATGAAGCCCGAGATGTTGTTCTCGCTCATGTCCAGGTACTGGAGGCTGGTCAGAGTGCCGATGGCCGGCGAGATCTCGCCCGAGAGGCCCAGGCGCGAGAGGTTCAATCCGATCACTTCGAAAGTGTTGTTGTCGCAGGTGATCCGGTCCCAGAGGCACAGAGACGGCGGGTTGTCGACCCCGCGCAAGTCCCAGCCGCTGAGCGCAGTCTCCGCTCCGCCCAGCGCGTCCTTCACCATCAGCAGCGCGTTCTTCACCACCTCCTCCGACGACCAGCAGCTTCCATGGTCGCACGCGGCCAGCAGCAACACCACCAGAATTAACACGCCTCGCTTTGATCGCGTCCCCTCCTTCATCTCCACTACTCTACTCTACTCCACCGCACTCTGCTCCTCCGAACTCTAATCTGATTGCGCCGCGCCCCCTCCCGAAACAATGCACGTCGAACGAGCTAGCGCACGCACCCCCGCGCCTCCGGAACAACCTCCCCAGACCTCCACTACCCCCGAGCTCCCACAATGCAAGGAACTCTTCTTGTCCGCCCGCCCCACCCCACCACCATCACCAGCAGCTCCGGGTTTCCTCCCCGCTCTCCTCCCTCGTCACCGCACTTGCTCCCTCTCGCCATGCGCCCGAGCACCAGTTCGGATAAAGCACAAAAGACAAGGCGTCGACAGAAAAGAGGAGGCAGGGGCAGGGGTGGGGATGGGGGGCAGAAGAACCTGTAGTACCAGTCGGGGCAAAGCAGCAGCAGCAGCAGGGTGTGAAGAACGGGAGCGAGGTCGAGGGGGAGGGGGAGAAAGTTACCGAGCTTTCGCCAGGAGCTTGACCAAAGCTTGACCACATTTGACGCATGACCGGACCTACGGGTTCAGCTGACTACGGCTAGCTGAACCCTACCGCGGTTACGTTAAACCCTAATTACGGGTTCTGAGAAGCACAGTCTTTGCATCCCGGCAGCGCGATTAGCGTCGTCGACTCCATGCCCGGAGGAGGGGATATCCCCTCGTAGGACCCACCAGAATACTCGTGGCCCTCGCCCGTCTACGGACGATTTGCGGGGAGACATATATATACATATATTTGAAACCCGGAGCCGGGGGCGCAAAACCGTACTCTAGCACGGGGGAGATACTCGGCTGGGGGGAGAGGGAGTACTCGAGGGTACTCGGTGACGTCAACAATCAATCGGGGCCAGGGGGAGCGGGGGGGAGGGGCTTAGGCTTAGAGCCAGGGGAGGGGGAGGCGTACAGGAGTGTCAGAGGAGTTGCTGCAATGGAAACGAGTTTTGCGATTTCTATAGGTAGGTCGCAAGACTTCATGAGTACGTACCTACTGAAGGGCGTGGTTGCTTTTTCACGACTGTGGGGGATTTAACGACTTCAAGAGTTGCTCACGGCTATTTCATGTCAGCTCGGCAGGCTCGGCTGGAAGGTGTCGCTTTTCGCTCGAGGGCCGCCGTACCGGTGTCATTCATGCCCCCCTGATGAGAGTAACAACCTGATTAACGACTACTCGATGTCGATCAAAGTGCCCCCCCCCCCTCACCCCCTCAGCACCTGGCCAGCCCAGGGGGGGGATATCATCGATCCACCACTGCTCGCGACCCTCCCTTCGATGCGACGAGACTTTCGAAGGGCGAGGCGGGGGCGGGGCGGGGGTGTTCCGAGGGGGGTGGCTCAAGTGCCGTACTTTCGCCCGTCCCGGGTGGGGCAATGCGGCAATGATTTCTGTAGATTATGGAAGATCAAGAAAGATAGATGCTCTAGAGAAGAACTTGTCGTGTCATTTCCAGCGCCTGTCTGTCGGTCCTGCCACGAACAAGACGGCTCCTGCCGAAAATGTTTTGCGGCTCCATGTCGCTCCCCCGTCGGTTCCCGAGAAGGCGAGGCGCACTAGTTTATTATTCATTTCTCGCTTCACTCTCCCGCGAGACATCTCTCGATGCGCTCGGGCAACAAACCTGCGACCCAGCCCCCCGTCCTGGGACTATTGCAACCGTCCCTCTTTTCGCCTCGACCGGCCGGACCGGTCGAGGCGAACGCGAGGGTGGTGCTTGTCAACGTCACATTAAAGGGCGAGCGCCATTCCTTTCGGGCGTTGATCGAAATTCCAAAGGGCAACCGAAGAGCTCCTGAATGAGGAAAGATGCCACCTGATTACTGTTCAGATCCCGTGGCACCACGGAGAATAATCTCCCCCTCCCCCCCGCAGTACGTGAACAGGCCCGATGCTTATCCGCGCTCTGTCTGAGCGAGCGGGCGAGAGCTGGCAGCGGATCCATTCTTTCGTGCTTCTTAGAGCGTTACGCAGGCGGTAAGGCTAAGGGTAAGTGCAGGGCAGGGCCCCGATTCACGTGTAGAAAGGGGCCGAGCGGCGAGCGGGCGGATATCATGAGGCGGAGCCTCTGCCCGACCGGCCGGAACGAGCCTCAGGATGACGGCGACGGCGACCGGCGCGGTCCTGACAAAAGTCGAGCCCCCTCGTCGATGATGACCGAGCGCTCTCGCATAGGAATTGTTGTGCCTGACATGGACTGCGGTCCCTGATCCCACTTGGCACTGCCGCTGGCCCTGCCCAGCTGTTGCTACCACAAAAGTTGCTCGGCACCGCAGTAAGCCGCAAGTACGTCGGCCGCAATGCCGACCGAGTGGGGGCCCAGCGGAGTGGCGCCATTAACCGTTTGCATGGCGCCACTCTCTCGCTCGCTCGCTCCGTCTCCGGGCGCCGATCTTGCGCCGGGATAGCGAACGATGTGGCGAATGCGCTGCGATTAGCAATCGTGATCATCATTAGCACCCGCTGGAGGGGGCCTCGGGGAGGTCCATGCGCGAATCGGGAATTTCTTGCAAAGAGATCTGACATCGACAATCAAGAAGAGCGCTTATCTCTCTCTTTCTCTCTCTCTCCTCGTATACACCAAGCAATCTTTGCGATGGCTCTCTTGCGCCGGATCCTGACATCAAGCGCTTCATATTCCCGCCTCACTGTATAGTAGAGACGCAAAGCTCCTCACCTGCTCCGGCCCAGACAGTACATGTACATTGCAGCCCCAAGAGCACCGGCGGAGATCGCATAGCCCCACCCCTCCCCCTCCCTCTCCCCCTCTCCCCGCGGGGCCAACATCGTGATTTTACGCCGCTGCGCAATGAACCGCGAGCGAATGACAACCGTTACTCCACCCACCTAACAGCGTCGACTGCGGCCATGAATCACGAAAATATATTGATGGCGATCGGGGGCCGACCCTCGGGGCTCGCAGCAGCGCCTCGCGTCCGCGATGTAATAATCTCTCACCGCCCGGGCGATGAGAGAATTCTGGCGGGTCTAGAAATTGTCGCCCCGCCTGCAGCCGTCGGATGGACGGCTGCGTCGACACGGTGAGAATTCGCGGGCGGGGCGACATCCGAGCGCCAGGGGGCCGGGCCACTCGAGTCGCCCCTGCGGCACTCGATTGGGCGATTGATTGAGCCGGAGAGCGAATCTGATGAATGGATGGTCGGATAACTCGCGGCCCATGATCAGATCCACCACCACTGTTGCGTATGAATCATTTCAGGTACTGTGTACATACTGTGCCTCCGTGAACCTGTGTACATACAATGTGTACATACGCACCGAGGAGGATCGCCCCTGCCTCGCGGCGTCAGGTGCCTGAGATCTGCAGGCCCCCAGAGAAAGTGCGGTGAACGAGGCGTTAACTGTCTGGCGAGGCTGCCACAGGACAAAGACGATTGAAAGTCAATTGAGTTCACGGCATCGCGCATTGATGCGCTAAGCGAGCCGCCAGTGAGGCCTGAGTGCTATCGGATTAAGCGTGGGACGACTCGCGACGCCCATTATGACAAATCACCAGTCATCACTCCACTGATGACTGATTAGTGTAAGAGGCCGTTTACATTAAATTCCTCGCTCCCAGATGCCATCATTCGCATTTAATCTCGAGGTTTATCTCTCATAAGTGAACTGCCCTCCCTCCGACGTGGTTACCCTCCTCTCCCCCCCCGACGTACGCAGTTCGTCTCTCCCCCTACGCCATAAATTCCACTACAGTCCGCTCTCACTGATTGTCCGTCCCGAGAGCTACAGACCTCCGTGAAACAATCTCCCACGTGTCGGGCCCTCGCGCTCCCGCATTTGCTCTCCACCGAAGCCTTGATGGAAGGATGGATGGACAGATGGATGGACGCCTTAAAGGTACGGTGGATGAACTCGGCGACGAGGCTGGGGGCGACTACCCCACCGCGTTAAACTGCTGCCATTCATTCGTTAGTTCACGTACCTCGAGCCCCAGAGCGAACGCTTTGTGTCGTCGCTTGAAGTCCAGTTTGCTTGTGCAGGTGATAATAATAATATTAGTATTAATAACCCCCCTCGTCTCCATGAGATTGGGCGCGACTGGGTGCCAGCTTTTTGAGACCAGAAGTTAAAGAGGAAAGACAAGGGGGAACGCCAGGGACCAGAGACGAGGCAACCGGGTTCTGCCAGAGCCCTCCCTCTCCAGAGGCTCTTCCACTCTCCTGAGGTGAATGTCCATCAATAATAGCACGGCGGTCCATGTACATGGGGACTGTGAGTCGGGGGCTGCTCTGCTTGCAAACACGACCAAGATCAGTGTAACGGGGGGATCTGCTGGTGAGATTTCTCGCGACATGCGAATTAAACACTCCATTCCAAACTAGTACTGCACAGGTTAGCGTAGTTCCTTTCACGACCTTACGGCTACTTTCCGACATTACCCACGGCCGGTATCCGGATTAGGTTCCAGTCGTCTCCCGGTTGTGCTCCTGCCGCAGCCGGTGGATAAAAAGCGAGTGCCTTTGTGATTCTACGCTATTTATTCTCCGATTTATTCCTTCTCTAAATGTCCGAGGAAACAGTGGTTCCGATCTCAGGTTGGCATTTGTCTGTTGTCGGTGAGCGATTACCGGCAACCTTCTGGAGGTTTCTTTCTTGAGTACCTTTTGAAGTATCTGAAACTTCACATGGGAAATCTTGCAGACAGTATACCCCAGTATGTAATCAAGAACATGAAGACCAAAAAGTTTCGTATTAAATGGGGAAAACCCGTACTCGAGACATGAATGATAAAAAGAGAAATTAAACCCACAAATGAATCCGGGTTAGGAACAGATCGATGGAATACCTCCTATTGCTCAATGAACATCAACATGAACGTTTGAAGATCACACTATCTACCCACAACTTCCATAACTTCTTGCAAATCCCTTTTCCTCTCTCTCTCTATCTATAAACTGATGTTTGTCTCGACGAAGTCGTTAGAAACTTGTAGTGAAAAACACGCATTCAATGAGAAAGCTCCTCTTAAATATTGTAATAAAGCTTGAGCTTTTAACAATAAATCATTCAAACTCTTTTCTGCATCTTTTGGAAATCTCAATGAATGCATGAATGTATAGTGACCTTTTTTTCTTTCATGAATATTTTCCTTGGAGTATGCGCCACAATATGAGGACATATCAGTGTTTGCATATTATGTGTCTTCACTTGTTGGATTGAGACCACACCTTCAACACATAGTATCCCAACAATTCTCTAAGCGCGTTACTTGCGCAACGATATATAAGCTCATGAAAGCGGTCCTATATGACATATGACCATAAAACATATGCATAAATGATCTCCCAAGCAGACATAACGACCAATCACGAAATAAATTCGAAGAAAAATTTAA